TGAACATGATGCTGAGGTGTATGTGTGAAGAAATGTATATGAATCTGATGTGTATGTGAGTTTCAGTGTTGTGGTGCACTCAGCCTGATGGATTTTTAAATATATTGAGCAGGAGGTTGTTGTTATGGAATTAATTGACTACTTGGGTTCACTGTTGTTGGATATGAGACCTGTTGTGGTGTCATCAGTGAGACACATGCAACTGTTTGTGTATAGGGAGATGAAAGGTTGTTCACCTCAACCCACTCCTGTCTCCTGTCTGTTCAGGTCAAGAGAGAAGCTCATAAACACATCATGTTAACTTGTTCCCCTGTGCATACACTCAGTTTTTTAATTCAGTTCAGTTCAGCTTTATTGGCATGAATGTCAAACAACAATATTGCCAAAGCTCTAAAACATAATTAACAAAAGAACAATTCATTTCATACAGTTCATGGGTTCCTTTTTCCAAGGAACAATTACTAAATTACTAAAATAACAAACAATATAAATAATAATAAAAAAACGTTTACAGTACAATTATTTAATTTATTTAAGCACACACACACACACACACACACACACACACACACACAGACCTGGCGGTAGGATGAAGTGACTAAGGGGGCAAATCTTTTTTTATTATAAACGGTAGGTTATCATTTATCATCCACATGCTATGCCAATTTTTGCATTTGTTTTGGCGCTGTAGATATAGGTGAAATTTTTATGCGTTTGTGCTTCATGGCCATAATATGAAATAGGAATATTTGCGACAGATTGCAAATGGCCTATACATTTTCTCTCCGACATACCAAGCCAATAAAAGAAAAATAAACCAACTACATTCTCTTACCTTTCCTGAGTAGAGTTGCAGCCTCCATGTTTGTTGAACTTCCTCAATAAGAGATCCTTCCAGTCTTCTTCCGTAAATTGTTTTGTAAGATCCCGTTCGAACGGCAGCTGGATCATTTTCTCTGGTGTGTCATGCTTCGTCTGTGCTGACTGAAGACGTTGGTTAGCGTTGAAAATGTGTTCTTACATGTCGATGAGGATGCCCAAAGGCCACTCCATGTTTCAGTGCAGTAAGCACGCTTGGCATGGCAGTGCGAGGCCCAGAGTAGCGGTGCAGAATGGAAGCAATGATCCATTGCTTTTTGGTAAAGCGAGCCATTTCAGAGTGTAAAAAGTGTCGAGTTACAGAAACGTAAGATTCCACCAAAGCTGTGTTGGTGAACTCCAGCAGCAGTTTTACCTTCTGTTCACAACCTTTACTCCAGTGTAGAGGTCTGTTTTTCTATCCTGTAACACTCTGTTAGGAGGATCAAGGAGGGCAAGGATTCTGTGGACCATAACCGCAGTAAACCTGAAGTGAGTGTCACTAATTGGTTTTAGGAGCCCTGCTGCCTCTATTTTCAGTTCTGTGAGCTGAAGGCCACTGCTGTCAATCTCCGCAAGGAACTGCAGAATAGCTTCATTCCTGTTAACAATGACTGACACGGTAGCCAAGTGACCGGTCCACCTTCGATCCAGCGGCCTTTTCAGATGTTCTCCTCTGTAAACTGCAGCCACAATTGGCTTTTTCAGAAACCGGTAAAGCATGTCACACACATCAAAAAAAGCCTGTAGTGCATTCTCTGATGACATGGCGTGGATAACCACCAGATGTTGTTGATGGTTGAAACAATGCACAGACGGGACTTCTCGTTCAACTTTCTCTTGTAGTATTTTCCGTACACCCCCTCTTTTCCCTGACATCACGCTTGCACCAGCATAGCATTGGCTGAGGATTTTTTCTAAGCCCATGCCTGCTTTTTGCAGCTCAGAAAGGACCAGGTTTGCCAGTCCACCTTCAGCGTGTACCAGCTATCTCTTATTTCTTCAACATGGACAAAAATAGTCCCCCCCCCCCCCGGCTCTAAAGAGTCCAATATCCCCTCAGGGGTTGCTGGTGTGACACAAGGAACTCAATGATCTCCATGATCGCACTCACATATAAGCAATTCATTGCCAGTTGCCCCTCATTGACTTGTGTGGAGACCTCAGCACGGATGGCACTACGAGCACAGTATTCCTTCCAGAGAGCACTGCATTTCAAATGTTCCTTGCTGGATGCATGTCTTGCAAAACCTTTTGTGCTGTTAGAGAAGCCAATGTCTGTGAAGGCTTTGTCGGCATTAGTATTAGACCCAATACTAAACAAGCAAAATGCAGCATCAGCAACCGCTGAATATTCCAGCCACTCTCTTCCATTAAACCAGCTTCTGTTAAATGAGCGTTTTTTGGTATTAAATATCCGGGAGCAGTCAGAGCTGTCGGGGCTGTATGGTGTTTATTTTTTGTACCTAGCCATGTTCTGATATCCATCCTGACTGCTTTTTGGCTAAGCAAACTAGTTTACGCAATAGGGAAATATTATTGCTGCTATTTGACAAGCAAACTAGCTTTAATGTTAACTGTTTTTTTAAAATCACATTGCGTACAGTGTTCCACGAGGTTCAAATCTAATAAATACATCTCTTGACAACGCACAACAAACAGCCCTATGTAGTGGGAAAAGATGGATCAAATAACAAGCTTCAAATATTTTCTAGGAGAAAATAGTCAAGAAGGTGTTTTCAGTGGGCGGCTGTTGTCTTTGACACTTATGACCAATAATTTTTTAGATATTTTTCTATAGAGTTCATAAAACTTTAACAGGGGGTGCAGAAAATACAAATGAGGGGGCAAAACCCCTCCTTGCCCCCTAGTGGCGCCGGGCCCGACACACACACAAACACACAGAGAGAGACTCGTGTGATTTCCAGTAAATGGAGAAGGGAGGAGCAACCCTGACCATGTGATTCAGTTTATAATAAAAGGGAGGACACCTTAAAAGTGTCCAGTCGGTTGTACAGACTTCTGGAGTGCATTTGGATGGTGGTACTAGGTTGGCATTAGAGACAGCACGTTTTGAGGGAAATTTAAATTGAGAGGAGGTTTCTGAATTTGTGTGATTAATCGTGATTTTGGATTGTTCAGGGTGAGTATTGTGAGGATTTGTTTGAAGGGGTATTGCCTGATGGCCTGTATAGGTCCGGGAACGATACTCCTGAACAGGTTTTTGCAAAGTCAGCTGATAGATCCGGAGTGAAATGGAAGGAGGTTGGTGAGTCTCCTGTAAAGGGAAAAACGCTTTCACTGTTCCTGGTTAAAACACTAAAAGTTCACACAGTCTGGGATTACCTAAATTCAGAGTCAGCCCATGTCCGAGGGAGCGGATTGGGAAGGGGGTGGGGAAAAATGAAACACAGTGAGCAAGAAAAAGCACAAAAGAGAGCGAGAATACAACTCTCAGGAAAGTGATATAGAAAATCCGCAGACTAAGACAATGAGGCCAAATCCAAGTAGTGATGAAGGATTCAAAGTTCTAATCAAAGTAAAAGGAGGGGCTGTATTTTCTGCAGTAAGTCCCCTTAAATTGACAAATGAATTTAGAAAAGAGCTGGGTGATATAATGCATGCGTCTATTTTGCGGAATGGAATGATATCTATTATATGTAAGTCAGAAATGCATCAAGCATAGGCTCTCAAGATTAAAAATGTGCTTGGTAAGGGAGTGGGGGTGTTTTTAAGCCAAGAGCAAATACAGAGGTAAAAGGTGTGATGTCATTGGACGTCTCAGAACAAGAAATATTAACTAGTTTAAAAGAAGGTATGTCATAGCTGTAAAGGGCATGGGCAGGAATGAGAATGGGAGATCCACCCCTATCCTTCTCACCTTTAAAGATTCAAGGGAATTAACCCAAAGGAAATACAGAAATTTACTTTCACTCAGGATATTGCAGATCACAGGTCAAATGGAAGTCAACAGATACATACAGTTTTACATAATGCAATGGAATGCTAGGAGTCTTATTGTGAACCGGCAAGAATTAAAAAATTTGATAGGAAAGCGTCTTGAAATTGATGACCAGAAATTATTTGCATTGAGGAAACTTGGTTAAAACTGAGACTAGATTTTATAATACCAGGGTACAAATGTGAAAGGAAAGATACATCAGGAGGAGGATGTGCAACATTTATTAAAAATGGAATTCAGTATAGAAGAATAGAAATAAAAACAGTGTTAGAGTGTGTTATTACAGAAGTTTGGACTGATCGAGGAAAAATCTCTATTATAAATTTGTATAATCCATGCATTAAGCTAGAAGAGTCATTTTCAGGAAACTGTAGATAAGACTAATGTACCGGTGATTTGGGTTGGGGATTATAATGCTTATAATGAATTGTGGGGAAGTAAGAAGAGACACAGAAATGATGAATTATAGAAGATTCTGTGGACAAGAATAATCTAGTTGTGTTAAATGATGGTCGTACTACTAGGTTTATTTTTTTTAATTTTTTTTTATTTTACCTTTTATTTACCAGGAAAGAAATCCATTGATATTTTTAATCTCTTTTACAAGGATGTCCTGGCCAAGATGTGAATCAGCACACAGTGCAAGGTGCAAACAAGTTGTACAATTTTATCAATGTCATCTGTCATAAATATTACAATTGTATCAGCAGATTTAGCATCAATCAGTTGGTGGAAAACAATGGATCTTTATACAGTGGGAAGTGATCATGTGCCAATAATTTGTAAATTTGATAGGTGTCTAATCGAAGAGCCAGTTAATTGGCCCCTGAGGCTTAACTCAAGAATGTAATGCTGCAGTCTGAGCTAGCAATAGGGCATATAAAAACTTAAGGCAACACTTATTGGAGAACTATGCTATTGAGTATAAGAGGCTTAAAGCTAAGGCTAGACGTGTAATTAAGGAAGCAAAGAAACAAAGTTGGAGGACTTATTGTAGTAAAATAGGATCTGATACGCCTTTAAAAAAGATTTGGAATCTATTACATAGAATGAAAGGAGTTTTTAGGCAGACAGCACTCTACTTAATTTGGATAGTTGGAACAAAATGAAAAAACTGATTGAGTATCTACATACATAACGAACAGAGGAGGGCAGCAATACGCCATAGATGCGTCTAGTCTGCCGGAAATAAGAAGTGTCCAGTCAGTTCATGCATTTTGAGTGGACAGAGCAGAAGGAGAAAAACGAAGCCGAGGCAGGGTGAGTGTTAATTCAACATTTTTATTATTTTACTGTCAGTGTCTCTGAGTCAGTTTTCTCCCTGTGGACTGTAGAGGAAAGAAAGTTTAAGAGTGAACTCAACACTTTGATTCATCTGTGGACACAAAGCCGTGATTGGCTGAATGAAACCAAGATGCACAGATTTAAAGAAAAGAGAGCATGGCCTGTACCACGAAGCAAGATTTAAATACCCAGGATATCTTATCTGGCTTTACTAACCCTAACAATCTCGATCGGGATAAGCGGTCACACGAAGGTTATCAACTCGGGAAATTAGTCAAACCAAGATTTCCCAATCCAGACAGGAGCGCGATCACATAAAAGAGGCGGTGTCTGCAGATAAACAACCGCAAACAAGGACAAGTCTACTGGCGGCAGACTGTAGCCTAATATTAGCACGGCTGCAGCCACCGGGCCGGTGTTCTGACGATCTATGCTGCCTTGTCGAAAAATGCTGCCGTTCCGCGAAACCTGGTGGAAACAAACCACGCATGCGCAGAACCGCTAAGTAGCACATCTCGATAGGTAGCATAAATATACAGAACACCAGTCTCTTACTAGCTTCCACCCCTCTGCTCTCTGGGGCGGTGAGTTTACATACAAAGGAGTAAACTGCTTTCATTAAATCAGCTTTTTACTTTAGTTTTTAGGATTACGACGTTGATTTATCTTCACTCGAGCTTCTCAGCAGCACATCCGGTTCCAGTGTGGTTAGCGTCGTTTGGCACTACTTCATATTTATATTAAAAACGGACAAAAGAAAAGAAAGCGAGGACCTGGTGAGTTCAGAAAACATGTGTATGTAACTTTATTCCAGCTGTCGTTGTACTTTACTGTGACCGAGTTAGGGTGTGGGTATCTCTGGATAATCCGTAATTCGCAATTATAAAACGAAAATACCGTTTTTCTGTTTTTTGTTTCAAAACGAAAAAACAATTTAAAACGATCCGTTTATGGAGATTCATTTTATTGTTATTTCTTGTGTTTATATCAAAGAGAAGGCTGCACTGCGACCAAAGGAAGTTAATCACTGAGTTTGAAGGGTGTGCAGAACTTCACCTGCCTCCCAGCTTCTTTCTGTGCTGCTATAGCTGCTAAAAACTCTCAGCTTCCACCATCTACTGTTATGTGTCACAACAAAATTCTTCCAAAACAAATCTGTGGAGTTGTAAACTTTTTATTTTCCTTTGCAATTTTTGCCAGTGTAAAATACTTATGTATGTTAAATAGAGTAAATATTTTAATGCAGCCTGTAATGTAGCCTGACCTCTAGCTCTGGGGCTTTCAGATCTTTTCATGCTGTTTTGGGTTTAACTCTGTTCGATGAACCACCAGGGAAAGGCCGTGCTCTGTACTGTTCGTAAAGTAAAATAAAAGTGACACACAAAACACCACACAATACCACCACAGAGTTTTGTTTTGACACATAGCAGTAGATGGTGGAAGCTGAGAGTTTTTAGCAGCTATAGCAGCACAGAAAGAAGCTGGGAGGCAGGTGAAGTTCTGCACACCCTTCAGACTCAGTGATTTCCGAAGCTTTGTATGAGGAGAAGCCTGCATAAACCCCTGCCATAGACTGTATATAAAAAGGTTAGTCCACAAAAATTTGTGGTTTGGTGGTTTGTGTGAACAAGGTGGCCTGGGGTCGAGTCAAATTCACGGCCTGAACTCTTGTGCCAGTCCACCCTTTGCGAAGTGAGCGTTCGGGGTGGTGAGTTTACTAGTGACTTTACTTGCTAACTTATTCACAGTATAGTACAACGATAGCTTACAGACACATTTTTTGTGAACCCACCAGGTAGTTCAACTTCCTCGCTTTCTTTTCTTCAAGCAATGTTCAGTTTTGTTCGGTTTTTATATAAATATGAAGTAGGCCTAGTAGTCCCAAGGAGCTTTGGGTGCCCACCGAAGCTAACAACAACAGTGGAACCCGAAATGCACAGAAGCTCGCTGCTGAGAAACTAGTGAAGACAGTGTAATCCCAAAAACTAAACAGTTAAAAGACAGACATAGCATGTAATAACCACGAAAAGCAAGCCAAACCAAGATTCTTGTTCTAATCTAGGCCATATATCGATCTCCTCTGCTCTGTTTCAGCACTGTGGACAGCGCTACGCCCAAGTCTACAAGGCTCTGGCAGCCTACTTCAATCAGTCTCTGTAGGATGATCACTATACTAACGTTCTCTGCATCTCCACAGCAAACAGAAATGCAACCTATAAAATAGTCTGTGGTATTTGCTATGGATTGTGATGTGATTGTCCACAAGAGTTGATTGGTCAGTAGGCTTTTATAGATGTGATCTCTTAACTGGAACATAACCTGCTCCGGAGCAGGTTAGCCCCTCTGCGTTGTTACAATGGCGATACAATTACAGTAGTACTTGAACCCAGGGTTAACCTTGAAGTTATCTGGATAAGCTCAAATCCTGCTTCGTGGTGCAGGCACCTGTTCTCTCAGTCTTGATTGTGATTCTTTAACAAACTTGTTCTTGATTCTTGTGTGCTGAGCTCACAGTCAGTGTTACTGTTTGACCTCTCAGACTGACTGAAGTCCAGATGATGAGTCTGTGCGCGAGGAGAGAGGAGGACAGAGCAGAGTCTGCAGTACCCAGCTGTCTGTCTATAAAAAGTGACTTCTCTAAAGATGAACCTCCATTCTTCAGAAATGAACCTGGACCCTCAGACACAAAGTAAGAGAACTGCTATTAACTTATTTACATGACTCATTTTCACTTACCTCTGCTGATACCATAATTTCTGTTGATTTCTGTTGATTTTGTGCTTGTATATTACATTTTCTACCAAAATGTATTTGCTAAATAAAATTCAACAGACCTTTTGTGAAACAAAGAAAAATCATTAGTGCTATCTCCCTTTTTAGTATCTGTGACAGCTGACAGTCACCTAGAGAAGCTGTAATCTGATCTAAGAGGACTGATAGAAACTTTAAACAGACAGTAGAAGCAATTTGTGTGTTTAGAGCTTCCTAAATGGCTTTCATCATGACATTGAAGATGAAGACAAAATGCTTAAAGGTTTATGTTCATGCTGCAGAACTATTAGTGCAGATACTGTTTGTTTATTATTTTTCTTTAGCAAAACAGTCGAGAACCTCCAATTCAGAATTTATTCTAAGACAATATCTATAATATCTGAAAGATATGTATATGTAGAAGATGTATTCATTTTTTAAATTTTAGTTGTTTTTCTCTTCCTCAGATAAGCTGTAATGATCCAACCATTGCATAACCCTTCAAAGTCTGTGAGTGTGGAGATTAGGATTCAGCTTCTTTCTTTTCTCTGGACTCCACCACTCAGAAAGCAGCAGGTGGATTGTAGTGGCGCAACGGATCGTAGTTGATCCATGATCTTTACGGATCCACCCCCATGGTTTCGCACACATGTGAACAGCAGAATGATTACAAATTCTGCATTCATGTGCCCCTCGAATGGTCCCATTTCATTTCATTTCAAGTCATTCTTCAGACTTCGGTGTGTTCATGTGCTCGGAATGTCGAAATAACATGGATGCTACTATAAAGATGTGTTGGATTAGCATTATTGTTGTCCTCCAACTATGCTGAAACAGTTTGAAGATTTCTATTACAAAGTAAAATCTTTTGTCCCAGAGGTTTTACTGCACCAGAACATTACCTGAAACCACTAAAATATTCCGTGTATACAAATACTGCTAATAATAAAGAACTGCTCTAATTAATCTACTTCACTCTACATGGACAGCAAATTAACTGTTATAACCTGATACTATATTACAAATGACACCTTAGCAAATATGTAAATGCAATACGTGATTTTGCGCCATTAATCAAGCGTTTCTAATCATCAACCACGTTGTCCACCATGTTTCTACGTGTCTGATGTCAACAACTCGGCGACATCAGGGGACATTCGCATGAATTTTCCCAGTCCAGAAATAATTTTTCCGATTATTCCGACACCACAATAATGCTGTGTTCCAGACTGCTCTGAACTGGGAAATTTCCAAGTTGAAATATCTGCCCTCTGACCTCAAAGCGTTCCAGGTGCATGGTAGTGCATGACGCCAAAAGTGAACGAAAAACATGGCTGACTGTGACAATCTCTTTGTTAAGTGTGCACAGTTGCACCCTCAGCAGTGCCCTTGGTGTTAATGAAAAGGATGGCCACTAATGTTTTAAAATGTTTCGAAATACCGCAGCTATGACACAAAGTCTATCAGCTATTTTCAGTGCTTGTAACTGGGCATTAGATAGCTTGGCCATGATCACCTCCATCAGCTGCGGCACAGCCATAATGCGGTGCAGCCACCACCTGTGTGAATCTGGGGTAATTAAAACGGTGAAATAGTCGAGCAATAAAACATAAACAGCAAACATCACAAAACCATAACATTAATCGGTCAGTAAAACCGACGCATTTATGGATGTTAAAAGGCACACAATTGTACACCTCAAATAGCTCACAGACAAAAACCTGCTTAAATCAAAGATTCTTCAACTTTTCAACGCTTCAACTAAGACCACAGAGCGTATGTCTGAGGGAAAAGCGTTCCACAGTGTCAGTGCCACCTGAAATATAACTATTGATGCCATTCAAACTCTAATTCCCTACACTAATCAGTGTCCATGTCTAATAACCAGCATTCCTGCTAAAATTACCTTCATCTGTCCAATATCTGTCCCAATACCTTTTTATTAAATGCGAGTTATTGCATTTGCTACATTGTTTATCAATTCTTATTGAACTTGCTTTGCACAATAGCAAACCGGTGCAAGTGGTTTTCACAAGCTGGTTGTGTCAAACTCGCTGCTTTTATGTCAGACTGAAAGTTGAATTCAAACAGAAAAGTAACAACACATTTACTGTTCTCTGTGACCATCTGAGCTTCTACACAGAGTCGGACAAATGTGGATATTTTTCAACAACAATCAACAAATCATTTTAGTTCTACTGAAATGTCTTCACAGAGAGAGGAAGAGGAGTCCTGTTTCTGTGGAGGAGCAGCCGTCCTGCTGTGCTTTGTGTCAGGACATCCTGAAGGATCCAGTCTCTACCAGCTGTGGACACTGGTTCTGCAGACAGTGCATCACCTCATACCGGGACCAGTCTGTTTCACCAGGAGTCTCCTCCTGTCCCCTTTGTGGAGAAAGATCCAGAACCAGAGCTGGACTGCAGACAGCCGGTCAGATCAACACTGTACAAAGTAAGACAGCACATCTTAAAAATGTAACCTGCTACATTTCATTACATTACGTTTGTTAAAAGGCTAATGATAAGTATATTCAACCATGTGGATACCTCTTCAAGGCTTCTTCAAATAGCTGAACAGCTTTAAATGGTACATTTAGTTTTTGAGTTTTCAGTTTCCAAAGTTTGGAGTGTACAGTTTCTGCTGTTTCGGTCCACCATTGTGAATTTAGGACAGCAAAGTTAGGTGGCTGTGGCTCAGGAGATCAGGAGATCAGGAGATAGAGCGGGTTTCCTGCAAATTGGAAGATCGGTGCTGAAATCCCTGGTTCCTACAGTCTGCATGAAGACTCAAATCATTTACAAACTTCAGGATTTTGCTGATCTGTAACGAACAGTCCCATAGTCATAACAGAGCTTTGTTAATTTGCTGCTGATGTGAACTGAATATTTTATGATTGTGAATTAGGGCCATTGTAGATAGAAAAAATAAATAAATTACAGAGGGTTAGTGCGGTAATATAGAGAAGGCTCAGAACTTTATAGAACATAAAGATATTAATTTAATTAATGCAAATTTATGAGAAAATCACTGCTGAGGCTCAGCCTGTCAAACACATACACAAAGTCAGAGGCTAAGAGAAAAAGCAGCATTTCTGATGTTCCCCCAAAACTTGATTTTAGAACCTTAACTACATTTTATCATAATAAACGCTTTTTATTGGTAAGTAAAATAATCAGGAAATTGTCACATTTTCTTTATTTTGTCTAAAACCTTTGTGTGTTTCTTTTAGTGAGTGGTGGTCTGCAGGAAGTTTTAGATGAACATAAGATCAGTCTGAGGACGAGATGTGAACGTGTGACTGAAGGAAGTGATGAAACAGGAAGTGGAACCCTCCTCAACAGGATCTACACTGAGCTCTACATCACAGAGGGACAGAGTGAAGAGGTTAATACCCAACATGAGGTGAGGCAGCTTGAGACAGCTTCCAAGATGGAGACCCTCCATGAAACTCCAGTCAAGTGCCACGACATCTTTAAAGCCTTACCTGGCCAACAGAAACACATCAGAGTGGTTCTGACCAACGGCGTCGCAGGAGTTGGAAAAACCTTCTCAGTGCAGAAGTTCACTCTGGACTGGGCAGAGGGCTTGGAAAACCAAGATGTCAGTCTGCTGATTCTGCTCTCATTCAGGGAGCTGAACTTGATCAAAGATGAGCAGTACAGTCTTCTCACGCTGCTCCATGTTTTCCATCCAACATTACAGAAGGTCCCAGCAGAGAAGCTCGCTGTCTGTAAACTGTTGTTCATCTTTGACGGCCTGGATGAAAGCAGACTTTCATTGGATTTCCAGAACAATGAGGTTGTGTCTGATGTCACACAGAAGTCATCAGTCAACCTGCTGCTGACAAACCTCATCAAGGGGAATCTGCTTCCCTCGGCTCTCGTCTGGATAACTTCCCGACCTGCAGCAGCCAATCAGATCCCTCCTTCATCTGTTGACAGGGTAACAGAAGTACGAGGCTTCACTGACGCCCAGAAGGAGGAGTACTTCAGGAGGAGAGTCAGTGATGAAGAGCTGTCCAGCAGAATCATCTCACACATCAAGACATCCAGGAGCCTCCACATCATGTGTCTAATCCCAGTCTTCTGCTGGATCACTGCTACAGTTCTGGAGCACATGTTGACTACAGACCAGAGAGGAGAGCTGCCCAAGACCCTGACTGACCTGTACTCACACTTCCTGCTGGTTCAGACAAAGAGGAAGAAGCAGAAGTACGATGAGGGACATGAGACGAGTCCACAGGAGCTGATGGAGGCTGACGGGAAGGTTCTTCTTAAGCTGGGGAAGTTGGCGTTTGAACAGCTGGAGAAAGGAAACATCATGTTCTACCAAGAAGACCTGGAGCAGTGTGGTCTTGATGTCACACATGCCTCAGTGTACTCAGGAGTTTGTACAGAGATCTTCAAAAGAGAGAGTGTGATCTTCCACAAATCAGTCTACTGCTTTGTTCATCTGAGCGTTCAGGAGTTTCTGGCTGCAGTCTACATGTTCCACTGTTACACCAACAGGAATACGGAGGTGCTGGAGGCTTTCCTGGGAAAAAAACATTCTGATTTAACACTGGATGTCTTTCTTATGGAAGCAGTAGAGAAATCCTTTGAAAGTAAAAATGGCCATCTTGACCTGTTTGTTCGCTTCCTTCATGGTCTCTCTCTGGAGTCCAACCAGAGACTCTTAGGAGCCCTGCTGGGTCAGAACGACAATAGTCCAGAAATTATCAATAGAGCCATCAATAACCTGAAGGAGATGGACAGTGATGAGATATCTCCTGACAGAAGCATCAACATCTTCCACTGTCTGATGGAGATAAACGACCACTCAGTACATCAGGAGATCCAAGAGTTCCTGAAGTCAGAGAACAGATCAGAGAAGGAACTCCCTGTGATCCACTGCTCAGCTCTGGCCTACATACTGCAGATGTCAGAGGAGGTTCTAGATGAGTTGGACCTGATAAAGTACAACACATCAGAGGAGGGACGACTGAAACTGATTCCAGCTGTGAGGAACTGCAGAAAGGCTCAGTAAGTCCAGATGAGTTTAACATTATAAAGCTGAAGCCATCAGTTTAGCCCACCCATTCAATTGCAGTTTTGTTATAAGATTGCGTACCTCTTTACATTTGATAATACCTTTGCATGGGAGGTGAATTGGTGAGGGTGTACCAAAAAAATGCTACATCCCCTAACCCTGACCCTCCCTTAGTGGCACTGCTTTGACACCTGGATGTCTAATACTGTTTGTTTCTGTAATGTGTCTGTTCATTGTTCTTTTTATATACAGATACACAGACACGTTATATCCTTTTCTGAGCTATTTCATATGAAGGACTGTCCATTTTCTAAATTTATACATTATCTATTATTATTGCTTGATTTGAGAGGATGTGAGCGTAGGCCATCCTCCCTCTTGAAAAGCGAATGGAACATCATCCTCTCCATACTCATTACATAAAAGGTGCAATTTTAAATATTTTAGTTCCAACAATGAATGTCTTTTCATATGTTTTGCTACTTTAGAAATTAGTTTGATGACCAGGTAAGTTTTCGCATATGAGGAGTTTGCCTTGGTATTTCGGTGCTTTAGAACAGAAATATATAAAATATAGATAAAGTAAAGAGATCAAAAAAGTATAAAAAATAATACTATAATCCAATGGAAAGAAAAAAATAATGCAAAAAATATACAGGATATTACAGGATATTATCAAGCAATGGGCAAAAATTCACAGTATGCATAAAAGAATTAGTGCAATGGACACAGATTAAGTTGAGCATTCTGGTAGTGTGGGGTCAGGTGTGTGTTATCCTCGCCATTATTCCCTACTGGGTACCCCCGTTCCTGGCCTGAATACCTCCAGTGCTTGACTAGAGGTGTAAATACTAAAAACTCCCCAGGTACTCTGAGCTCCCAGTCCGGGCAGAGTCAGCTATGACCACTAGTGGCACGGCTAACTGAGCTAATTGGATAACGGCAGCTAGTTAGCAGCACTTAGCAGTTACTTCAGCAACAAGTAAAGCTATCTGTTCATCAGCTAACCCTGCAAATCACAGACAGTTAAGGCAGCTGGACTGAGGTAAATGCTTACGAGTGCAGTAATTTTACAGCTCATTAAACGACGTGTTGAAATAAGTTAATGAAAAATTGCTTAATCATTCGGCAGACACTCTTGTCTAAATAGTGTTTTGTGGTCTGCTGTGTGGCTCAAAAACTCTTTGACAAGTGGAGCTCATGTTTCAAACTACAAACCTTCAATGACTGACCAGCTGAACTATAGCCACTCATGTTAATGTGCTTTGTTATCATGTCTATTTTTAGTAAGTTTTATATTCTGTCATAACAGACTTTCCTACTGTGGACTCTCAGAGACTCACTCTGAAGTCGTGGCCTCAGCTCTGAAGTCCAACCCCTCCTATCTGAGAGAGCTGGACCTGAGTGGAAACAAGCTGCAGGATTCAGAAGTGAAGCTGCTATCTGCTGGACTGGAGAGTCCACACAGTAGACTGGAGACTCTAAGGTCAGTAAATGTATTTTGCTCTTGTATGAAGTTAATTTGTCTGATCTAAACTGAACTTTTACTTAATAATAATAATAACAATGCATTTTATTTCTATAGTGCTTTTCATGACACTCAAAGACACTTTAGAAAGGGGCCTGGTTATAGAGGGCTTTGTGGGTGAGGAGGAGGATTTTGAACTTAATACCTTGTGGAACTGGGAGCCACTGAAGATTCTGGAAGACCTGGGTGATGTGGTCCCAGGCATGGGTGAGGAGGTGGGCAGAAGAGTTTAGGATGAACTGAAATATATTTGGGGCTTTGGCAGATGAAAGATACGGGATGCTATTTCAATAGTCGATTCTAGATGTAATGAAGGCTTGGATAAAGGTTTCATCCTGGTTTGTATATCGGTGAGGCAATTGGCCAGAGTCGAAGAGGTAACTCTGATGATGGATTTGGTGGAAAGACCTCCTCCCCTGTTAAGTAGTGGATTCTTAAACTGGGTGTAAATGGCTTCCTTGACACCCCTTTCAAACCATCCATCCTCTCTGTCTAAAATGTGCACCTGGTGGTCCTCAAGTGAGTGGCGTTTATCCTTCAGATTTAGGTAATCTGGTGAGTCTTGAGCTGAGGAGTTTGCCCTTCTGTGTTGAGCCATGCGTATGTGTATTGGTTGTTTAGTTTCCCCGTGGTCCCTCATTTCATTAACAACCAGTTATCAGACTGAAAACTGAAAAACAATTATCAGGATGTATAGTATGTGTACAGGACAGAGCTGTACACCAGTTTAGTCTACGCTTGGGCCTGATGTGTTCAGCCCTTGACTAGTAGTTTAGTTAGGAATGACATACAGCTGATAATTAATATTACTTAGTTACTAATTTAGGGAACATTACATAAATAAATAAATATTTTAGTGCCTTTCACAGGACCCAAGGAAGCTTTACACATAGTTACAGGATTGAATGCCTGGGTAAAGAGCTGGGTTTTTGGTAGATCTTTGAAAGTTTTAAAATATGATGTCAAAAACCCGGTCAGCAGCATTGTGTTTCTGCTTTGCAAGACCCAATCAGAGAGCTGAGCGTGAGCGGCTGCGTCATCATTTGTAAAGTCCTCCGTTTTGGCCCGTGTTCACTAAAACGGCCTCCAGAGTTTTGAAACACAAAAACGGGGTTGGCAGCGTTTCCAAACTTCTCCGTTTTAGGTCTTCGATTTCATCGTTGTAGTCTGTAAATTCCACCGACAAATCTAATAACGGCATGAGAATGTAATTTGTGACCCTGAGGAGAGTTGTCTCAGAGCTTTGTTTCTGACAAAAGCCAGATTGGTATTTATCAAATATGTCATTTTCGTCAATCAGTTCCAGAAGTTGCTTGCAGACCAATTTTTCTAAAATCTATTGACATGGACAGGTGTAAAGTGGTTCAGAATGGATATTGGGGAACTGGGTGGTTCAATGGATTCCATGAAGACAGGCTCGAGGCTAAGTAATTTAAGAGACGATCAATAGATTTAAAAAGAAACCTAGGATTGGATTTATTTGTGGTGATGAGATTATTGAAAAAAATTCTCTACAACATGTCTTGATGCATTGCCTGCTTTAAGCCGAGGAAAAAGAAGATGTCATTCATAGAATTAGACAAACTGGGAATTAAAACATTTTGTATATGACACTGCTGGGTGACGGGGTGCTTCAAAAAGAGAAAAATAGCCAAGTAGGCCAGTTATAGTTACAAATTGATAGTTAAGTATATTTTATGAGAATTAATTAATTGGCTATCAATTTCCTCTTCTTTAAGAGTGGTTCCCGAGGTGAGGTTTCTATTATTAATTATTAAATGACAATTAGAATACACGTACAAGGAATTTGCTTTGCTGTACTGCAGGTCAAGTAGTCATAAATATGAGTTGAGTCTATGAGGCTAGCTGCAGACAGAAAGAAATTGTACTTGTGCCACTATGTTGACCAGTGCTTGACGTGGGCCTGCACGTCTACATTTTACACTTTGGCGTATCATGACTTTTTCTTGGACACAGGCACATCTTACAAACTGCCGGTACTGGCACCTAATTTTTTAATTTCACTAATTCTTTAATTGCACCAACGCTTACCTGTTCATGTTTTCGTCTGCCTGCTTTTCTCTGTTGGCAGCTCGTCTAAGTACCATTACAACATACAGCAAATGCATGCCAACATGGGGAGTACTGCCATTTATTTATTTCCACTTCGAGCACTGGTGTTGACATGAATAAGTGTATGAATGTTGTGCTGACGTGGGGGATCTCTGTGGAAGGCTGACTTTGTGATGATCCACAATAACACATGACAAAGTCACTCTACTCCTTTTAGGGAAGAGTTCATTGATTAGGACATAGTAATGTTGCTGCACATTTAAAGCATGAACACATCTGATTGGATCATTAATGGATTTTTATCTCCATTGTTTATTTTTTATTCAGTTTGAGTTACTGCAGTTTGTCAGAGATCAGCTGTGCTTCTCTGGCCTCAGCTCTGAAGTCCAACCCCTCCCATCTGAGAGAGCTGCAGCTGAGTAACAACAAGCTACAGGATTCAGGAGTGAAGCTGCTGTGTGGTTTTCTGGAGAGTCCACACTGTAGACTGGAGACTCTGAGGTCAGACATTATTTTTGTATTTCTCTGCTGAGATTAGTATGATGTGAAAGTTGTGTTGACACTGCAGACATAAGGCTGATATTATACCGATCCACACTGAGTATCTTATCTGCTAATGTTATAACTAGTGATTCAGGAGACCTAAAAGCAGGACACAGTCAGACTGCATTTTACTGCCTTTTTAATATGGCTGGGTATACATACTTGTCGCTGCTGATTGGGTAACACCTCTGACACACCCACCAAATGGGAGAAAACATACCTCGAAGCTTGTTGCGTAACGTTGCACACCGTTTTGAGGTAACTTGTCATCCCACTCCAGAAACCATAGCAAACTGGTGCAAAACGTTTTGAAATTGAACCCTGTTGCCCCTGTTTGTCTGTAGGTTTAACTGTCCTGAGATAGCATAAGCTAACATTGTTTTTGAGAAGATAAACTCTATGCTTCTTGCTTATTGTAACATTTTCTGTACTTTCTGTCACTTTCATTGAACAATCTGGTTAGAGAAGTAAGTGAAGAGCTGGGTTTGATATACTGTCAGATGTTGATTTAGTCACAGGTGTGCAGGTGATTTGCAGTAAGAAGGTGCATCTCAATTCTCTTATTTGATCATTTTTTGCTCCTTGCTTGAACCAGAAGTTTTCCTGGTGCACCATCTTGCAGGATGTCCCAAAAGCTTTTATCTGTGCTCTGAGGCATGAGGATTGAGGAGGGATTTCTGAGGAACCATGAGCAAGGATACATGAGAGCAGCCTTCATGGAAGTCTTTTACTGGCCCCCATTCATCTCAAGTTTTTCACTCAAAAGTTTTATATTTGATTTGTTTTTTGATTCACCGTCTAGTTAATATCTGTGTTCATTGTAGGCCTGAACAACACAAGGACCAAAAAAACTTTAGTCATTTATTAGATAGATTTTTCGTTTCGTGATCTCTTATTTCTCCCATTCACTTTTATAACGGACACAATTAAAGTCACAGAGAGTCTGTCCGTCAGCAAGAAACACGTTTTACATAATTGATCATCATTTTCATTGGTTCACATGTGAGGCTGATCATTCTTTAGTATCTGCTTTGACATGAGTAATTTCACTTCAGTTTCCCCTAAGCCTAATAAATCATTTCCATTGTTTACAGTCATGTTCCAGATTATTCGGTTATGAATTCACAATCAGCATATCAATATAATACATAATATATATATACATATTTGGTACATACTCCATCAAAGTTGCTACAGCTGTTAGCCGACAACTGATCCAGCTGTGATGCCAACATCATCAGAAACGGACGTAACTTCACATGACACTTTGTAGGAAGGACATCTCATTTCTCTGTGAACAGTTTATTCTCTCCTTAAATGGTTTCCTTGCATCTGACTGTGCATCCCCGGTGGGCAATCCATATTTTTTAATAATTTATAATAAAACAATGAATAAATAAATATTCTCTATTTCAACCATTAGACAATAACAAATATATTCAATATTTGCTTTTTCAAACATTGTTAAGAAGCTATATGATGCTTATACTGACTGAAAAGTTTAAACTGAAGATGCTTTGATTTTATATCTTTTGTTCATATTTCCCCAAAATCCATCCTGACATATTTGGCATCTTTGGAAACTTTGGGATCTTGAGTTGAATCTAAATCAGTTTTTGTGGGTTTTTATTTGTGTTGGGCTGCGCAACATGAGTTTGTATAGATGGAGCCACTGGTGGAACTGCAGAGTTTAAGAGGTGAAGTCACTACGGCCTTATTGAAGAAGCAGCACGTTGTCATTAATATCAATGAGAGCTCTTTTTACCTCTTTGTATTTTACAGTTTGAACCTGCCTCCTGTTGGTATTAAGTGTTAACACTGAATGATTTCAAGCTGGAACATTTTTTTTTTAAAGCTACATAATTTTTTCTTTATTCAGATTGTGGGACTGCAGTTTGTCAGAGATCAGCTGTGCTTCTCTGGCCTCAGCTCTGAAGTCCAACCCCTCCCATCTGAGAGAGCTGCAGCTGAGTGACAACAAGTTGCAGGATTCAGGAGTGAAGCTGCTGTGTGGTTTTCTGGAGAGTCCACACTGTAGACTGGAGACTCTGAGGTCAGACACCGTTTTTTTACTTCTGTGTTGAGATTAATATGATGTGAAAGTTGTGGTGACACTAAATTGCAGACATAAGGATGATATTACACTGATCCACTATGGGTATTCTAATGTTAATTACTCTTTCTTCTTCACTGGGTTAGTCCATAGATTATGGCAGAGCTATGTTGAGTTCCGCATTTAAAACCTTAATGAAGGGGTGGTGATGGCGCATAGATAAGATGCTTGCCTTTGGTTTTGGAGACCTGGGTTCAATTTCCACTGTAAGACATCCACCATTGTGTCCCTGAGCAAGACACTTAACCCCTAGTTGCTCCAGAGGCGTGCGACCTCTGACACTTATAGCAATTGTAAGTCGCTTTGAATAAAAGCGTCAGCTAAATGAATAAATGTAAATGTAATGCAACATGTTCTTTTTGTGCAATTTGGCACCTCTACTGTTTCACAGTGTAATGCACAGTTCAAGACACCGGGGGCACTCTCCCCCAGCAGCAGCATAATGTTGCTTGTAACTTGGGTGGCAAGCTACCCAACAAAGCCAGAGGAGCACTTGTTATGTTACTGATTAATGTAGTAAGTTTACTAACATCAACTCGAGATTTATAGCTAGCAGCTAAACCTCTGTCTGTGAAACCTCTGGCTGAAATTGATCAAGTTGACAACTTTGCTAATACATCAAGCAAGCAGAACAACACAAGACACAGCAAGTCAGTTAATAAGTTATTACTTAGTCCAACAGAAAGAAGGCCAGCCCAGCATCTGTCCTGCATCCTTTCAGCTCATTCAGCTTATGCCAATGAGTAAAAGCCAGTTCGATTTATACTCTAGTCCAGTCTCTTGCTTGGTCACTCTTTTTCCTCTTCCTTGCTTCCTCCGATATCCTCTTCGGTCTCTTTCCAGCCTCTGCCATGATATCCATACTAAGAATACCAAGTTAGCTTCTTTCAAAGAACTCACATTGTATATTATATACATTTTTGCTTCTTCTTATAGCCTGCTTCCTTAAGATTTTGTTGAAGTGTTGTGGTGCCTTAAAGCATTACGCTGTTCTTGTGATAGAAAACCTGCCCAGGATTTCAGTCCTACATAGTGCAAGAGAAAGCTTCTATGGGCCAGAGTGGCAATGACGTCATTCACCACGATTACAAGTCAGTGTACCATCAAAAGGATTTTGAAGCCTTTTAGATAAAAATACTACATAATGTTGCTTTAATATATAAAAAAAACTACACTGACTGATTTCAAGCAGGAACATTGTCTTCTAAAGTTACGTAATTTATTCTTTATTCAGATTGAGTTCCTGCAGTTTGTCAGAGATCAGCTGTGCTTCTCTGGCCTCAGCTCTGAAGTCCAACCCCTCCCATCTGAGCGAGCTGAGACTGAGTGACAACAAGCTGCAGGATTCAGGAGTAAAGCTGCTGTGTGATTTTCTGGAGAGTCCACACTGTAGACTGGAGACTCTGAGGTCAGACACCATTTTTTACTCCTGTGCTGAGATTAATATGATGTGAAAGTTTTGGTGACACTAAACTGCAGACACAAGGCTGATATTATACTGATCCACACTGAATATCTTAATGCTAAAATTACCTGAGGTCATAGGGTATTTAGGGTCTTTCGAACATCATACACCCTCACTCAGGCAACCCAGCTGAGGTTGATCAAGCCTCAGCTTGTGCCCTAGTAGCAATCTCCCACGGATCCCATTATTATTCTTATTATATATTATGTTATTATTAAACACTGAATGATTTCAAGCAGGAACATTGTCTTTTAAAGTAACATAATTTATTCTTTATTCAGATTGAGTCTCTGCAGTTTGTCAGAGATCAGCTGTGCTTCTCTGGCCTCAGCTCTGAAGTCAAACCCCTCCCATCTGAGAGAGTTGAGGCTGAGTGACAACAAGCTGCAGGATTCAGATATGAAGCCGCTGTGTGATCTTGTGGAGAGTCCACACTGTAGACTGGAGACTCTGAGGTCAGTAGAGGGTTGGAGTCAGTCCATGCTGGTTTCAGCAGTATTGTACGAAACAGAATCAAAGCAAAGATCCAGTATTTCCTGTAAACCTCCAACTTTCTCAGCAGCTGCTTTCCTCAGTGAAGCTGTGAGAGGAGAATGGTGACAGGCTTGCACTCTTGCAACTCTTATTTATGACTTCTGCTGTCTGTCTTCTCTCATCAGATGGAAGTGATCTCTATCAGAGAGGGAGTGATGAGAAAGGTGGTGGTGTTGAGAGAGGATCAGCTGTGTCCTGATGATCCAGAGAGGTTGAAGCAGCAACATCAGCTAAGAGCTCTATTGAAATAAATTATTGATATTTTTATTCTGCAACCTCCCCTGTAATTCAAATCTGCATGGCTAATAAGACACTGTGTAGATTTGACTAATAGTGTAGTACAGAAATCATACAAGACTACATCTATTGTCATGGGTGTGTACAAATAACTGAATCAGGTATAAACATTCATATTTAGTTAAATGTTTAAACACCTTTTAAGAAAGTCTGAACAACCCAAAGTCTCAGTGTGTTTTCAGATTGACTGTATTTCAAAATAAAACACAACTGAATAAAACTTCACTGGAATCACGTTTTGTTTGTTTTCTTGCTCAGTCTTCTTTACAATAAAAAAGTTGCCCCCAGTTTTAAACTGCAAACAGGATGAGAAGCTGCTGTCACTCTCAAACTAATATTGTTTTAGATACAAGAAATAATCAAGAGTCGAAGTATTTATTTAGCCGACTGAAGTCGTTTGATTACCAAAACAAATGTCATAATTGCAGATAAAAACTAACTTTTACTTTCATCAATTGAGGGCACTCCAGCTACTTAGGTCCAGTATTTCTCTCCCTACTGGGTCCTGGATCGGACAGTAATAGAAAGAAATGCCACTCGGCATTTATCCACTTCTAACATACATTTAGAAGCTGTAGAGAATAAAAACAAAATAAAATGAAAAGTGTACTTCTGTCACTTCATCAAATATGAATTCTGTTGTTTCTGGTTTTATAAACTTTTGTACTTTACAGCTAAAACGTCAGTGCCTACTTGTCGCTTGTGCAGCTTGAAATTCTACTTAAGGAGAAACAACATGCTCATTGAAGATAATCATGAAATATTGATTCATTTACAACTTGGTAACGACTCAGCATGATGCACTACTTTACTTATCTTTGAACATTAAATGACAACCTGTGCCTTGTCTTTGTGCTGCGGGGGCCTTGTTTTGAAATCAAAGTGACACAGTGGAATTTGCTCAGCACGTACAGTGATCATGCATAAAGTTTGAAATCTAAAGTTGTAAATGTGAGAACTTGTTTATCATCATGTTTCCTGTAGCATTACTGAATTACAGTTTTATGTGTGACCCGGCTAGGACCCGGCTAGTTTTCACATCACATGATCGACACAGACACATAAAATCACCCTGTGGTGCTTTTTCCCAGTCAGTGTTGATGTCGTTATCAGCAGCGTTCGTGTTCTGTAGCTCCTGCTGGAGCAGTTTTCTGCCAACAGATGTCAGCATTTCCACTGTTTTCCCTCAGAATGCATTAACTGAACTGATGGAGTGAACACCGAACTGTTCATGTGAACGCTTTCTGTCTGAGTCATTTGGCAAAAAATGAATGGAATCATAGTTTAGTTCAAACTGATTTAAAATTGGAGTTAAAATTAACACACAAGTTTGAATGAAACCCTGACTTAATACAACTCAGTTTAGTTTTAATGTAGGGTCTAAGTGGATGATGGTTATATTACTGATCATATACTGCAGGTTTTCTCACATGCCCTCTCTTGATGTACATTGTTTTAGCTAGGTTCACATCTGTGACATGGACACAACTAAAACACATCAACATAAATCAGCTGTGAAACAGGAAGCCGCAACATTTTATGAACCTCCTCAAACCCACCTGTCTCCTCAGATTTCCCCTTAAGGAGCTTGGTCTCCTACCACACAACTGTTAGTGAGTTGAAACACCAGCTGGGGATGGATTTAATAAATAATAACATAAAAACACTTAATATTTCAAAACTTTACATTAACTGAAAAACTATTTCTGTGTGTGTGTGTCTGTCTGTGTGTGTACTATATTCCTGAATGTGCATGTGTCACAGGTGCAATCACTGTGACAATTGTGGTAAATGTTGATGACTGCCCCTGGATTGCAGGCTTTGTGGGACCGCAACTGACAGTTTACACACTTTACCCACATGTCTTTTAGCCCCGAGTTTGCAAAGTGTTCCATACACACAATGTCTATGAAGATTCTCAGTCATCCAGGTCATAGTTATCCAACGAAGGTTAAAGTTGCCCTTGATTTTAACCTTCGTTGCATACACACTATTGTGGCGTTTACCACTAAAACAAACCAGACCCACCAAAACAACTAAAACGCCGCAGCAGGCTGAAACATGAGGATTTACACTAAAGACGCGTCACGCTGAACCATCGTACATATTGAGTCTCTTTATTACGCTATTTCACATACATAGAAAACCAATCACTTACTTTGAGTGATGCATGTTGTAAGCAGTGCAAAAGGTACCTCAGAGACATCAGTGAAACATGTTAGTAATGATGACGATGATGGTAACGGTCAACAGAAAGTTTTTCCCCATGCTCACCCTGCAGCCATGATCAACCCAAGCTTCCCCACAGGTGAGCACACACACATTAATACAGACACCACGCCCCCGGTCACACCCACAGTAACCGATGACGTCACGATGCGCGTGCATGTACACTACAGTGCAAAGAAAAGAGAGGAAACCCAATAAAAACCCAAACAAACCCAGTGTATGGCTCCTACATTCCGGCCCCCAATTATTTTATAGTAATAATTGACCACCACTACAACCCTCTTGTGGAAGACAAACACCAGTTAGAAATGCAAAGTGAAATGTTAGTCCTTTAAAGGTCCTGTTAATGTCAAAGTTCAAGTCTGCTATATCCAAGGATCTTCACTGCTCCTCTGCTTCCTGCAGAAGGCAGACTTTGGTTATTGGCCTTGTCAGATAGCTGGTTTTAGTTTTAATCCGTACACTTCGCACCAGTCCATTTTTGTCCGGAACAGTATCCACAATTCTTCCTATAATCCAAGCATTACGAGATGCCATCTCATCCACTAGCACCACAAGATCTCCTGGGACAAAGTTTCTTTTGGCAGTGTTACGGACTGACCGAATTAGCCTTTCCCAAGCTCCGCTACAACCATATCCTCCATAGACAGAAAACCCTTTGGCACTTGAGCCTTAAAGTCTTTCATCTGGACCTGTAGCTCCTTTTCCAACTGCTCAGCACTTTGTTCCGATTCAGAAAGGGTTCCTCTCAGCAGCTTTCGATGTTGCACCAGAGACAGAAGTAAGGTCTTAAACTTGAGAAGCCAACCAACAGCCCTTTTAGGACGGAACCAGGAGGAAAAGTAATCAATGAGCCTCTCCACTGGACTGACCTGCTCAACCTGAGCCGCATTCACCACCACAGCCTTGACCTCCGGGTCTCCAATCAGAGTGTTTTCCAAGGTCTCAGGATTTTGGGGCCAACTGCTCTCAGGCTCATGAAGGAAGTCAGGACCACGGAGCCATGCACCAGTCTTTAGAAATAACTGAACTTTAACACCTCTGGAGGCTAGATCTGATCTGCTCAGGGCGAAACAAGCACAACTGGGAGAGGAAGTAGCACCAAACAGGTGTACCGTCATTCTATACTCCACCAGCTCCCGACTGCAATCTCCATCAGGCCACCACAGGAATCTTAACAGATCAGAGTCTTCAGCCGGCACTCTGACCTGATGATACATGGCCTCAATATCTCCCATGAGTACTACAGGTTCTTTACGGAATCGTGTAAGCACTCCCACTAACAAGTTTGTGAGATCTGGTCCCTGAAGAAGCTGTGAGTTCAACGATGTCCCCTGAAACGTAACTCCACAATCAAAGACTACCCGCAGTTTTTTCTTCTTAGAATGATACACCCCATGATGAGGTATATACCATACACTTCCTTCACAACGGGTCAACTGCTCAATTGGAACTCTCTCTGCATAGCCGTTAACCAACATCTTAGACATGAATGCGATGTAATCGGAGCGAAAAGATGGATCCTTATTCAAACGTCTTTTAAGACTCAATGCACGCTGTTGTGCCACTGTCTTATTGTTTGGCATTTTGAGGTGTCTTTGCTTCACCGGCAAACCAATACTATAATGACCATCAATGAGCTTAGTAGACTCTGAGACCAACTCAATGAAGCGCTTATCCTCCACTGACAGACCAGGTTGTTCATCCTGCAGAGTTTCAGGGAAATCTACCTTCAACTGCTTCTCCCAAAGCTCATCAAGCCTCGCCACCGAGATCCGATTGACTGTGATGTCAGGCTGCAAACATTGTTCACTGATATGACAATCTCCATGGAGCGGGCCATTCACCGTCCAACCCAAGATGGTCTTAATCGCATTAGGGCCCCCGTTCTCTGCACGAACCACCTCCCACGGCTCCAGGATTCACATCAAAGAATCAAATCAAAGAAACCTAACATGTTTTTGATGGTGGGGGAAACCGGAGAAACCCACGCAGACACAGGGAGAACATGCTAACACAAAAAGGCTGGGACAACAGGGGCTTGAACCCATGACCTTCTTGCTGTGAGGCCACAGTGCTATCCACTGGACCACTATGCCACCCTATAATATTACTGATTGTAAGGGCAGAAAATTGTTTTTTTCTTACACTTATAATCTTTTATGCAAGTACTTATAAGAGTGCTATTTTTCTCCTGTTATTATGTCTTATATATTGTTTTAAATCTTTAACCTGTTCCCCTCTTTATTATTGTTCTTGTTATTCCAGTCTGTCCACATGTGTGGGGTTTAGGTCAGGGATGTGGGGTTGTTGATCGTTTTCCTCACTAGCTGTTCTTCTCCTTCCTTGACTGGGACCAGTCAAGGATCTTTTGTTCCCCAAAACATAGATGCTCAGACTGTGTAAATGATCATGCAATTGTTTGCTCTGGGTCAGACGTTAGTGACTGTCTTAGGAGACAGAACCTCTGCTCCAGCTGATTCTGTTGTAGTACTTCTCTGTTTATTCTCTTTTGTTAAATAAATTCTTCAAAGACAACGGTTCGTTGTAACTCAATAATTTGCTCAACCTCTCACCAGGAATGCAATTTCCACGACACTGATCATTAATATTGGTCATTATAATGTTTGTTGTTATTTATTTTTATTTCTTAGAGAAAGATTTAATTTGTCTTTTAAAGGTAACATAGTCACGCATTAAACCAAAAATGCTCCTATTCTATTTTTCTTTGTTTTCTATGAACAAATGTTAGTTGGATGTCCTAAATATCATTATTTACATGTGATTGTGTTTATGCATCTTTATGATTATGTATAATTTGTTGGTCACATCTGCAAAAAGAAACTGCTCTATATACACATGTTTCGGGGTAATTTTATTATGGATATATGACACTTAATAACAGTTGAATGTTTTGATGTTTCATTTTGTTTTTATTTTATTTTTTAGTTTAGAGTATTGTTCCAAATGTAATATTAAAAAAAAGAGTCTAATTGCCTTTATTTATCCACGATATCAGTGTTAATGGGAGTTGTGGATTTTAATACTGCACATTAAAAACAAACAATAAAACAGCTGAACATTAAGTTTATTAATTAATGAATTCAAATAGTCTGCTTCAGTACTCAGTTAATCTGTCAAGATCTTTATGATTAGAAATAGTCTTTCTTTAAATTTTTCCAATATGTGCATGAAGTGCAGCTGAAACACTGAAGTAAAACACAGCTCATTTAAAATGTCTGAGTTAAACAAGAACATGTATGGTATGTGATTCCTCGCCTTTGTTGTGCTGATAATAATCTGCTCAAACCAGTCAGACAACGCAGGCTGCAACATCACGTCAAGGCTCAGTTCACAGCGCCAGCAGCATTCAGCACAGACCGACTTCAACAATATCACAAAATAAATAATAATTCAGACTATTCTTTGGGAGAGTAAACTGCATGTTCAGGAATATGTTGCATTAACTGCAGGGTTATAATAATATATAAAGAATATTTTAGTGTCCCAGGAGCCCCAGTTTTGTGCCTCTTGTGCAGTGTGCAAACTGTAGCCTACCATAGCTTTCGGGGGAAGTTCACTTTTTTTGCCCTCTCCTTTTCTAAAACACAAACTAAAAATTCACACCTTGTTTTTTATGATACTGGCATTGCACATTACTGCTACGACCCGTGAGGTCTGTGTTCCGTATTTGTGTTGCTGTGGGTGTATCTGTCTGTCTCCTAACTTGACGCATATTTTGAGTCCTTCCTTGGTGTTTTCCACCCGGTTTATTTATCTTTTGTTCGTCCCACACCCCTAGATAAGCCGGGGACGTAACAATTACAATAAAAATTATATATAATTATATTATCTACCTTCTTTGTTTGGATCATGAAGTGAAATGATTTCTGTGAAGTGTGAAAAAAGAATAAATGTCTTTAGGTGTGCAGCTGGATCTGGCTGAGGGGCTGATAGAGAATCAGTGATTATGATATACAGAGCAATGATAAAATCAGCTATTGATTATGGATGTATGGTCTATAGATCAGCATCCTCTACAGTGATCAGTAAACTTAATATAGTCTAAGCAAAAGCCCTTAGAGTGTGCAGTGGGGCAGGCCATAAAACTCCAATATCAGCACTATTAATAGAAAAAGTGGAGGTGCTATAAGAAATTAGAAGATATATATACTTGGTTTGAAGTATTTATTTATTTTAAAGGACAGAATGGAAAAACTACCAACACAAAGCCTGGTGAGTTTATGGGAACAGCAAGAAGGGTCGAAACAAACTTTCCGCAGAAAAAGTCAAATCTATGGCAGAGAGAATTTGTATTGTGAATATTAATGTATGTCCACCAATATGTCATCCAGCTCTACCATCATGCTTTGATGGATTTCAGATCATGTCTAAGTCTTCACAGCCATGATGATGGCAGATCTATGGGCATTAAGGTAAGTTGAAGATAATAAACAGGGGCATTCAGTTTTATGTAGTGATTCAGCAGCAACTCTAATTAAAGAAACAAAATCCAAGGCCAAGCCTGGCGTGCTTGTGTTAATTTTACAGGTGTTGTGTATAATTCACAAGACAAGGTCTGAGGTGGGGTCTCTTTGGGTCCCAGCACACATGGTGTGGAGGGGAATGAGAAGGCAGATGAGGGGGCAAAGAAGTTGGTGCAGGAGGAAAGAGTAAGGTAAGTAAGGAAAAATAATTCACAGTATGAGTCACTAGAAGTCAGTAAAAGAAATGTGGCAGAATTCATGGGAGCATTAAAGGAAGGGGAGGGCATCATTTTCAGGACAGAGAATCGCAGAGAAAGAAAAATGTACTTAAATACAAGAGAAGAGATGCAGTAGTTATACCCAGATTGAGGTTTAGGCACTGTGGGCTCTGATTGCTGAACATCTTGATTTAAAGTGTGAATGAGGAGACAAGGAAAGAGCGACCTGGGTGCAACTGGAGAAAGACAATCTTCCCTTGCTCTTCTTGCCGACTGATAGCCAGTCAACTCTGAGATATGAAATGACGCTGTGGTGGGGCTACAGGCTGTTGGCCAAGGACACAATGGTAGATGTGTTCCAGTGGGGAATTGAACCCAGGTCTCTCACAGCAAATGGAGGCATCTTATCCACTGCACCATGTGTTATTTTTTGAGGTAAGTCAGTCTTTTTGTTAACTTTATATATTTTTGTTATAACATTTACTGCTTTGTGGTTAAACTTACAAAGACATGATTTAAGTTTTATATGTCTATGCAGATATTGTCATGCAAGTTGTTAGTGCTCATGATTTAGCTGCAAGCTGTAGGGTAAACTAGTTCATGGCTACAATAGTCTGGGTTAGTTGTAACAACAAAGGAAATATCTAGCTGTATTTATATATTATCTTTGAATTTCAATTAAATTTTATTTATATAGCGCCAAATCACAACAACATTTGTCTCACAGCACGTCATAAGAGAGCAGGTCTAGACCGTACTCTGATGTTTGTCAGATTTGTGTGGTGAAGAAGGTTGGAGGACCCAAACGCAGGACACAGAGCGGAGCAGGTATAGTTTGGTGGTTTTAATAAAACAAAAGGCAAACACACTTACAAACAGAGTGGCTGATTGACTGACTGAGTCCAAAAACAAAGGTTGTCCAACAGAAATCCAACAAACAAAATCCAATAACGGCAGGGAGACACGACAAGCGATGCTGACGACACGAAACACACTGCTACACAGGGTGACAGCATACAATGACCCAACAAAGACAAGACAGAAACACCAGGTATATATACACAGGGACTAACGAGCAGGGCGGGAGCAACACAGGTGAAAGACATGAGGCTAATGAGGCACAGGTAGGGAGAGAGAGAGCGGGGAAAACAGAGACAGACACACAGAGGGATCACTGGGGTAACAGACATGACAAGGGTTACCAAACACTAGACGACAGACAAGGCAGAACCCCAAAACCCAACAGACCAAAATAACGCTAACTAAACACAAAAGTGCAAAACACGGCATGGCAGACAGGCAGAGTGTGACAATGTTATTTACAGAAGCCCAACAATTCCCACCAAGAGCAAGCACTAGGCGACAGAGGCAAGGAAAAACTTCCTTTTAAGAGGCAGAAACCTCGATCATCTGCCTCGACCGGTTGGGGTGAAGGGGGAGAGAGAAGAGAGAGAGAGAGAGAGAGAGAGAGAGAGAGAGAGAGAGAGGCAGCCTACACAATATAGACACACAGAGGTACAGACAGTAAAGGTGATGTTGCTATTGACTAAATGAAAAATGGTACAGATATTTATAGTAACATTTATGATAATAATCGTAATGTTAATGATAACAATAATAACAATAAGACTAGCAACAATAGTCGTTGCAGCAGAGGGTGTCGAGCAGGAACACGGGGGCAGCAGGTGACCCGCAACCACAGATCCAGACTCCACAGCTCCAGAGCCAGAAACACCTGCAGGAAGTGATAGGAGGAGAGAGGAGCTCAGTGCATCATGGGAAATCCCCCGGCAGTCTAGGCCTATAGCAGCATAACTAAGGGATGGTTCAGGACTACCTGAGCCAGCCCTAACTATAAGCTTTATCAAAGAGGAAAGTCTTAAGCCTACTCTTAAAGGTGGAGATGGTGTCTGCCTCCTGAACCCAAACTGGAACCTGGTTCCACAGGAGAGGAGCTTGATAGCTGAACGCTCAGGCTCCTAGTCTACTTTTGGAGACTCTAGGAACCACAAATTTCAGTAGTCGGACACACACACACACCGTAATGTTTAATTATTTCATTATTATGATTAAGTGTTAGTATAAGACCTGTAGGATTATCTGTGTGTCATGAAGCCTGCACTCCAGTTTTATATGTCTATCACCACTGTGACAATGCAAGACAAACAAGCACAAACACACGCTGTCTGTGATACTTGACACACACACACACACGCGCGCGTGCGTGCCTGATTTCTGGTTAATGGAGAGGGGAGGAGCAACACTGATCTTGTGATCCAGGTGAGAACAGGGAGGGAACCTGAAAGTTCAGTCAGTTCAGGCTCCAGTTTGAGTCGACAGAGCAGAAGGAGCAAACCTGAAGGCTGAGGCAGGGTGAGTGTTAATCCAACATTTTTATTATTTTACTGTCAAAGTCTCTGAGTCAGTTTTCTCCCTGTGGACTGTAGAGGAAAGAAATGTTAGAGTGAACTCAACACTTTGATTCATCTGTGGACACAAAGTTGTGATTGGCTGAATAAAACACATTAAACCTAAAACAAGCACAGATTTAAAGAAAAGAGAGCAGGTGGAGTTCTGACTGTTTTTTTTAAACTGTTTATATATATGTGTGCGTGTGTGTGTGTTATTTCCTCTTCTCTCAGTCTTGTTTGTGACTCTTGAACAAACTTGTTCTTCTTGATCCTTGTGAGCTCACAGTCAGTGTCACTGTTTTACCTCTCAGACTGCCTGAAGTCCAGAAGATGAGGGTTTGTGTGGAGGAAGAGGAGGACAGAGCAGAGTCTCCAGGATCCAGCTGTCTGTCTATGAAGAGTGACCGGTCCAAAGCTGATCCTCTATTATTCAGTAATGAACCTGGACCCTCAGACACAAAGTAAGAGTCTGTTGAGGATGAAGACAACAATGTTCTGCTAAAAAAATTATATTCATGTTGCAGAACTATTAGTGCAGATACTTTTTCAAACTAAGATAGATCTGATTTGTTTGTGCGGCAAAACACCTGAGAACCTCCATTTCAGAATTTACACTTCAAGAAAATAATAATATTTTTGCCTTCATGTTGACGTCACTGTAAAGATTTAGAACGATTCAGAATCTGAAAGAATCTGTTTCAAATGTGCAATTCTCTTTTTACAGACCAGCTGTTATGATCCACCAAATGCATCTTGAATCAGTTCATATTATAATTTTTCAACATGTGCTAAAAAAGAATTTGTAGAAAAGCTTTGCTCACCTTGATTCTTGAGTCTAATCTTTAGCTGACTACATATTTAAAATATGTTCCATGGTTAGTAGAGAGTGACAGAAGTCATAATGAGAATGACATACAAGAAAGGGGACTTGAATCTGTTACACCACTGTTACATGCTATGTGTCTTAAACTGCTGGTCTACCCCGATTATTTAGACCACTTCTAACCTCAGTTCAAAGCTAACTCAAGTTGAAATGAAAGGAACAATCATCTTCACTGAACACTTTAACTGTTCTTCTACACAGTGTCGGACAAATGTGGATATTTTTCAACAACAAGCAACAAATCAGTCATGTTTGAGTCATGTTTCTGTGGAGGAGCAGACGTCTTTCTCTACTTTGTGTCAGGACGTCCTGAAGGATCCAGTCTCTACCAGCTGTGGACACTGGTTCTGCAGACAGTGCATCACCTCATACTGGGACCAGTCTGCTTCACCAGGAGACTCCTCCTGTCCCCAGTGTGGAGAAAGATCCAGAACAAGAGCTGGACTGCAGACAGCCGGTCAGATCAACACTGTACAAAGTAAGACTGGACATCTTAAAAATGTAACCTGCTACATTTCATTATGTTTGTTAACAGAATTACTATAAGTGGATTCAACCATGTGTATACAACCCAAAAATGTCAAGAACCATGCAAGTACATGAACATCAAATAAACTGAAAGGTTTTAAGTTCTATATTTAGTTTTTGAGTTTAAGGCTGAAGATGTGCACAGTTTATGCTAAAGCATAAAGTTTTTGTTGAGTGGTAGCTGTAGGGAGTGAGTAGAAAGCCGATTGGCAGTAGTGGAGCGAAGTGAACAGACTGGAGTGTTTGGTTTGACCATGTCCTGGATGTAAGATGAGCCGTAACCATTCGCACCATGGCAGGCAAGTGCCGGTGTCTTAAATCAGAACGAAGTCACTGGTAGTCAGTGCAGGGTTCAGAAGAAAAGACCATCTGAGCTGCTGCATTCTGGATGACCTGCAGAGGACTGATGGCACATGAGGCATACCAGCCATTTGTAAGTTGCAGGAGCCTAGGCATGAAAAGAGCCTCCTGGGTGAGGCACTGGCTCTGACCAGCTTCAAAAACCCTGACTGAACTAGAACTTTACAGAGGCCAACCTGAGATGGTCTCCTCCCTCAAACCAAAGCCACATCTAGAGCTAAACTGATTGGATCAACAAGTGTCTGTGCTGCTGACCAGAGAGAGAGCTCTCTTATTATTTTCTCTTTATCCCACCATAGAAAATAATTGGTTTTTTTTTTGTAGCAATTGGGGAAAGAGTTTGAATTTCTTTGTGCAACCCTGTGTTGTAGAATAAAAAATAAATGAACCTTGTATCTGTCAGTACTTTTGTACTTTCTAACTGAATCTCTGTGGTTTGGATTTTACTCTTTGTCCTGTGATCCTATTTGAAGGCTAAGAGGTCAGCTTTCTCCTGTTTACTGTTACTTTGGTTACGTCAGAGCTTTGTACATTTGCTGCTGAAGTTGACTTGACATTTCCTGCTGCTGCTTCACATAAAGTTTTACATCGGCAAACCAGCAGGAGGCTTTTATTGTGAAGCATCTACAAAACATTGGGTTTATTTGTCACAGAGATTTGAAGTGTGCTATTGAATAAAAACAGTTCTACGGAGCAACACATATTCTGTATTATTTGTTTGGTGGATCAGTTTTAAATAGCACAAGAATGAAAGAACAGCTACAGTGAACTTTTCATATCAATATCAAACTGAGCCTGTTGCCTCTGCTGTCAATCAAAACATACACCAACACACAGTCAGAGGCTGAGATTGATCATTTTATTGGTCATAAAAATAATCACCAGATTGTCAAATTGACTTTGTTTTGTCTCAAACTTTTTTTCTCTGTTTCAGTCAGTGGTGGTCTGCAGGAAGTTTTAGATGAACATAAGATCAGTCTGAGGAGGAGATGTGAATGTGTGACTGAAGGAAGTGATGAAACAGGAAGTGGAACCCTCCTCAACAGGATCTACACTGAGCTCTACATCACAGAAGGACAGAGTGAAGAGGTTAATACCCAACATGAGGTGAGGCAGCTTGAGACAGCTTCCAAGATGGAGACCCTCCATGAAACTCCAATCAAGTGCCACGATATCTTTAAAGCCTTACCTGGCCAACAGAGACCCATCAGAGTGGTTCTGATCAACGGAGTCGCTGGCGTTGGAAAAACCTTCTTAGTGCAGAAGTTCACTCTGGACTGGGCAGAGGGCTTGGAAAACCAAGATGTCAGTCTGCTGGTTCTGCTCTCATTCAGGGAGCTGAACTTGATCAAAGATGAGCAGTACAGTCTCCTCACGCTGCTCCATGTTTTCCATCCAACATTACAGAAGGTCCCAGCAGAGAAGCTCGCTGTCTGTAAACTGTTGTTCATCTTTGACGGCCTGGATGAAAGCAGACTTTCATTGGATTTCCACAACAGTGAGGTTGTGTCTGATGTCACACAGAAGTCATCAGTCAACCTGCTGCTGACAAACCTCATCAAGGGGAATCTGCTTCCCTCGGCTCTCGTCTGGATAACTTCCAGACCTGCAGCAGCCAATCATTGTCTTGACAGGGTAACAGAAGTATGAGGCCTTACTGACGCCCAGAAGGTGGAGTACTTTAGGTGGAGATTCAGTGATGAAGAGCTGTCCAGCAGAATCATCTTACACATCAAGGAGCCTCCACATCATGTGTCTAATCCCAGTCTTCTGCTGGATCACTGCTACAGTTCTGCACTGGGTTGCACCAACTATGTGTAAGTTCAAACTTAGCCTAGTTTGAATGTAACTTAAGTCGGGGTTTACGTCCTACTAACGTTTTAAGGGTTGCACCAGCTGAAATACGTCAGCTCATTTCGGTTAATGAAGCAAAATGCAGATCACAGACTGGTTAAGTTATGAAGGTATGAATTGAAAATGTAGCGAAATTAAGAGTAGATTACTAGCCCAAATGGATTAAAGAGTAAAAATATAAATAATAAAGGAACGTGAAAAGGCAATGACTTCCATCCATCCATCCATCGTCAACCGCTTATCCTGTACAGGGTTCGCGGGGGGGCTGGAGCCAATCCCAGCTGACATGGGGCGAAAGGCAGGGAGGCAATGACTTACTTTTATTTATTTATTTTTGCAAATTTGCGTTACTTGTAACAAGTTACTACCCAGCCTGCTGCAGGCGCCCTCACTGATCTCCTCTTCCTCTTCAGGAAGGTTGTAATAACAGTAGCACAGAAGAAAAGTCTGTAATATTGAGGCACTTAGCTGCCTTCAGCAAACTTGTATTTCTTGTCCCTTAACTTTTAAAGGGACGTAATTTTCTGCGACGCTGTTTTGATTAGTATGGACTTTATGCCAGAGTAGCACCTTACGTCTTGGTGGTGCAAACAAACATCAACACAGCTTAAGTCTCAAACTAACTAGTTTCAACGTATTGTTTAGTGTGGACTTTGCACCCTAACTTAAGGTAGAACTTGCGTATCACTGGTGCAACAGGCTGCTGGAGCACATGTTGATACAGACCAGAGAGGAGAGATGCCCTAGACACTGACTGACCTGTACTCACACTTCCTGCTGGTTCAGACAAAGAGGAAGAAGCAGAAGTACGATGAGGGACATGAGACAAGTCCACAGGAACTGATGAAGGCTGACAAGAAGGTTCTTCTAAAGCTGGGGAGGCTGGCGAACATCATGTTCTACCAAGATGACCTGGAGCAGTGTAGCAGTGTGGTCTTGATGTTATAGAGGTCTCGGTGGACTCAGGAGGTCTCGGTGTACTCAGAGATCTTCAAAAGAGAGAGTATGATCCTTCTTCCAGAAAATCTGAGCGTTCAGGAGTTTCTGGCTGCAGTCTACATGTTAGGAACAGGAACACACAGGTGCTGGAGGACTTCCTGGGAAAAAACATTCTGATTCAACCCTGGATGTCTTCCTGATGGGAGCAATGATGAAATCCCATGAAAGTAAAAATGGCCACATCGACCTGTTTGTTCGCTTCTTTTACGGCCTCTCTCTGGAGTCCAATCAGAGACTCTTAAGAGGCCTGCTGGGTCGGACAGACAACAGTCCAAAAATCACCCAGTAAGCCATCAACAACCTGAAGAGGATGAACACAAAAAGGAAAGCAAAACACTCACCGTCAGCCGGGCTGTCCCCACAACACTTTCTTTTCTTTTTTGGTACCTTGATTTCCCTTTCTTTCGGATAGACATGACTGTCACAAGACAAGCCGTTACACTCCTTGATTAGACGTTTAGAGATGAAATCCTAGTGCGGCCGATTTAGTCAGCTAATTTTAAGTTATGAAACTACTTGCTTAGCAATAAAACATTCCAGGATTTTCAAGAGCCCTGGGTCATCAGACCTAAATCATAGCTGTTTCGAAACACTGCTCAGCAAAGCAACAAAACACCAGTGCCACGTGACTATGGTTAAGCAAAGCTTCAGTGTGTTTCTCCCCAGCCTTGTCAGTGAGACCCATATTATTCAAAGTGCAAATGCTGATGCCATTGCAGAGGTTAAAAAATTTGAGACAGATGCTTTTCTTCCAAGGACAGTCGCACCTGAAGGCCTAGGCCTATTTGGCATAAAAGTAGGCCTACTTATGTATGCCAGCAACAGACACCCTGGCTGTTTCTCAATCTGCGTTCTTGTCTGTACTTGTGTTCTTGTGGACTTGTGAAACATCATAAGTCGCAGCCAAAGTACTGTTCCAATTCAAAAGTCTGCATCTAGTGTGTTCTAATGTGTTCTCGCTCCGCCCGTTTTCCCGTGCCTGCATCAGTGGTGACTTGTGTGGACTTGGAAATAACCCACAATGCATTTCGCCGCCAAAAAGCGGAAATGTCGGATGAGAAAACTCTGTAACTTATAATACTGCTGTTCTTGTGTCACATATAGTAGTTTAAAGAGTTTTTTATGCGGTAATATAGTTGTTTAAACTACAAAAATGTGGTTGATTTCTCAAGACAGAGCTGATTTTAAAAATTGCTACGACGTTTTCGGAGATGTGAGGTCCCGCCCGCTAACGGGTCCGGCCGTCATCAAGTCCGCTGCTGTTCCAAATGCTGAATGACTGACTGTGTGCTCCCGATCCTGGGAGTTTGTACTCCCGAGCCAAACTTGCCAAGTCTGAGCTTTAAAGTACAGAAGTCCGAACTTGGCGAACTACGTATTGAGACACCAAAAGCGCTAGTAGCTAGCTAGGTAGCTAGCTATGTTAGTATAAAAGGCGTTGACAGCTTCCCAAAGCACCTTACCATTACCCTAACTATCAGGGTGTGTGCCTAAACCTAAATCAGCGATTGTATGCATGTTGACCAGCTAACCTGACGGCCAATGTGCACAGCTATAGCGTTAGCCTTGAGTCTGAGGTGCTACTTTGTTAGATTGTTGTCAAATCAGAAAAAACTGTACTGTTAAAGAAGGTTTTTCATATCTTAAGTATATTCCTATTACATCATAGTGAAAAGTTTAATCTCCAGTAATTAAAAAACATTTTGTCATCTTGACTTGAAAGATTTGGACTATATAGTGAGCTCGCCATTTTGTAGTGCTGTCCGAATGTATAGTGATAATTATTATACCCTGTAAAGTCCACTCAATGTATCCCAGAATGCATTTTGAAAAGTAGTGTACAATCGATGGTCACTAAACATCATGCATTGCGCTGACAGAAAAACTGATCGGAGTAGTATCCGAAAGTATTGTTTTAATACTGCGAGTGAGTTCACTATGTAGTCCTCTACATACAACTCCATACATAGAGGGTATAGGGAGTAGTGAATGTGTGGGGATTTAGGACACAACCACTGACAACTGCTTCGTAAGCTTTTCCACGCGGTTGGAGATTATCCACTGCGCATGCACAAAACAGAATTGACAGCATCGTGGGAAATGGGAAAACAAATAAAGAAAATGTAAATTTTACTTATTAGTTTGTTTTGTTTCCTTGTTTATAATATTTCCCGTCTTGAGCATAAAGCAAGGAAACAAACATCAGCTTTCATATTTGGTACATACAGACTAACAGAAAAACAAAATATTGATTTGTTTTTTCTTTTATCAGATTAAATGGAATAACTGAATGATCGGATGATACACGGACTCAAAAGCCAACATGTGTGCACCAGTTTTCAGATCACCCTTAACAAGCTTTCAAACCCGAAAAACAAACTAATGCACTGGGAGAACAGTGACAAATTTGAAACTGAAACATTGTTTGCGCAACATTGTAAAAAAAAGAAACAAAAGAGTGTTGCTGTTATAAAGAAGGAAAACTCAAATACAAAATAAAGTTTGCAGAGAACAGTTTGCAAACCTTCAAAACTTGGTTTTAGGTCTTGCAAAACTTTTTTGTTAGATTTTGAGTTTTCAAACACTTAGTTTCAACCTTTCAGAACTTTGTTTTTAGTTTTGATATATTCATCCCATGCAATGGCGATACTTTACCGCTGGGAGGCTGAAACACATCTTGAGACTGCCGGGAAAAAGAAGAAAGAAGAAGAAGAAGAAGGGCTGATGGGAAATCTTGCTTGTCAACTTCCAGTGAACTGATGAACTGTTGTTCACTTCTTCCCTAGTTACACAGTTCATAGGTCCCTTTGTACTGAACAAAGTTGGGAATCTCAGTTGATGGATGAATACCTGTGCAGTCCACTTAGCAGCGAACTTCTGGGCGATCTGAACGCACACAGTGTTGTTTCGTTGGCGCCCCGTCAATGAGCTCGAGCTTGATAACCAGCTGATGTTGTGGACAAACTCAGCGGCCATTCACAGAGAGAAGCAGCGTCAGACAGTGAATCACAAGTGTTGCAGGTTTGTGAGTGCGCAGTTGTTATACTTGAGTCAAGTGACTGTATTGTTCTGCATGCACCTCGCGGCTGGTACAAAAATATATATAGCTCGAATCATTTATCACTATTAACAACTATACATTATCTCTAATAAATGTTTTAAATACACATATCGTGTCATGTAGAAAAACGATTCAGCCTTTTAAGTAGATTACCCATCCACACGACTCCAAAGACGACTCAGAAAGGTATGTTTTGACTTTTTAATGAACAACAACAGAAAGAGGCTTTTCGTGAGGACAGCTACGTTTTCTCTTCCTGTTTTAAACAGCTGTCGTATCTACGACAACCACGGACGCATTTGGCTGACGGCCACCAGTTAACTGGGCCACTCGGCAAAACTCTGCGTAACAGCTGTTCGCTAGTTAGATGTTAGGTGAAAATCATTTAGCTTCCGATAGACGTGATTCGGAAAAAATACTCAGGCGACAAGCGGTGTCACGAAAGAAATGCGTCTGATAGATAGACAGCAGGTGATGCTCCCACCGGAAGAACCACACGTCCTCGTTTTAAAGTCACTTTCTTTCCTGTTACCATACTGGCATTGTGAGCGCGCTCCGTTTGTCAGTTACAAAATCGTCTAGTTTTTGCTGAAAGTGAGTAAAAACATTCTTTAAACTGTAATAGACATTTAGCTTAATTGCTAAACTACAAGTGAATGATATTTCAATGAATTTGAATAACGTCATTGGGAGTTTTATTGGCCGCAATATATAAGCAGCCAGCAGTGTGTCATAGCCATGCAGTAGGATAACACCTTTTGCTTTCATTTCTGTGGAGACCAAAGGACGAAATAAAGCGACGACTTTCGATTTTGAAATGACCAGTGTTCACGTATTATTGAACCTATAAACAACTTTCTATCTGTACAGTTGGTTTTAACATTTAACCCATGTTGACAGTTTTGCTCACATACCTACGTTAGAGAGGGGCAGATGACTCTAAAGTTTGTTTCCCTCCTGTACATTATTGTGCCTGAGTTTATATGAAATGATTATTTCAGGGCACTGTATTTTTTCACACAGATGAGTCAGCTAGGGAAGAGGATGGACAGGTATTACAGCTATATATATATATATATATATATATGAGAGAGAGAGAGATTCAAAATAGTTATTGTCATGGTTGATGTCATTTAATAATTATAAATTATAATATTTAACAACTATAAAGTATTAATTATTAATAATTATTTTTATTATAGAGAGGTGGCGACACTTGTCTTTGATTCTTATTGTGACATAAGTTATTGTCGCGGGTCCTGCTATACTACAGCCGCCATAACAGAGACCAGTGATTATAGATTGTGTGATTGCAACGCTGCTGAATAAATGACCACCCTACTAAAATTTCACATGCTGTTTAATATCCATGCGCAACCAATGAGTTTCTGTGCGAGCACGGAAACACTCAATGCTTGGCGAGATCTCTGTGTGTCCTTTGTGCATGCAAGCAAATGAGAGAGAGAGATAGAGGCAGGCAGAAAGTGGTGAAACAGCTGAGGAAAATATATATAAGTGGTTAGTGCTAGTAAACATTTCCCCAGTACAGCACATTTTTTAACATTTTTAAGTGTTGATTTGAGAAGCTAAACTGATCAACAACTTAATGTCGGCTCCTGCCTGCTTGGTCTAAACTTTTTTTAAAAATCATTTAACAAACAAAAAAATGTTCCAAACATTTTTCTAAATGAACTTAGTAAAGAAACAAAAAGAAATATAATAAATTTGCCATTATAAACAGAACTGAACTGTTTTAATGGCTGCAGTAGGCTAAAGGCTATATTGGGGAGGAGGAAAAAAACACGGCCTCCGGTTGGGCTCGGGCTGGGCGCTCTGATAAGCTGTCGGACATGGGCCGGGCTAGGGCTGGGCGTCTCGGGCCACGGCCAGGCTAGGGCCCAGATCTGAGGCCCGTGCAGGGCTCTAGTGTGTGTTACTTTCGTTCTCTCTTCTGTTAATCTCTGTCTTGTTTTTTTCAACCAACTTGTTGTTGTTGTTCTTGTGTTCTGAACTCACTGTCAATGTTACTGTTACCTCTCAGACTGACTGAAGTCCAGATGATAAGTGTTTGTATGGAGGAAGAGGAGGACAGAGCAGATTCTGCAGCATCCAGCTGTCTGTCTATGAAGAGTGACCAGTCGAAAAATATTCCTCTAGCCTTCAGTAATGAACATGCACCCTCAGACACAAAGTAAGAGACTGTTTATATTGTAAACTGACCTGACGGAAGATGATGCATTGAGGATGAACTCAAAAGCTAAAAGATTTATATTCATGATGCAGAACTATTAGTGCAGATACTGTTTCAAACTGAGATAGATCTTTCTTTCCGCAGCAAAACACCTGAGAACCTCCATTTCAAGTAAATATTCATATATTTTTGCCCTCATGTTGACGTCAAAGTAAAGATATTCAAAATCTGAAAGATGTTATTCATTTTCTTGATCCCAAAATATTTAGTTGTTGTGCATTCCCAGATCAGCTATTATAATCCACCAGATGTTATTGATGATATCAATATTGTTCAACATGTGGTGAAAAAGCATTTATAGAAAAGCTTTGCTCTCCTTGACTCTGTGTGTTGATGGTTTGAGTTTAATCTTTAATTGACTACTTGTTTAATAAAATGATCCATGGTTAGTAGAGAGTGACAGAAGAAATAAAGGTAATTACTATCTGTCTGTTTGGAAGCAGAAAAGTAATGACACTTTTACTGTTCTCTGTGACCGTCTGAGCTTCTACACAGTGTCGGATATTTTTCAACAACAAGCAACAAATCATTTTTATTTCTAATGAAATGTCTTCACAGAGGGAGGAAGAGGAGTCATGTTTATGTGGAGGAGCAGCCGTCCTGCTGTGCTTTGTGTCAGGACGTCCTGAAGGATCCAGTCTCTACCAGCTGTGGACACTGGTTCTGCAGACAGTGCATCACTTCACACTGGGACCAGTCTGCTTCATCAGGAGACTCCTTCTGTCCCCAGTGTGAAGAAAGATCCAGAACAAGAGCTGGACTGCAGAAAGACAGTCATAGCAGCTCTGTACAAAGTAAGACTGGATATCTTAAAAATGTAACCTGCTACATTTCATTACATTAAGTTTGTTTAGAGACTTATAGGCTTGGGTGATCTTCTCTATTTTTACATCATCTGATCATGGCTACTTGTGATCATCCATTGGCGATCTGATCGCGAGGGGGCGGTGTTATGTTGCAACATGCCAGTGAAATGCCAGCGTGAAAGAAATAGGCTCATTAGCTTTAAGAGAAACCACCAGAAACATCTGTAAATGCACAGTGCAGTGTTTCCCACAGAATTATTGTGTAATAGGCAGAGGTGGGACCAAGTCATCGTTTTACAAGTCCAAGTCAAGTCTTAAGTCTTAGCACTCAAGTTCCAAGTCGAGTCCCGAGTCTCCTAATATCTCGCTTAACAGAGGAGAAAGAAGCTCGGGTGCCTTTCATGCAGTTGTGTACATAAAGTTGCTCATCAACTTAGCTTTTCGCGAACCGACTAATCACAGCCTGGATGTGACGGGACCGTACCAGAATGCAGGAAATGAAGTTTAATGCTCAATCTTTTCAGGGGGAGGACCCCAGACTCCAGATTGAATATTTCTTCATAACAGTGTACTATTATTTTCTTTTCTTGTCAAGCCTAGAGACTTAAAATAAGTGCATTCAACCATGTGGATACAACCTAAACATTGCAAGAATCATGTAAGTACATCAGTTACATCAATCAGACCGAAGTCACTGGTAAGACCATCCTGGATGAGCTGCAGAGATTTGATGGCAAAGCTCTGTTTTTAAAAGTTTCTTTGCGTTCGCCTCGCCATAGAAAATAATTGTTTCTCTTTAAGCAATGTAGCAATTAAGACTACATATTAAACATGACAAATAAATGGTACTTTAGTCATATCAGAGCTTTGTTAATTTGCTGCCAATGTTAACTTGACATTTCCTGCTGCTGCTTCACGTAAAGTTTTACATCGACAAACCAGCAGGAGGCTTTTATTGTGAAGCAGCTATAGGAAAAAAGTCTATTTGTCTGAGATTTGCAGTGCTATTGAATAAAAACAGGTCTACAGAGCAAAACATAGACATGTTCTGTATTATTTGTTTGGTGGATCAGTTTTAAATTTCACAGGAAGGAAGGAAGTAACAGCCACTAAGTGCTGTAGACCAGCTGAGGCTCAGCCTGTCAATCAAACATGTACACCTACACAAAGTCAAAGGCTGAGAGAAAAGGGATTTCTGATGTTCCCCAAAACTGGACTTTATAACCTTTACTTCTCTATATTTAGCTGGTATAAGGTGGTAAAATTGTTGTCTCAAACCTTTTTCTCTTTTTTTAGTGAGTGATGGTCTGCAGGAGGTTTTAGATGAACATAAGATCAGTCTGAGGAGGAGATGTGAATTTGTGACTGAAGGAAGTGATGAAACAGGAAGTGGAACCCTCCTCAACAGGATCTACACTGAGCTCTACATCACAGAGGGACAGAGTGAAGAGGTTAATACCCAACATGAGGTGAGGCAGCTTGAGACAGCTTCCAAGATGAAGACCCTCCATGAAACTCCAATCAAGTGCCACGACATCTTTAAAGCCTTAGCTGACCAACAGAAACACATCAGAGTGGTTCTAACGAATGGCGTCGCTGGCGTTGGAAAAACCTTCTCAGTGCAGAAGTTCACTCTGGACTGGGCAGAGGGCTTGGAAAACCAAGATGTCAGTCTGGTGATTATGCTCTCCTTCAGGGAGCTGATCTTGATCAAAGATGAGCAGTACAGTCTTCTCACGCTGCTCCATGTTTTCCATCCAACATTACAGAAGGTCCCAGCAGAGAAGCTCGCTGTCTGTAAACTGTTGTTCATCTTTGACGGCCTGGATGAAAGCAGACATTCATTGGATTTCCACAACAATGAGGTTGTGTCTGATGTCACACAGAAGTCATCAGTCAACCTGCTGCTGACAAACCTCATCAAGGGGAATCTGCTTCCCTCGGCTCTCGTCTGGATAACTTCCAGACCTGCAGCAGCCAATCAGATCCCTCCTTCATGTGTTGACAGGGTAACAGAAGTACGAGGCTTCACTGACGCCCAGAAGGAGGAGTACTTCAGGAGGAGAGTCAGTGATGAAGAGCTGTCCAGCAGAATCATCTCACACATCAAGACCTCCAGGAGCCTCCACATCATGTGTCTAATCCCAGTCTTCTGCTGGATCACTGCTACCGTTCTGGAGCACATGTTGACTACAGAGCAGAGAGGAGAGCTGCCCAAGACCCTGACTGACATGTACTCACACTTCCTGCTGGTTCAGACAAAGAGGAAGAAGCAGAAGTATGATGAGGGACATGAGACGAGTCAACAGGAGCTGATGGAGGCTGACAGGAAGGTTCTTCTGAAGCTGGGGAGGCTGGCGTTTGAACAGCTGGAGAAAGGAAACATCATGTTCTACCAAGAAGACCTGGAGCAGTGTGGTCTTGATGTCACAGAGGCCTTGGTGTACTCAGGAGTTTGTACAGAGATCTTCAAAAGAGAGAATGTGATCTTCCAGAAAATAGTCTACTGCTTTGTTCATCTGAGCATTCAGGAGTTTCTGGCTGCAGTTTACATGTTCCACTGTTACACCAGCAGCAACACAGAGGTACTGGAGGACTTCCTGGGAAAAAAACATTCTGATTCAATCCTGGATGTCTTCCTGATGGGAGCAATGATGAAATCCCTTCAAAGTAAAAATGGCCACCTGGACCTGTTTGTTCGCTTCCTTCATGGTCTCTCTCTGGAGTCCAACCAGAGACTCTTAGGAGGCCTGCTGGGTCGGACAGACAACAGTCCAGAAATCATCCAGAGAGCCATCAATAACCTGAAGAGGATGAACACAAAAGCCTCTCCGGACAGAAGCATCAACATCTTCCACTGTCTAATGGAGATGAACGACCACTCAGTTCATCAGGAGATCCAAGAGTTCCTGAAGTCAGAGAACATATCAGAGAAAAAACTCTCTGTGGTCCACTGCTCAGCTCTGGCCTACATGTTGCAGATGTCAGAGGAGGTTCTGGATGAATTGGACCTGCAGAAGTACAACACATCAGTGCAGGGACGACAGAGACTAATTCCAGCAGTGAGGAATTGCAGAAAGGCTCGGTAAGTTCAGATGTGATGAATATTTTAATAACAAGTAAATCTGAAGACATCAGTATTACAGTAAAGATACACACTTAACACACATGCACAATATAAAACGTTCACACTATAAAAGTTTCATTAAACTAGTATTAAACCTGCTTATTAAAATAATTCTACAAATGCCTACAAACATTTGTGTTTATATCTATCAACTTAGTGACAGAAGGATCTTCTATCATCTTCTAACTATCCTTTCTACATCCAGCAGGAAAACTTGAGAACTGAAGAGCTTGCGCTGAAAATGTTTTGACAGTCATCCTTTTATCACATCATTTTATCAGTGTTTTTATTTTCACAGTGGATACAGTTTCTGCACTCTGTTTCTATAGTGTGTCTGAAAAAAAAACCCACCATATATTTATGGTATATATCTATTTATTTAGCTATGGAGTGATGCATCTTTTCTCTAAATGATCTTTGTTGGGAGTTGTACATGCACAGTTCCTAGTTAAGTACTACTAGCCAATCAGAAGCAGAGAAGGGCGGGTCAGTGAGAAGCAAATACGGCTTCGATTCAGCTGTACATGTTGCCTACCAGCTTAGCAACATGGACTGGAGCAAGAGTTTCAGAGTGGTGAGTTATTAATCTGTAACAAAAGTATCTTTCATCCATAAAGTTTTAACTGAGCTCTGTCTCTACATCACAATAACAGCTTTATGTCCACTGACTGCCTGGAGGGTAGCAAGTGTTTGGAAGGAAGAGGAGAGGTTTGTGCTGCAACTCAGTGTTTTTCCACCTGTGTTTTTTAGGGCATCGGAGTAGCCGCTTGGTGAGCATTATATGAGGCGCATTTAACTTTTATCCCAGTGTTTTAAGACACTGACATGTTGACAGGAGGAGTTCAAGTTTCAAACCACAAACCTTTTGATCAATGGCTGATCAACTGATCAGATTCATGTGCTTTGTGATCAAAATATTATCTATAATCTTATCTATTTTGTAACAAAATGACAGATTTTATTATACTTTAAGTTTTATATTCTCTTCCATCACAGACTTTCTGACTGTGGACTCTCAGAGATTCACTGTGAAGCTGTGGCCTCAGCTCTGAAGTCCAACCCCTCCCATCTGAGACAGCTGGACCTGAGCTACAATAACCTGCCAGATTCAGGAGTGAAGTTGCTGTCTGCTGGACTGGAGAATCCAAATTGTAGTGTGGAGAATCTGGGGTCAGTTCATGTATTGTGCTCTTGTTCAGCGTACATATACCAAATTTAAATCCATAACACAAGTTTGGCAGTCTGGCTCCGAATTAAGTCTGTACTCAAATTGGATTCATGGTATTAAGGAAACTGTAGGATTTATCTATAAGTGTGCTGTGAAATTACATTAACATTACATTTATTCATTTAGCTATTACTTTTAGCCATTATATGCTGTTTGGTCAAATGTGCGACTAGGCTGGGCCAGTTAAGCCTGGTCCCCACCTTCACAATTAACAATGTTTTCCAGCTGTCATTCAATACTGTATTGTTGACTTTCTATATTTTTACACTACTGGATAAGAAATTCACCATTTACACTTCACTTCTGCATACATAATCTGACACACAATTATATTTCTTAAAAATTAAGAATAACATATGTAATGCTGTATCTTTCATTAATGCTTGGTTTCCTACAGTAATTTTGATGTTATGCTGGCTGTTTTCTACTTTCTGCTTATCATCTTTTTGACGTCTTCTATTCATCCTCTCTCCGTTGTGAAAAGTTCTACCTCTCTCTGACGTGAAAAGTTAAGCAAAAATTCCTTCAGCAACTTCACTCAAAGGTCACATAGGCTATAAGCGTCACAGGTTGGAAGTTGACCAACCCCTTAATCAGTAATTAAACATGTAGTCTTAATAGCAGCAGACTAACACATCAGCAGTTCCTCATGTAGTCACAACAGCTGTAGACCAAAGCATGCACCTGTCACAGCAGATTTTGTTCCATCTATAGGCAGCGTGTTGCTGGATTCACTTTGTTGCACTGTTGGATGTTAAGCTCTGGTGCTGAAAGAATGACTTCATATTCTGTTTTCCTAGCTTGGGTTAGAACATATCGAGGACTTTTGAGCAAGTCATGCAGTTAATGGGATGTATACAAGATCACTTCTTAGAGAGGAGCCTTTCTGGAATGCAAAAACTGCTGTTGCCAATCCCTGACAGCAGGGTGGCAGTCCTGTCTCAATGTTGTCTAGTTTGGTACTGTAATAGGCCAGAGGATGTTGACCTGTTGGCGAGTCCTGCATTAGCACTGCGGTCCGGCAACCTGCTGGACAGCCTTGTCCAAGAAGCTCCAAGGGACTTACCAGGGCTGTCCTTGAGCCTTGGTTATGAGGGGACACATGGCACCTTGCTCATAGTCCAGTTGATGCTATTCTTCTTCTTGTTCTTCTTCCACTTCTTCTTCATTTTGTGTTTGTGGTGGAATGTGAATGGTGTGTGGTCACTGCTATCTAGGAGCTGGGGCTGGAACCACTTTTGATTTTCTCAACACTTTCACATTTTCACTTGCCTCATGCAGTTGCTGTATTTGTTGATTGGACACATGATATAATTGCTGTGTTTCTTCAGCAGAGGGTCCTTCAGTTGTCATAATGCCATTTAGTTCCATCCTCACTTTCTGAGTGATCTGTTTGAGTCTTTGTGGATTTGCTTCCAGCAAGCACACTCTGCTTTAAGGGTTTATTTTCCTGTAAATGGGACCATAATTTACCAAATGAACATCATGTTGTATTGAAGAAGACTTGACCATAAACTCATTATGAACGTGTTTACTGAGGTAATAAATCAGCTGAGAAGTAGGATCATTTTACCATTATTTATAATGGAAACGGATTTCTTTTTGTAACCAGAAGAGTCTCCCCCTGCTGGCCGTTTGATAGAAAGCAGGTTTAAGGGACTTCCGCATTCGCCTCAGTTCTCTGACCGGAAGCTTCCCACTTAAGAGTGTGCCTGAGCTGGGCGTGTTCTTCCCCTTGCTCCACGCCACCTCACTCTCTTCACTCTCACTCTCCTCTCCTTCCAAGTCTCCTGTTGTTATGCTGTCTTGCTCATCCTCCTCTCTGCTTACAGCTTGTCTTTTGCTCCTCCCTCTATCACTAGTTTGCTTGGTAAGGGTCATGGTGAAGTTTCCCTCCTTCTATCTAATGTTTTTTCCTCTACCTCAGCTGTCCCGAGCAGTGGATACCGCTTTCTCTGGCACCTTTGCCTTCTTGTCTTTCTCTTGTATCTATGGATTCATGATGTTTTATGTTGCCTCTACGAAGGTACCTTGTGATGGCCATTTCAGTGTTTCTGTTGTTCTTTCATGCCACTTTTTCATGGACCTAATGGTATAGTGCCTGTAGTGCTGGGGATATTGAACAGCGGCAACAGAGGTTTTGCGGTCTGTATGCCTCAGGCTAGTTCACTACTAGTTCATAAGCACGCAGAATAGCAATTTTGACAGAATAATTCAGTAATTCAAACTGTCTTCTTTTTCAAAAAGCATTTGTTAAGTATGTTCTGAAAAATGGCTTGCAACAAGAAATGTTAAAAAAGCAGATACATATTGCTACGTATGAAAAAGACACGGTCAAACTACAAAAATGAGTTTGCTTGGCAATGTTGTTGACTAGCACCCCGCAGCTACCTTGCTCAGACCATAAAGCTGCTGTTAGCGGCTTGCTATGCAGTGAGGTGACACAGACCAGAGATGGGGACTCGAGTTAGAGACTCGAGTGCGACTTAAGTCGCACACACAGTGACTTCAGACACGACTTGAGACTCGTCGTCAAAAGACTACAGACTTGACTCGGACTCGAGGTGCGGGACTCGTGAACAATGTTTATTTTTAGGAAACGTCTGATGAGCTTGCGGTTATTCCCCTCCCTCCGTTACCTATAACCTGCCTACGTAACACGTAGCATCTGCTGCGCGCGGCCGCAAGAGGACAACAAACACCGCAGCTTCTGAGCCATTAATCATAAACTTTGGCTTTAAAACTCCATAAAACAAGACCCAAACAAATTACTTCATTGATGAAAAATGCCATTATACCGCATACTGTTGTTTAGTACAAGATGGAAAAATGTCATCGTGTACATTACGACAGGGTTGTAAAATGAAATGCAGTTTGTAGTTCCCTTCTGCTATGAAGCAGACAATATATGCAATAATTATAAAATGGTAAACAGGGAAAAACTCTTGCATGGAGTGGTGGGGAGGATATATTTAAATTTACATTTAGTGACTCATGGCTACTTCTATGGAATAGTCAAGGAGAGTAGACAGACAGTAGAGAGAGACGAGAGTAGAATGGTAGAGGACAGTGATATAAGTATGTGGAATGTGGAGCAAGTGTTACTGGGAGGAAATGTTATTTGGTTTTGGCACAACTGGATTGAAAGACAGCTTTAAAATGAATGGACGTTGTGGATGCCAACTTCTGTAAAGCCTCGATGAAGAAGGAGAAGAGTTTGATACATTTGGAAGGATACACTTTGGCCATGACATCATAGGCGTTGTTGTGAGTGCGACACCGTGGACCCGGAAGTGCTCTGGGAGCTCTGGAAGGGAGAATTGTGTTTTGCTGCTAGTTCATGACTAGTTGAAAAGTTTTGCTTTAATGTCATCGCTGGAAAAGGCTGATTCGCTAGCTGGGTGGGTGCCTCTGTGTTGACATGAATAGGTGTATACTGACATTTGGATGATGTCTGTAGAAGGCTGACATTATGATGATCCACAATAACACAATGACTCTACTCATTTTAGGGAAAAGCTTATTGATTAGAACACAGTAATGTTGAGCTACACATTTAAAACCTGAACACATCTGATTGGATTAGAAATGGATTTTTATCTCCACCATTTATTCTTTATTCAGATTGAGTCGCTGCAGTTTGTCAGAGATCAGCTGTGCTTCTGTGGCCTCAGCTCTGAAGTCCAACCCCTCCCATCTGAGAGAGCTGGAGCTGGCTGACAACAACCTGCAGGATTCAGGAGTGAAGCTGCTGTGTGGTTATCTGGAGAGTCCAAACTGCAGACTGGAGACTCTGGGGTCAGTTAACTGACTGTTTTTTTTTTACTATTGTAGATCTTATATGTTTAATTAACAATTGAACCTAATTTATGTTCATACATAACTTATATTCATGAAGTTGTTAATTTCCTTTTGTTAATATTTTCATGTTTCTAAATTAAATCTGCAGTCACAAAAAAATTGTGTTTCTTAAAGAAACTGTTAAAAATGTCTGCTGTTTAGTAAATACATGTTTATAATTTTTGGGAAAGGATGGGGTGATAATGGAGCAGTGGAAAACATGCCTTTGTGAGAGACCCAGGTTCAATCCCCCACTGTGACATCCACCAATGTGTCCCTGAGCAAGACACTTAACCCCTAGTTGCTCCAGAGGCGTGCAACCATTGATATATATAGCAATTGTAAGTCGCTTTGGAGAAAAGTGTCAGCTAAAAGAATAAATGTAAATGTAAATCCTCTGAACTAATATTTGTTTTAAATTGATACAGTTTTTTTTGCTGAAGTAGAAATATTTCTTTGGTTTATGTTGACATTTGGATAATGTCTGTAGAAAGATGACATTGTAAAATCTGCATAATGTATTCTTTATTCAGATTGAGGGGCTGCAGTTTGTCAGAGATCAGCTGTGCTTCTCTGGCCTCAGCCCTGAAGTCCAACCCCTCCCATTTGAGAGAGCTGAGGCTGAGTGACAACAAGGTTCAGGATTCAGGAGTGAAGCTGCTGTGTGATTTTCTGGAGAGTCCACACTGCAGACTGGAGACTCTGAGGTCAGACACCATTTTTTACCTCTGTGCTGAGATTAATATGATGTGATTTGATGACTCCACTATTCCTAAAAGAAATATTGAAGATGTGTTTTGTTTCATTAAAGCCGCAGTTAGTAACAATTGAAGAAACAATGCAAAAACTTTCCGCGTCTCTCTCTCTCTGCTGCTCGTATCACTCCGCTGAGCCTCGCCCTTCAAAAACCCACCTGGTGCTCTGCGAAATTCAGCCCGTGTAGGGTTCGCTCTACAAGGCGAGAGCCTCGCCAAGACTCTGGTCCAGTCCCTCTTACCGAGACTAGTTTTCTCAAAATGCCCCTCCGACGTTCGCGGCCAAGGACAGAGCGCCCCAGGCTTCAGAGGCAGCTGCAATATGTCTAACTGCAGGATGAGAGAGGCAAGTACACCACTGTCCCCCCTCACTTTCCCCTCCCATCCTGCAACTTGTCAAAATGAGCACCATGGCATCGAACATAATGAGCCTGAAGATCCATGTTCCAACATATGTTTTGTATTACAAACTGTTGTTGGAGGAGGAAGTATGGGCTGTTATTCCATTACTGCTAGTTGTTTCTCAGACATTGTGTTTACAAAACTTCTGACGCCAAGTTGACTATATTGAGCTTGAGTGAGAGTATGTGCAAGGAGGGGGACTGCGCAGTGTGCAAAAGCAGTGACTGACCCTGTCTTAGAGACTGCTTCCTGGCTCTGATTGGTTATTTTGTTTAGGGAGTGGTGGATTCAGCAGTAGTAGGAGAAACATGATTTTTTCACAGATTATCCGTCTCATGCAAGTTTTAAAAGAATTCCCTACTGCAGCTTTAATCGAGAGCTGTCTTTCATTTTGTATTTTACAGTTTTTAACCTGCATCCTGTTGGGTTCAGGTGTGTTAGTGAGGTAATTCAGTAGGGCTAGCTCGTCAAGGTTTGCAGACAGAAACAGAGTAGTGTATCAGTCAGGACACAGGATGGGAGACGTAATTAAGGCCCGAACACAAAATGTGCGAGGTCCCTATTGAAACTGAAGGGTCTTTCTTTCTTTCTTTCTTTGTATCATGTCCAGACGTACAAAAAAGCCTCTTGGAGCGATGCCTGACACCAAACAGGAAGTGGCCCATTTTGGATTTAATAGTCATTTTTGGCGATTTACACACTTTGTGCTTTAAAGAACTCCTCCTAGGGAATTAGTTTGACTGACTTCAGATTTTCGCTGTCTACTTTAAAGCCAATGACAATTAAAAGTTGTAAAAATGGTGAGTTTTTGTGAAATGGCGTGCCCGGGGCGTGGCGTCCAAAATCAATGATTAGCCATGAAACAGGAAGTTGTTTAACTTCAGTCTACATGCTCACATCTGCACCAAACTTTACAAGCTTGATAATGGTCCCACCCCAGCACATCATGTCAATATTCAGTTATACTTGTGGCACCACCTACTGGCAACAGGAAGTAAGCTCTGTCTGACGCTCATTGTGCGACTTAAATCAATTTTTACAATGAGTTCCACACTTGATGAGCCATTTCAATCTACATACACCGCGGGCTCCCTTAAATGGAAGTAGCCATGTTGTGCCGCCACATTTCTACAATAGCCCAAACGGACAAACTGCTCGTTGAACTCTTTCCTACCATAGCAAACACTACTTTACATTACGTTATTCATTTAGCTGACGCTTTTATCCAAAGCGAATTACAATGCTATATATGTCAGAGGTCACACGCCTCTGGAGCACCTTTGTGAATGTGTTAAGTTTCTTGCGCCACAATGGTGGATGTGTAGCAGTGGAAATTGAACCCGGGTCTCTCACACCAAAGTCATTTGTCTAATCCACTGCTCCATCACCACCCCCACCCACCTGCCACTAACTAGCTCACGTTTCCTCTCCTATAATCACAGAACAAAAGACTTAAAACTGCAGGCACCCACAAATGTCAGAGCCTTTTATACAAGGTGTTTGGAGTTTTCATTTTCTAAACGTCTACTTTCTAAACCTTCTTCGGCTCTGAACAGATTATTAAACACTGAATGATTTTAAGCAGGAACATTGTCTTCTAAAGTTACATCATGTATTCTTTATTCAGATTGTGGGGCTGCAGTTTGTCAGAGATCAGCTGTGCTTCTGTGGCCTCAGCTCTGAAGTCCAACCCCTCCCATCTGAGAGAGCTGGAGCTGGCTGACAACAAGCTACAGGATTCAGGAGTGAAGCTGCTGTATGATTTTCTGGAGAGTCCACACTGTAGACTGGAGATTCTGAGGTCAGACACCATTTTTTACTTCTGTGCTGAGATTAATTTTATGTGAAAGTTGTGGTGACACTAAACTGCAGACACATATCATACTGATTGTTACAAACTTGGCTCTGGCTTGTAACAAAAGGGAGGACACACACTCCATAATTTCTGGCATCTTTGGAAACTTTGGGATCTTGAGTCGAATCTTAAATAAGTTTCTGTGGGTTTTTATTTGTGTTTGGCTGCACAACATGAGTTTGTATAGATGGAGCCACTGGTGGAGCTGCAGAATTGAAGAGGTGAAGTCACTATGTCTTTATTGAAGTAGCAGCACGTTGTCATTAATTTTAATGAGAGCTCTTTTTTACCTTTTTTGTATTTTAGTTTTTAACCTGCATCCTGTTGGTTCAGGAGTTTCCATTTTCTAAACTTACACATTCTAAAACTTCTTACCTCTGAAAAGATTATTAAATCCTGAATGATTTCAAGCAGGAATATTGTCTTCTAAAGTTACATCCTTTATTCTTTATTCAGATTATGGGACTGCAGTTTGTCGGAGATCAGCTGTGCTTTTCTGGTCTCAGCTCTGAAGTCCAACCCCTCCCATCTGACAGAGCTGGAACTGAGTGACAACAAGGTTCAGGATTCAGGAGTGAAGCTGCTGTGTGATTTTCTGGAGAGTCCACACTGTAGACTGGATACTCTGAGGTCAGAGACCATTTTTTACTTCTGTGCTGAGATTATATGATGTGAAAGTAGTGGTGACTGCAGACAAAAGGCTGATAATATACTGATCCACACTGAATATCTTAATGCTAAAGTCTATTTTCTTCTTTAGAGGTTTAGACCAATTTTGAGATACGCATTTAAAACTATAACAAGAAAATATACACTGGATTATTCACTCTGAACCTCTTAAACTCCTGATCATATTTCTGTTCCAATATAAGTACATAAATACAAAGACTTATTCAATGTATTTCAGCTAAACTTCTATTTTCTTAACCTTCTTTAGTTCTGAACAGATTATTAAACACTGAAAAAGTTTAAGCAGGAACATTGTCTTCTAAATGATTGTGAAGGTTCTCAGTCATCCAGGTCATAGTTATCCAAAGAAGGTTAAAGTCAAGGGGGCACTTACAGCCTGTGGATACCCTAAATGGACCTTTTTGAAAACAGCCACAAAATCCAGGAAGAACAACACTACAGGGATTGATGAAAAGAAGGTCAAATGCAACAACATTGTGATTCCATATGTGTCTGGAATATCAGAGAAACACAGGAGGGTTTTCAACAAACACAACATCGCTGTGTTTTTTAAACCCAAGAACACGCTAAGACAGATACTGGAAAGTACCAAACACAAGAAAGGCGATCTAGTGTATTCGGTCCAGTGCAGTGAGAATGCATAGAACGAGGGCTGAAACAATTCATCTATTAAATCTATTTCAGCGATTCATAAAATGCTTCGACACAAATTCTTTGCATCGATACTTCGTTTAATCCATGTAACTATACAGTACAGTGTTTTGCAGGGACATTTATTACTGTTGCACATCGCGCTTAGGCTGTGAACACGATGTGATTATGATAGAGCTGTTTGCAAAGTGGGGGAAGAGAGAGAAAACAGCGTGGGGAAAAAAAAGAAAGTGTCCAAAGAATGGGATTATTTCAAGCTAAAGAAAACAACAACTCTGTAATGTTACTGTCTGTCCACCATAAAACGAAACTTATCGTCGCTTCGGCAACAGCATGACGGCACCTTATCAGAAAGCAGCCGGTGTTCGGCCAGCGGTCCACAGACAAGGTAACAGCAACTTTAGCATGTAACAGAAATCATGATTGATTGTTGAGTTGACGGCTAGCCAAAGTAACCTGATCCCGGCGCCGCTGCCACCGAGCAAAAGTACTTCTTAAACGACGAATCGTTGAAATAATCTATAGAAGCTTCGAATACTAAAATCATCGTTAGCTGCAGCCCTACATAGAACTGTACACTGGGGAAACTAAACAAACACTACACAAATGCATGGCTCAACACAGAAGGGCTAACTCCTCAGGTCAAGACTCAGCAATTTACTTACATCTGAAGGATAAAGGACACTCATTTGAGGATTACCAGGTGCACATTTTGGACAGAGAGGATGGAGGGAGGTGTCAAGGAAGCCATTTACACCCGGGTTGAGAAGCCATCATTGAACAGAGGAGGGGGTCTACGCCACCACTTATCCCCCACTTACATTCAGCACTTCCTAGGAAACTTAACAGACGTTAACCTTTTGGCCTCAGGTAAAGAAACCAACGATGGTCGTTGAGACTCGTCCACGGTTGGTCCTAACGACCATGACGACTGTCGTTACAACAGCCAGGAGCACTAACAATCCTGGCAAACGACCCCACTGAGGGTAAATGGCTGAGTTTCTCTGCCAGTCAGTCAGAACTGAAGAAGTCTCCCGGATGATGGATGAAATGTCTTCTAGTATCTCTTAAACAGGACCTTTTATACTGAATTTTCAGCCCTATATTTTAGTTCTATGACTCCTGTATGGTGGCTTTGCACAATTCAAGGTTCAAAAAAGTATTTTCTATCTTATACTGCCTCTTCACGCAGGCCCTCATTTCAGCATCTGTCTGAAACAAGCGTAGAGGCTTCTGTTTCTTTGAGACCCCGCCCCCCCAAAGCCCACTGTCTTCTGATTGGCCATTGTCTAATGTGTTTACCAGGTTGCTGCAGGGATGGGCTGCATGTTCCTTTGTGGCCAGCATTCTCTGCCTGGAGGAAATGACTACATATGGAAATCCGGCTCGGAATGACATTAGTAGAAAAAACAGAGCATTCAGAACAGGGAGATATATGAAGTTTTCTTTACTCTTGCCTCATCATTTGAAACTTTGGTCACATTTAATATGAACATCTGACATTGTAACATTATAGAAATGCTAGAAAATATGAAAGAACATAATAGGTCCCCTTTAAGTCCAGTTGCCCTTGACTTTATTTGTTTATTCGTTTATTCGGATCCCCATTAGCTGCCACTACTCTTCCTGGGGTCCACATACAACAAACATACAAAAAGTACATCAAATACAACAAACATATAACATACGACACACAAGTTACACATGAATCTAAAAACGATACCTACAATTCTAATAAAGAGTATCATCTGTGTACATGATTACGCAAGCTACTGACAAAGGAAAAAGCAACACAACACACAGACACAATTATACACCAATCCATTCACCTAAGCTCATCAATGTTTGAGTTATTATTCAAGTGTTTTTTTAATAGGCTTTTAAATCCAGCCTTACTGGGTGCTTCAGCAATACAAATTGGTAAGTATTCCACATTTTGATAGCTCTAAACATTACATATCTGCACACAGCATCAGTTCAAAACTAGACAATACTTTGTTGCATGCCGAGTACTATAAATATGTTGGTTTCTCACATACTTTATTTGTGAGTACAGACAATTCAGTAGTTTCCTATAAAATATTCCTAAAGAAATTCATATGGTTGCATGCCAAACTCTCTTCCACTCTAAGCCATGAGAGACTGGTATGCACACTGTCCGTACTCGGCCTCACACCCGATGGACAGGCCACTGCGAGTCTTGCAACTTTATTTTGAGCTATTTGTAGCTTAAACAGATATTTTTTGGCTGCACCTGACCAGACAGGTAACAGTAATCAAGGTGGGATAAAACTAATGCCTGTGTCACCAGCACTCTAATGGCAGGGGTAAGAAAAGGGCAACATCTTCTAATACTTGATATTCCCTTACCCATTTCTTAAACAATATTGTCAATATATTTCTCCCAAGTTAACTGTCCATCCAGTGGAACACCAAGCAAATTTACCTCTTGAATCTGTTCAATGTTTGAGGCTGTAAGTGATAGGCAAAGCTGATTATCACCATTAGTGGCATGTCTAGAGCTGAACAAGATACTTTTGGTTTTTGTTACATTTAAGACAAGTCTGTTTTCACAAATCCAGTTCACTACAAGTTGTAATTCCAATTGAAATGTATTACTTAGTTCGCTTATAATAGTTGATGCAAAATGAATAGTTGTATCATCCGCAAATAAAGTAGCAGTACAGTTATTCAAAACATATGGCAAATCATTAATAAATATAGAGAAGAGTAACGGCCCAAGGCAACTCCCCTGTGGCACTCCACACTGTAAAGTTATAGGAAAGGAAAAACTACCATTAAAAAACACATACTGCTTCCTATTTAATAAATAGCTATTCATCTAATTGATAGCTAATGGACTAAACCCATATGTAGCCAGCTTTTATAATAATAACCCATGGTCTACAATATCAAATGCAGCGCTAAAGTCGAGTAACACAGTTCCAATCATGATCTTATTATCAATAACGTCAACCATTTATCTGTCATGTCTGTCAGAGCTGTGCACGTAGAATGATCAGCCTTATATGCATGCTGACAATGAGAATTTAAGTCATTAAGTAAAAAATTATGTAGTATCTGTTCAAGAACAACTTTTTCCATTAGCTTACTCAACACCGGAAGAATACTGATGCTGTTAGCAGCTGAGAAACTCTCCTGTTTGTTCTTCTGAAGCGGTAAAACCATTGCAGATTTCCAAACCTGGGGGATTAACCCCTCCTTTAAACTCAAATTAAAAATATGACATATTGCCAATTATATAATATTTGAAACAAAATTAATTAACCGCCCATGTAGAGTATCCATACCAGCTGGTTTATAATTATTTAGGTTTTCAAGTAGTTTTCCACCCTGTCAACTTCTATAGGTTGAAACTCAAAAAAGTACGATTTATTATTCATGATAGAGTTGGTTATTATTCAAGATGATATACAACTCCCACTAGGGGAGCACATTTCATTCCTTAACTTATCAACTTTATCTGCAAAGTGGTTACTTAAATGATTAGCGATGTCATTTGCTTTTGTCAAGAAAGCTCCATTCACTTCAATGAAGGAAGGATTGTTGTTCTTGCCTCTGCCCATTATTTCATTTAAAGTTTTCCAAAGTTTGTTACCATCATTTTTCCTCTCCTGAATTTTATTTTGATAATATACTTTTTTCTTTTTCCTATTTAACTTTGTAACCTTATTCCTCCTTTCACAGTACTTTTGAGTCAAGTGCAGCTTTTTTCAGCTCATCTCTTTTACACATACACTCCCTTAATTCTTCTTATAGAGTACTTTAGGTCCAGCTTTGGGAGTTTGAGTTCTTCTAACAATGGCCACAATATTATGATCACTGAACCCTACAGGAACAGATACTGCTTTAGAGCATATTTCACAATTATTTGTTAATATATGATCAATACAGGTTGCAGATGTTTGCCCATCATAACTACCGTAAACTCTTGTTGACTTTTTCACCATCTGAGTTAGATTACATATGAGAGGAGCAACCTTTTCCTCAGTGGACATGAATCCAACAGCCGATTTACATTGAAATCACCCAGAACAAAAGTTTCTTTACCAGTATCCGTTACCTTAATTAGGACAGAACATAATTCATCTACATATTGCACATTTGCATTTGGGGGTCGATGGACAAAGCCAACTAAAATCGGTTTACAATAAGCAAGATGAACCTCCAACCAAAGCGCTTCAATACTAGGAACCATCAAGTCCGATCTAACCTTAGTGGGAATATGGCTTTATATATTGCTACACCTCCCCCAAAAATATTCCTGTCATTTTTAAAAATGTTATACCCTGGTATAGCTACCCCCATGTCTGTTATTGATTGATCTAAATGTGTCTCAGAGACAGCAAGTACATTGATATTTTCACTCTTAATTAAAGTAGATAATTCATGAACTTTGTTTCTTAAACTCCTAACATTTATATGAGCTATTCTCAAACCTTTTTTTGGTAAGTTCAGTGCCATGCCTTTACCCAGTTAATACTAACCCATGACATCACACAGTTAAAAACATTGACTGGGACCTTCTCTCCTCTCTCCTTCTCCCTCTTTAACCTTCTTTGGATATTGTCTTCTAAAGTTACATAATTTATTCTTTATTCAGATTGAGGGGCTGCAGTTTGTCAGAGATCAGCTGTGCTTCTCTGGCCTCAGCTCTGAAGTCCAACCCCACCCATGTGAGAGAGCTGGAGCTGAGTGACAACAAGTTGCTGGATTCAGGAGTGAAGCTGCTGTGTGATTTCCTGGAGAGTCTACACTGTAAACTGGAGATTCTGAGGTCAGACACCATTTTTTACTTCTGTGCTGAGATTAATTTGAAGTTTGAAGTTGTGGTGACAATAAACTACAGACACACATATCATACTGATTGTTACAAACTTGGCGCTGGCTTGTAACAAAACTGACCCCACCAGGGCTTGACATTAACTTTTTTGCTCACTAGCCAATGTGGCTAGTAGTTTTCCAAAGTCACTAGGCACGCAGCCACATTTTTTTGTTGGAAAATTCTGGTTTTATGATTAAAGCTGACCATGGCGTACTTAAAGTGGCGTGCTAAAAAATACCAATATTATCATTAGTTCTGATAGAACATATAGTCTATTAAGATAAACACATAGAAGAGTAGCTTCTCATTGTATATACTAAAAGTGCTGCATGGGTGTAAAAGGTCAATTGAAAAGCTAAAAACTAAACTGAAAAAAAATTGCTGTAAATACTGTAATACAGAGTATAAAAATGATCTGCATTAGAAACAAAGAGCAAAGAATAAATCCACAATCAAGGCAACAGGATAAAAATTTTCTGTAGGCTTATATCGTTTTGAGCACTTTGGATTGTTTGTTTGCATCTGCCTGGATTTATGTTTCTCATCATGAAGCTCTGGTCGCTCTGAGTAATTGGAGATACGTCGATCTGAAACCAGTATACAGGTCTTTATTTTCCAGATTATTCCCATACAAACGCATCTCCTGCTTTCCTACATGGCATGATTACTTTTATTAAAAAACAGAATTAACTCTGGAAAGGTAGCTGTGATATTACAATATGATGTAACATAAGGGCTGCCATGCTAGTAGTAACACCATGTCCCTAAATCATGAAGATATCTGTAATTTTACAGAATTAAACGGCCCTTTCCTCAACTCTGCCTTTCCTCTTTCTCACGTTCTCCTGTGCATTTTTTTCTCCACAATGCTTGGCCACGCAGTAAAGCGTTACTCAGTAATGCAGTACTGTAATAATATTACTTTTCCCAGTAACTAGTAGTGTAACTAATTACTTTTCTAAAACAGTAATATTATAACAGTTACTAAGGTAAGTAATTCTGCGTTATGCTGGATACACACCAAAAGATAATCGGGCTGATTTTGGGCCGATTTCCCCCTTTCCGACAATCCTAGCTATTCCCAGATTTTCTTGATGGTTCTTCAGATTATTTTATCAGATTCTCCCTTGGTGTGAGGTGTGTTAAGAGTGTCCGAACCTGAACGGAAGAACGTCGGAGGCGCCTCGATCGGGCAAAATCCTAATGTGTGGGGGGGATCGCCGAGGACAAATGCGCGCACGTTCTGGAGATTATCACATGAAACGAAACAATGTCCAATCAGAAAGCGAGATGATTGAAGACGGAAGCATAAGAAACACAGTCATGGCGCAGCACAAGGTGAAATTAATGTGGACAGCAGAGATGGAGGATCAGCTTATAGATTTGCAGCACGCATGTTTGTTCAACGTCGCAATTTCTTCCTGCATATCGTCCACCATGCTTATTCTGAAGTCTCGCGAGATTTTGCAACAAATAAGATTCTAAATTATTATTGTTTTATTCTTGTTGTTACTATTGTTATTAAAAACATGGAAAAAAACATAAGTAAATGACAAACAACATATGAATTACTTTCCCAGGTAACAAAAAAGCCATGTGAAAAGTAATTATATATAATTAATAAGTGAATGTTCCTCCCAGAATCTGTCTGTGAAGCCAGAGACTGGTTTCTTGGAGGGGGCACTTAAATAGTGGGGGGTATGAGGGTCCTCCCCCAGAAGATTTTGAGTATTAAACAGTTAATTTCCTGCATTCTGGGGAAAATGTCTGCTAGATAAGCGTTTGACGATGGATGGATGGATAATGCAGTGAGGCTCTCATTATTCTTTATTGCTTTTAAATATTTTTCTCCTGTAGATCAACTTATTTAATATCAACCCTGCTGAGTCAACATACATGATTGAGTCTTCCCTCCTCTTTTGTGTCTTTTGTGGAGAAGTAACCTATTTAAATGTGGCCCCTTTTCATCTCAGTGATAAATTCATCCGTTTTAACTCAGTTATGGACTGGACTTTATTAGCTCATCTGTTAATAACTTATCATATCATAACTCACTGTTTCCTACAGAATGAGAGTGTAACTGTGGCGCACGGGGGCGTCCAGTCGATATTGACTACAAGGTATACACAGCGTGTTAGCCTCAAAAACCCAGCTGTATTCTAACTAACGTCATTAGCCTATTTAAAGAGAATCTATAATATTTTACTACATGCCCATGTTCGACAGCAAAATATCCCTCTTGTACATGTGTAACCACTGCGATAACAAGATATTCACGGTGTGTTCCTCAAAGAAAAAAAAACTTTTCCACGGTAATACCAAGAAAGAAAGCGTCAGTTTTCCAGAGTTTACACAGTTGACGCCATGTGGGTAAAATTTTACAGATGATACTTTAACTTCCCGTTCCCGTGAAGACAGCACAGAGCTGCACCACAAGTAGCTGACGGAGACAAAATACACTTTCTCGTCCAGTCGCAGTGGACTAAACTGGCAGGTTTAAATGTTGCAGACCTCAGTTTCTTTGCAAGTAGTTGAAAGTTTAAACTTGTATTGTTGTGAATCTTTGGTGTGAACTCGCCTTAGAGTTTCCAACTAACAAAGGCCACCCAAAAGCAGCTCAGCGCCCCACTTTCCAAAATATTGTTTCCAGCGCCCCCCATCGTCCTCGGAACACCCCGTCATCGCTGCTGATGGTTAAGATGATAATTAATGGCAGGCCAAAACAAACCTCAGGCCACCACGGCCAGTCCGTGAGTTTAATCTCCTCAGCGTCTTGTTGTTTACAGTGTTGTCGGTCAAGATAGGCTTCGTGAATTGATCAATGAGCAACCAATATATGCAGGTAGTACTCATGGGAGTTGTAGTGTCAAATTGCAATTCGTTTGTTATTTCAGATGGCTTTTGAAAAGACTTTCAACACGCCAAAGTGGCTAGTGGGTGTGACTTTGTTTCCCGCCACGGCTGAAATTCACCCGGCGTTTTTTTTTTTGGCAGGTGTTAATGTCAAGCCCTGGACCCCACACACAGAAGTTCCAAAAGCTAAATGTATTTAATGAATAATAAAAGAATGTGCACGTGTAGCGTGTCGAGGTGTGAGGCAGCGTTGCAGATTCTGGAGTTCTGCCGGTGCGGCTTTGCCACGTGCTTTGGACTGTGCACGAAGTTGTTGATCATCACTTCCTGTGTCCCCTTTGTGGCGCTACATAGCACTTGGCGCTATGACTATAACTGAATATTGGCATGTAGTTGTGTTCGGGGCGGGACTGTTATCAAGCACGTAAAGTTTTGTGCAGATGTTAGCATGTACACTGAAGTTACAACAACTTCCTGTTCCATGGCAAATCATTAATTTTTCGCCGTTTCACAAAAACTCACAGTTTGTACAACAAAAATCTGAAGTCCGTCAGACTAATTCTGAGGAGTTTGTTAAAGTACGGTGTGTGTAAATCAACCAAAAATCACAATAAAATTCAAAGTGGCTGACTTCCTGTTGGGTTTAGGGCATCACTCCATGAGGCTGACGTGATACATGTGTCACAGAAATTTGTCCAGCAGGTGGCGCTATGACTGTGGGTGAATGTCAGCATGTACATGTTTTTATGGCGGGACTCACATGAGATATGTAAAATTTGGTACAAATCTGAGCTTGTACAGTCAAGGTACAACAACTTCCTGTGTCATGGAGAAGCATGGAACTTCGCCGCAACACCATCGCCACACCCGCCACACCGTTAACTGCAAACTCACAAGTTTTACATCATGGCCTCATCAATGTATTAAGGGCACACATTTGAAGTCGGTCGGACTAAATCCCTAGGAGGAGTTCATTAAAGTACAAAGTCTGTAAATCGCCAAAAATAACCATTGAATCCAAAATGCCCAACTTCCTGTTGGGTTTAGGCTATTGCTCCAAGAGTTTTTTTTGTACACCTGGACATGATACACGTATCACAGAAATTTCGTACATATAGGTGAAACTTTGTCCGGTGGCTGCTCTGTAGGGGGCGCTAGCGAGCTGTTTTGCCACGCCCTGTGCGAAATCCATAAAATACGGGTGGGGGAATTAGAGCCACTCTACTAACAAACCAAACCAGCAGCTCCTGAGAATAGCAGATAGGGAGAAAATGAAAAAGACAAGGGGGGAGCACAAAACGCACACACAAGGAATTTGCTATAGTGATTAGTGCTATACATACACATAAGCATAGATTTAAAAATATATAAATATGTTATAAGCAGAAGTTATAAAATAATTAACTAGATAAATAACTAGAAGAAAGAGAAAAACAAGACAATGTGGCTGTTACATGTCCATTACTCCAGATTTGTGTTGTCCAAACATATTAGAGGGGGAGAGGATTTGTATAAATATAAATATAAAATTGACCAAATATAAAAGAATAATATGGAATGTGTGCAGTATGGCAGTTTGTGCAGTAATATGTAAATATATATATATTTCCATCATATTTAAATGATCTAAGATATATAATTATATGTTGTTGATACTTCCTCTGAGTAACAGTTTTCAGTTAAATGTAACTGAAAACATCCTTCTTAGCGGTAGTGATTCTATCTTGAACAGGAAACCTTACTTTAATTGTACAGCACTTATGCTGTATTCCTACTTGTGAACTCAGAGAAAAAATTTAAAAATGTATCCCAACTTCACGAGTAGCAGCCGAATGACGTCACACAACAATGGCAGCTCCCATGGAAGCACACATTGTAAATGGTAAACTATAAAGGAAAAGGCAACATAATGTATTAAATTAAATTAATACAAACTAGTATCAAATAGTAAAACTTATTCTGCATGTAAATTGTAGAAATATTTTGTCAATGTTATTAGGCAGCTGGTTATAATAAACAATCTCTAAAAGTCATATTCTCTACCCAAAATTTATTCAGGAAAATGTTAAAAATACCCAGAAATGTGAAAACATTTGGAACCACGTGCTTTGGACTGTGCACGAAGGTGTTAATCATCACTTCCTGTGTCCCTTTTGTGGCGTGACCCTACAACTTTTGCTGACTTTTGAGGATTACCAACTGATATAGCTAGAATAAAATGGCATAAAGTGCACAGCTGAGGGTTTAACTGTGCACAAACTTGCCAAAGACACATAAGTTTGTCATGGTCAGCCATGTTAATTGTTTGAATTTGGCGTCATGCACCAACATGCAACTGAAACGCTTTGAGGTTGGAAGTCGGATATTTCAACTTCCGACGGGTCTGGAACGCTGCATTAGTTTATCGCTGTACTTATCTTCCATGTGTTGTAAATAAAGTGGTTTTTAAAAAAGCCTAGTTTAAGTGCTGTCAGATTCTCTCAGCTCTCAGCTCCATCACATCTTTCCTTGACCTTTCCTTGTTTTTAACCTGCATCCGGTTGGTTCAGGTGTTTTCTAAACTTCTATTTTCTTAAACCTTCTTCAGCTCTGAACAGATTATTAAACACTGAAGGAACATTGTCTTCTAAAGTCACTTGATTTATTCTTTATTCAGATTGTGGGGCTGCAGTTTGTCAGAGATCAGCTGTGCTTCTCTGGCCTCAGCTCTGAAGTCCAACCCCTCCCATCTGAGAGAGCTGGAGCTGAGTAAGAACAACCTGCAGGAATCAGATGTGAAGCTGCTGTCGGATCTTGTGGAGAGTCCACACTGTAGACTGGAGACTCTGAGGTCAGTAGAGGGTTGGAGTCAGTCCATGCTGGTTTCAGCAGTATTGTTCTAAACAGAATCAAAGCAAAGATCCAGTATTTCCTGTAAACCACCAACCTTCTCAGTGGCTGCTTTCCTTAGTAAAGCTGTTGTTGTTGTCCTCCTGTCTACAGGAAATAAAACTGTTGTACCAGCTGATCTTTAGCTTTGTATGAACATGTAGGACCTTTAACATCATATATATATCTGTCCATGTGTCCTTAGTTTGGTCCAAATGTTTTCATAACAAACAGAGATCACTTACAGCTGATCTCTGTTTGTCCTGTAATATTTCAAAAGTAGATGAAATATTCAAATGTAAGCCTCTGATTTTAACAGCTTTGAGCCCTAACAGCAGTAAATCCATCATCACTGCATCACTGACTGACAGCTGACTTCTGCTCTCTGTCTTCTTCTCTCATCAGATGGAAGTGATCTCTGTCAGAGTGATGAGAAAAGTGGTGGTGAGAGAGGATCAGCTCAGTTTCCTGATGATCCAGAGAGGTTGAAGCAGCAGCATCAGCTTAGACCTCTATGGAAATAAATCATCCATCCATCCATCCATCGTCAGCCGCTTATCCTGCATACAGGGTCGCAGGGGCTGGAGCTAATCCTAGCTGATGTCGGATGAAAGGCGGGGTACACACTGGACAGGTCGCCAGTCCATCGCAGGGCGTTTGTTTTTCAATGCTTTGTACAATTAATAAACCTCCCCTGTAATTCAAATCTGCATTGCTAATAAGACACTGTGTAGATTTGACCAATCGTGTAGCACAGAAATGATACATGACTACATCTATTGTCAAGGATGTGTACAAATAACTGAATCAGGTATAAACATGCATATTTAGTTCTCATTAGTGACCAGTAATGAAATGTTTAAACACCTTTAAGAAAGTCTGAACAACCCAAAGTGTCAGCGTGTTTTCAGATTGACTGTATTACATAATAAAAGACAACTGAATAAAACTTCACTGGAATCACGTTTTGTTTGCAGAATTAAGGTGAATTAGTCTCCAACGAGCGCACGCTCAGTCTGCTGTTACACAGAAATAGCAGAATTAAACTTAAAGGCACAATCCATACATTTACAGGAATTGCTACCCAGTTTTAAACTGCAAACAGGATGAGAAGCTGCTGTCACTCTCAGAGGCTCTAATATTGTTTTAGATATAAGAAATTATCAAGAGTCAAAGTATTTATTTAGCTGACTGAAGTAGTTTATTGGTATATAAAAATGTGAGCTTTAACTGAACTGCTGATGTGAACGCTTTCTGCCTGACACTTCATCTGGCAAAAATTAAAGGAATCATAATTTAGTTCAAACTGATTAAAATTGGAGTTAAAATTAGCACACAAGTTCAAATGAAACTTAATACAACTCAGTTTAGTTTTAATGTTGGGTCTAATGATGACAGTTATGTAATTGATGATTATAATGATGTACTGCAGGTTTTCTCTCAGGCTCCTCACTTGATGTATAATGTTTTAGCTAGGTTCACATCTGTGACATGGACACATCTAAAACACATCAACATAAATATCAAGTTGAACTGTGAAACAGGAAGCCGTGATATTTTATGAACCTCTTCAAACCAACCTGTCTCCTCAGATTTCCCCTTAAGGAGCTTGGTCTCCTACCACACAACTGCTAGTGAGTTGAAACACCAACTGGGGATGAATTTAATAAATAACATTGTTTTGAATATAACAATATAAAATAACTAAAACGCGTAATATTTCAAAACTTGTGTGTGTGTTTTAGTGTGCACTTGTGTGTGTGGGGTGCATAGTCACCCTCCTGGAAAATGTCTGGACTGAAAGGCCAGATGCCTGTATATCTAAAACCAGGTTGTACGTTGCTTGGCGTAGTAGCATTGGCGAATGCTGTCCTGACCAGGCGTCTGATGTCATATATTGTCATTTTATTTGCAGGAGAAAAAAGGTGAAAAGTACAAAAAACATACTGAGTCATCATAAGGGCTTTACAACCATCCCCACAACATCCAGCCATTGGACAAATATTGGGCATGGCAAGCACAACAATTTGGAATGTCCTGAAAACAGGGGAGAAACTACTGGTGTACTGAGCAACAGACGTCGAACAGGTCGGCCAAGGAAAACAACAGTTGTTGATGACAGAAATATTGTGAGAGCTGTGAAGAAACCCCCCAAAACATCAGTAAGTGACATCATCAACGACCTCCACAGTGCAGTGATGAAGGTATCACAATCCACTTTTCGAAGAAGACTCTGAGAGCAGAAATCTAGAGGCCACATCACAAGATGCAAACCACTCATCAGCAGAATCGGAAGGCCAGATTGAAATTTGCTGAGTAAGAACAACCTGCAGGAATCAGATGTGAAGCTGCTGTCGGATCTTGTGGAGAGTCCACACTGTAGACTGGAGACTCTGAGGTCAGTAGAGGGTTGGAGTCAGTCCATGCTGGTTTCAGCAGTATTGTACTAAACAGAATCAAAGCAAAGATCCAGTATTTCCTGTAAACCTCCAACCTTCTCAGTGGCTGCTTTCCTTAGTAAAGCTGTTGTTGTTGTCCTCCTGTCTACAGGAAATAAAACTGTTGTACCAGCTGATCTTTAGCTGTTCAGTCTTTGTATGAACATGTAGGACCTTTAACATCATATACATATCTGTCCATGTGTCTTTAGTTTGGTCCAAATGTTTTCATAACAAACAGAGATCACTTACAGCTGATCTCTGTTTGTCCTGTAATATTTCAAAAGTAGATGAAATATTCAAATGTAAGCCTCTGATTTTAACAGCGTTGAGCCCTAACAGCAGTAAATCCATCATCACTGCATCACTCTGACATCATCAACGACCTCCACAGTGCAGTGATGAAGGTATCACAATCCACTTTTCGAAGAAGACTCTGAGAGCAGAAATCTAGAGGCCACATCACAAGATGCAAACCACTCATCAGCAGAATCGGAAGGCCAGATTGAAATTTGCAAAGAAGTACAGAGATGAGCCGCAAAAGTTGTGGAACACAATCTTATGGACTGATGAGACCAAGATCTCTACCAAGAATTCCTTGACAAAGTTGTCAGCCCTGTTAAACTGACAGTTAATGTGAATTAAAGATGCACCTAGCTAAGCAAGCTAGCTAACTCCACACATGGCTGTTGGCTCCACTGTCTCAACCAAATATGGTCACTTCTGGGCACTTCCTGGTTGCAAAAACTTAACATGGCGGCGCCCTATTGGCCAAACTCGAGGCTTCAAAACGGCAGTCCACAAACCAACGGGTGATGTCACCATGACTATGTCCACTTCTTATATACAGTCTATGAGAGAGAGCCAATCAGATCAGCCAGAAGCTTGTTGTGACCATGTGTTAGAGTTTATGTGGAGACGATTGTTGTTGTGTTCATGTCTACAGGAAATAAAGCTGGATTACAGCTGACAGCGTCACAAGATGTATAGAGACAGTGGTCCTCATTCATCAAGTGTCATACCATCAAATAGATCTCTGAAGTGTTTGTTCTCTCATTTCAACACTAAGCTATTGCACTGCAAAAAAGGCAACTAGGACTATTAGCACAACCTCTCAATTTAGGTATATTATAAACTTCAAAAACAGACCTTTTAGAAACAAGCCAGATATTCTCACAGTAGCCCAAAACGGACAAACTGTGCTACAGAGCGCGTTTCATCTCCTTCTTCTTGTAGAATTTTGGCGGAGTAAATACAAAGGCTCTGAGGCAAATAAATTTGGACGATTCGCAACCTAACCACTAGACGCCACTAAATCTTAGACACTTAACCTTTATATATTAAAAAATGTTCTTGCGTGGAGCAAAATGGGGTAAACGAAATTGCTTCATTGCTTCATCCAGCAGAGGAATCACAACAGTGCTGCAGTCTGAACTGTTCTGAGATCAGCTCCACTCAGCTGTCAGACACAAGGTCAAGTCCACCATCATCCCTGTGTGTTCCTCTGAATGTGACAGAGTATCATCAGTGAATCTGGACCTCTCTGCTGCTGCTCTGTCCTTTTACACAGTCTCTGCTCCACCTCCTCCACCTGGACCTGGAAATGGACTTTATTTCATTCAGATGTTCTGAACCCAAAGTGCCTCTGCAGATTAGTTCTGTTTATGACAACATAATGGCAAATTAACACATTTGAATGGATTCTTCTGTTTTGTTTCCTTTTCTGTTGCAGCTCCACCTTGTGGATTGGTGGAGAATTGCAGTAAATTTCCACATTAAAATTCTAACGCAGGGTGGCACGGAGGTCGTGGGTTCAAACCCCGGTTGCCCTGGCCTTTTTTGTGGAGTTTGCATGTTCTCCCCGTGTCTGAGTGGGTTCTCTCCAGGTGCTCCGGCTTCCTCCCACCATCAAAAGACATGCAGACTAGGTTAATAGGTGACTCTAAATTGCCCTTAGGCGTGAATGTGAGTGTGAGTGAGTGAGTGAGTGTGAGTGGTTGTCTGTATATGTGTGGCCCTGTGATGGACTGGCGACCTGTCCAGGGTGTACCCCGCCTTTCGCCCAATGTAAGCTGGGATTGGCTCCAGCTCCCCCGCGACCCTATAAGCGGTTGACGATGGATGGATGGATGGACTTCTGACACATTTTGGAAGTTGATGTGAAAAAGCAGCATGCAGCCTGCAGGCATAATGTTACTTCTCTGAAGTTCTGCTTATTAATACCAATACCAAACTCTTCTCACAGTTTAATAGATGACTTTAATAGATGAACACACAGAAACATGAAGATAATACCTGTAGAAAGTTTGGATTTAATCAAAGCTTCTTGACGTCTACAAACTGAAACATGATTCTGATTCCAGTCTGAAGTCTTGTTGTTATTAGTGTAGGATTAAATATCTGTTTACTTTTTGAAATAGTCTGTTTTACTAGTAGATCCCACCAGATTGTGTTGTTGCAGAAAACTGAACTGCAAAGTCTTGTGACAATTATTTGTGGGTTTGTCACTATGAAAGACCTCTTTCATGTTCACCTCATCATTTGATGATTGTTAATATAAAAATATTGTTTAGACTTGCTTTTAGTCGCTGAATTATATCTGGATTTTAGTGAAAAGCCAGTGCTGTCTTTTGGTCCTTTGGTCAGATACTGAACACCAGAACATTTTAATAACTTCTGATGTATCCTTTTTCCTTTTGATTTTAAATTAATCAGCAAAAAGTAATATATAAGTTCTAATTATAAACTTTAGTGTGTTAGTGATTAAGATTACGTACATGTATATATTTGTTCTGTTTTCTCATTTCAGTTTACAGTTTGTTGCAGAAAAAAACAAATCCCGTTATTCAAATCCCATCTTACTTCTCATGTGATGTAAATTTCCACAATCCAGCTCCTATAAATATAAATGTGCTGCTGTTGGTGTAAATAAAGCCCATTTGTTGAATTACTTCTCTGGATATCCAGAGTTTTCTTTGTGACTGAAGAAGATTCAAGTGTTGCTCATTTCCAGCAGCTGTTCAACTCACTTGAGGCTTTATAATTCTTCTGTGCAGTCTTAGAAAGCAGCAGAGTCCATGAATGGGTCCATGTGATCTTAGAGACTTTGAGCGTGATAGATTGATTCATTATTATACATTTAACCACCCAAACTACAACAAATAGTTCAACAATAAGAATATAGGCATAATAGAGTATAATTAGCCTATTAGACAAAGGATTATGATCTCTGACATTTATTCACTAACCACATTGGCAACACGGCCAGAGAAGGACAAAGGTGGATTAGGACCACAAAGACCAGTTCACGGACCATTTACTTCAGTGCCCCTAGTGGTAGCGACCAGTGGTGAGTGGACTGACCACTGAATGGCGACAACCCCGATTCCTGTTCTGTTTTGGACTGCAACTAATGATTATTTTCATTCTGGATTAATCTGATGATTATTTATTGTGTCCAAAGTGACGGAGATTCAGTCCAGCCGGTGTGCTGTGATCCAGTTTACAGTCAGTGTGTGTTTTGGTGATAGCCTTTACATTGCCATTTGTATAATTTCCAGTACATTTAAAAATCTTTGTGTCCAAGCCCACAGTGTAAGTTAGTGATTCAAAGGTGTATAACAAAGTTCAGTCTGTCAACCGATTTATTCATCCAATTTTAACTTAGTTATGCAACTACTTGCTTATAAACAAATGTTGCAATCAAAAACAAACTTAACAAACAAATTTGTGGACCTTGACTATGGGCTGGCCTTCTACAAAGCCCTTAATGGTCAGGCACCATCTTATTTGAAAGAACTCCATACTGCCCCACCACACTGCACTCCCAAAATGCAAAATGCTACTTGTAGTGTCTTAGGGTCTCTAGATGTAGGATGGGAGCCAGAGCCTTTAGTCATCAGGCACCTTGGCTGTGGAATCAGACCCCTGTTTGGGTTCGGAAGGCAACCAATATTTCCATATTTAAGAGTAGGCTAAAAACTGTTCTTTTCGGTAAAGCTTTTAGTTAGGGATTTTTTGGTCCCTTTATTTTGTCAGAAGGCTTAGGGCTAGGGTATTTTATTTTAATATAATTTATTTCTTTTTAAGAGGTTTTTAATTATATAGATAGATAGATAGATAGATAGATAGATAGATAGATAGATAGATAGATAGATAGATAGATAGATAGATAGATCCATTATAACAACAAATATTTCTGTAGGAAAATCTTGACATAACAACTGCGAGACATGTTCCTTACACATTTCCTTTAGCATTTCAGCATTCACTCACACTTAAATCTGTAGATCGGAGAACATCGGTTGTGTTCCACGTGATCTGGCCACAAGTGATAATATAATGCTGAAATAACAAGCACTTTAAATGGCTCAATATGTTATGAAACAGCACAAAATACTTCTTTATTTAAACACAAATCTTTCATTGCAATCTTAATTTGCCCTCTCTGACAATCTGAAAACTTCTGTTTGATTTTTGATTTTGGTGATTTCTCTGAAATCCTATTGGTCATGTACTGATGTTTGTTTGTTATTAAAGATCACTCATCTTGTTGTTGTTTACCATAATGCTAATGAAGACAGGAAGTAAACAGCAACACCACTACTGGACAAAAGCGGAAGTTCGTCACTACGCTTGTGGAGAGAGCCTGACTTTTTCAGGTTGATTTGGATATTGTAAATTTGTATATTGAAGCTGAAGCCTTCTCTTATATCCATGAATACATTATTATTTGATTAATATTGACATTATATACATATATTATTTATTTATCTAACAGCTTTATGTTTTTTTTAAATTGTGGATTTGAACGACCAATAGTTTTATTCTGAAAAGACCGTGACGGAAGTACCGAGCACGTTCTGTTGCTGGCGATTTTCGTCAACACAGCCATTTTCTTTCAGACTGTAATGGAAAACACAATTAATTTAGCTAGCTTTGGGTTACATCTGGTAATAAATAGGCTTTAATGTAAAATCACAAACCGGTATATGGTTGTCTTTTGTGTCGTTATCCTCGTTTTAGCTAACGTTAGCCGCGGAAGCCTGACGCGTGTCGTGGACGAAGGTAAGAAAACTGCGTAACGTTAGCTGCTAATTAGCTTTAGCTAGCTATTCATGCGTTACCTGACTTTAGTGGACCGCTCTGTTTATATTTGTTTGGTTTAAAAGCTAATACCCACTAAGAGCTGTCTCGTGATGTCCTAATATTCAACATCACCCCCCCCCCCCCCCCTAAACCCAGTAACGTTAGAGCTTATAGATGTAGCTAAAGTTAGCTCGTGCTGTCGCCAAAGGCATCTGCAGATGAAGTAGCGTTAAGGAAAAAGAGCTGCAATGTGAACTTGCGTACAAAATTTAAATGTGTAAAGAGGTTGATTCATAAATTATGGTTGGCTATATTATTAACGTGCCCTGGTGCAGTCAGAGCTAGCAATCAGGAGAAACTCGTCCATTCTGCCAGTAAGTTAATAATTATTTTGCCAATGACTTAACGTTAAATCAGCATCTGCAATATGTGTCTTAAATGGAAACGGAGTAAAACTGGGAATGTAAGTCAGATGTTTCATTGACGCCGAATCAGACTGACTACTTCTCATGTACTTTGTTAGCATTTTATTAAGGCCTCCTACTGTAGCTGTAGGAAATCTACAACAGCCCTGCAGCATATGCAACTTTCATGAAGGTTTTAAAGTTCAGTTTTTAGAGAGGTGTTGACTAAACTTTATGGTAGAGCTCAGCAATTTGGTTGAAATTCTTACCATAGTATTTATAAGGATATCTTCTAACTGTATCTAAGAGAAGATGGACTTTGTTGATCCCAATCTGGCGAAGTTCACCTGTTACAGCAGCTCCAGATACAACACAACAGATTACAAAATTCACATTAGATATAAATGGAAGAGAAAGATTTCAAATGTTAAAGAAATAGAAAGATACGATTTAGAGTTATGTGAACACTGCATACACGTTTTTATACAGATGTGATTGATTATGGAGATATTATGTAATGAAATGTATGCAAACCAATTAACCCTAACCCAATTATCTGGTTTCCATTTTCTAAATTAAATTCCTAGTTGTTTTAGCTTTGTTTTGTTTAAGCTTGCACAGAAATGCAATTTAAACAACTTTCATTTCAACAACTAAAAATATATGATTCTGTATTCCTGCTTTATTTCCATTCATTTCAAGGAGAGTAAAGACAAAATTATAAATGCAACTGGAGGTGACCCATGGGAGAGTCTTTTTAGAAACAGGACAGCCTAGTTAATATTCATATTCAGTAAAATGACAGTTCTCCTTGATAACTTAATTAGATGAAGTAGTTTAGTGAAAACTGCCTATTCTGTGATGCGTGTTGGTTTTTCCTGCCACCTTAATCTTGAAACAAAAACCTCTCCTTTCCTTAAAGGTTGACAAAATGTCACGGTCCCGATCACCAAATTACAGGTATACATTGCCATTATTTTATGTGTCCCACAAAATCTGTGCAACTTAAAACTCACAAATGATGATCTGTAGTCATCTCCTTTGATTTTTGTTTTAAATTACAATGTGAATGCTTTTTTATTAATTCCTGTATTTTTCAAAATGTCACTTTTCAGGAGGTTCCCTTGGGAGGAACCCGATTTCGATCCTTACAAAGTCCTTGCAGAACTCGACGGGAATCAAATGGAAAGGAGTCACAGCCCCAGAGAAGATCCTCAAGAACACTGGGACTACTTAAGGGAAGACATGTACCCAGAAGACCAGAGAAGATCCCCTCCTTATCAAGATGACCCTCAATTTGGGCATCACCGCCATCCAAACCAGGAGGAGTTTTACCGCAGGGGGCCATCACCCCGTCATGAAGGGATGGGATATGATGACCGTAGGCTTTCCCCACTGCGTGATGGAGTAGGAGATGGAGATAGGCGCAGAGAAGGGTTTAGACAACACTTCCAGAGTTTTGAAATTAGGGGGAGGTCGCCCCAATCGCCTCCAAGGTTGACGAGGGAAAGATTGCCGGCGACGCCAAGGTCTCACTCAGACCAACAACAGAGAGAGCCGGGGATGGGCTGGAGGAGAGAGGAGCAGGGCAGAGGTCGAGGGAGATTCAGAGATCTCGGTCCCGTTGCGAGGTCGGATGACCAAAGAGGGGGAGCAGGTAGGGAAAGGGGGAAGAGGAACATACAGAGTCCCAGTAGAGACAGACGAAGGGAGGATTCATATCAAGAGAGGAACCCCCCCTTCAAAAGGCAAAGAAGAGAAATGGATGACAGCAATCACCTTGGGTAAATTTAAAGCAAAACGCTTTGCAGCACTGTCGCAGGGAAAAAAGGAAACGAGGAATGCAGAGGATTCTCATCTTTCTCTTTTCCCATAGAGGCAAATTCCTCACTGTCATCATGCCTTCTTTTCCATAAAACAAAACACTAATCAAACAAATATTGCATGGCTTAAAGTTTTCTTGCTTTGCAACCTTTTTCTGATACGTAACAATAGCTACATGCCTTATATTAAACATACTGTAGTTGTTAATACAAATGACAGTTAAAAGGTAGTTTTTAAAAATTCATGTTGTTAATAATAATTAAATCAGATGTTTGATTTATAATGTGAGAGGCATCCAAAGCGAATTTCAAGTGTAGATTTAAAACCACGAATAAATGTTGAACCATGTCACTTCCTCTTATGCTGTCACAGGTACAGGAATGAGAAGGACGTTTGGGAACAGCGTTACTCAATGGACACACCCAGAGATGGGTTTGGAGGAGACACTCAGGGGAGCCTCCCCCGTGGAGACATTCGGCACTTGGGACCACTCGTCATTGAACATGATCATGGCATCACACATGGCAGAGAACCATCTCCGCGGTTGCCAAATTGTTCCAACCGCGGAGATCTTGACCCCGACTTTGATCGACAGAAGAATCCTCGTCCAGTGCGCCCTTCTCAGGAGCGTTTCAGGATGTCAGAAAGCAGGTTGGATGATCTTGAGGATGCAAGAGAACGCCATTTTCAAGATAATTGGAGAGACCCCAACTATCGTGAAAATAGGAGGAGCCTTACACCACAAGATAGACCAAACCCTGTTAGATATGGTAATCGAGATGGTCCCGTGAACCACAGGGGAGGGGGGGGTGCTCGGCCAGCGAGAGGGCGGGTCAATCGCGGCCAGGTTGCAAGGACTGGACCACCTAGGAATCAGTTGCGCTTACAGCAGTCCTCCCAGGGATATCAAGATCTTCCTCGTGAAGAGCAAAGGCCGGGGTACCGACCCTTCAGGCAAGATTGTTATGAGGATCCGATTGAAGGGGAGCGTGACTGGGTAGAAAAACCGAGATTACAACAGTGGAAACATGACAGGCCTGGAAGTCTGGACCGGCACCTACCTCAGGTTGACTTGGACCCTAAAATGCCCCGTCAGAGGCTGCACGGATGGAACAGTCAGAAAACCAAGAACATGACCGTTGTAACAGAGGAAACGCTAACCATCAAAGTGGATATGAGCCGCCCCGTAAACCAGAACAGGTAGAGTATTTTTTAAATCAAATTATTAAGGGTGAGCGGTGAAAGTTCACACTTCTGTTTCTCAGCACATGGAAAACAGCGTATGGAAGACGAAAGAAATAGCCACACGGACACCGGAGGCTTGTTCAAATCGACACAACTAAAAATCGCCTGAAATATTTTTGTAAAACTGGATTTTGTTGCAGTTTGCACCTTTGCATAAAATGTGTTCCCACGTGGGTACAAGCAACAACAAGATTATATTTGCTGTTACATCATACGATCAAGATGCCATGCAGAAGTTTTTCCAAGAAGCATTACATTTTCATCTGAAAATGTAAAAGGACAAGAAGAATAGACTCATGCTACTTTACTGTGGAAGCCCAGGAAAAACTCCCACCTACTGAAGAAACTAAACCCCAGTTGAAACATGCATTACTGAAGAGCCGTGGGAGTGCCTTTTGGCTGGAAACGATGTTATAAACAAGCTGGTGTCACTTGCAGATCATTACTTTTTAAAAGTTATAATTTCATCAGTTGCATCTCATTCAATGCAAATAAGAGAAGACACCAGCTGGAAACGTGTCTAAAAGAAGGAACTGCATCACAATGTCTTTGTGCTTTTGCACCTATGAAGTGAAAAGATCTGGGATTCAGTCACAGAGCAAGATACAGAAGAACATCTCCCAAGAGCAGATGAGTAGCTGAAGCCATCGTCGGGAAGCACGATAATGAGAATGTTGTCCGTAAACTGAGAGGCAGAGGGAACAGGCGACACGAGATGTGGTTCTTGCAGGATTCAATCAAACTTGAGCAGATATCCACCCCAAGGCATTGGACGTAACCTCACATTTACCACTAGAAATCCAGTTTGTGTTTAACAAGCATCACAGAAGAAGCAAGACTTTAAAATCACACTGAGTGAAGAGGGGTGGACTGCAGAAATAACCCACAGTTAATGTGGATTTCTTGGAAGTCAGAAACATCATAAGGAGCGTATTGAATATACCTTAACCAGGCACTGATAAATAGTGTCTTTGTGTGTCATAGACCTTGACTGAAAAACTATGGACATGATTCTACAAAAACTCTCCATATATCGGACAATCTGTATTGCTCATTTTGTGGTTAACCACCTTCTGATTGATGGCACACATGGTGCGTCGGGTTGAGCTGGTTTCCATCATCAGTATTTGATCTGACTCGTTTCAGGAAACTTCAGTTACGGTTTGTGGAGCTGGATCGGGAAAGATTTATCCAACACTGCTGAAACAGAGGAAGGAAATGTCTGATCACTGCCTGTCAAACAGTCCTGGCAGAGACAGACAGTGCTCTGTGGAAACAAAGATTTAAAGGTGGAGTAAGCCATTCTAATCCAATGCACGTATTTTTGTCAAAAGTCAGCAAATATCTCCTCACTAGCTGCCCGTTCAGTGTGTGCACTGAGAAAAATTCCTGTTTGCCCTGGCTCTGTAAAGGAAATCAAAGTGACTCAGATTTAGTCACACAACACTATTCCAGCCATGATTTCAGTGTTGGGTAACGCTGAATGACTTGCCCATGGACATTCAGCTTACTTTCTAGCTCACTTTAGCTACAGCAGCAGGAGAGTTGTGAGTATCGCTGTCTGGAGCTGCTGTGTTGTCTCTGAACCCGTCTCGCCCTCTCTTCATGTTAGCTTTGCAGGAGCAACTGTGGCGACAGTTTGCTAACCCACAACTTAGCTAGCGTTAGTTACATGACTTGCTGTGTCGACATTCGCTCTTTATCGTGGTATTTGTCATGGATTTGGATTTCTCTAGAATTGCATACCCCACCTTTAATGTTGTCCAAGATCACTCGATTTATCTTCAGAACACCAGAGAGTGGGATCATCAGTCATTGAAGGAAAGAAATCACAAGAAAATATCGGTCAGAGTGGTTTGTGGTGAAGGAGATAATCTCTGGAGTATTTTTACGGCATAAATCAAGATGTTTGACAGGAAGATGAGCATCTTTAAACTTGACAGGACCTGTTATCAAATCTCATTTTTGGAGAATAAAAGAAACTGCATATGTTGTTCATGTTGTATGCAGTAAGTGTGAAGAAGTGGATACAAACACACCAGCCATGGCCAAAACATTTTGTGGTGCAATTTCCCACCCTGAGGATGATCTGGGAGTTTTTTTGTACACTTATGATGGAAAGAGGATACAAAGCTGTCAACTATCTGATTCATGAAAGGTATCCAAGTTCAGACAAACATGAACAACTATGGATTCTTGTTTTTGTTGAACTTGATACAGGGACTTCTAGATGGTGAAAAATCAGCCACAACCATATTGACTTCAGATTTACAACATACTAAATTCATACACACTATTTAACGAAGTAATTGAAGCCAAGGACATAAATTTACAACGGAGAAATTGAAGCTGCTAACGTTATCGTCAATTGATGATACATGAAGAAATTGCACCCTCATCTGTGCTGTTAAGAGGAGAAATCAAAGCAGTGAGGATAAATATCAGCACTTGTTAAAAGAAATCAAAGCTCCAAATATAAATATCAGGAGAAATTGAAGAAAAACATCCTCAAAGCTGAGTAATTGGAGCAAGATGATGTTATGCTGATGTTGAGGGGAAAATGAAGCTGTGAAGATGCATATCAGTGTTGATGAAGGAGAAACTTCGGCAGCATCTGTGCTGTAAGAAGCAGAAATCAAAGCCATGAACATAAACGTAATGCTGAAAAATGGAGGAATCATCAGAGCTGTTTACATAAGAAGATGCCGTCAGGCTGATAAAAGGACAAACCGGGAACATGAACATCATTGCTGTTGAAAGGAAAAATCAAAGCTGCCAACGTTCACATTATCAAACGGGAAAAATAAATATAAGTCGTGAAGATAATTATTCTCACTGATATACGCTGTTAAAGGAGAAGTTACCGTCACGGAAAGAAAAGAAATCAAAACACCAAAAGCTGAAGATGGATCAGTGAAGTCCTGGATAAACTAAGGGCAAGTTTGAACAAAGAGCCGGCGCCTGAAAAAAGCAGACAAGCTGACCTATGAAAATGTCTTTAACTGAGGAGTCATACAACATGACTGAAGTTTGTGAGTGGCTAAACTATCTGGTCAACTGGGAGCTAATGGTGTCAAAGTGAAGATAAAACGGATCAAATAAGAAAAGAAGTGTGAACTTTCATCCAACCTTTAACTCACCCGTCTGTTAAAATGAGGGGTATCTTGGTCTCCTCTGGCTGCCACTTTAGGCCTTTTTTAAAATATCCATAAAAATATTGTGCATTCTGACACTTAAGAAATCCGTGGGAGGTTGCCTCATTTTTTAGCCAACATGGAAGACGTAGTTATTGTAAACATTAAGAGTTGTGGAACTCAAGAAAGGTAAGTTTGTCGGGTAAGGTAAATATGTTTTTACTCGTGATTGGGACAGAAAGTTCTTTTTAAAACAAATTAGGCTAAAATACAAATGAATGCTTCCAAGTACATTCATATTCTGGCTTTCAGGAATTTCAGCTGTCACAGTAATTAAAAGTGTTTAATGGAGTAAATCAGCTATTGTTATTGCAAATGTAAATTGTCAGCCCACCCTGATGTTATGATCACGATACGAAGTGAGTTATGTAGCCTTCTTGTAACGGTGCCACATCATCAACAACTAGAACCAGTTTTTACCTCTTGGCTGGTTTCATTCTTGTTTTTCTCCTCCCGCAGCCCGCTGTGCTACTCCTCAGACCGGCAGCTCTCATTAGACCTTGTCAACGTGGGTCGCCAGCGTTTGGACTTCCTGCCCATGCTGGAGCACTCGGGGACGTACCGGGAGACCGCCATGCACACTGGGACTTTTGCCCAGGAAATCATCACACTGGTGCACCAGGTCAAAGGTCAGCACAATATCCCTACATGCACATCTTTTTGTTGGGTCTTTGGTTTTAGACTGAATCCTGATTTGTGATACTTTGTATTATTGGTTTATTTGGCACTAAATTATCTAAAACAGTCAAGTTAAGCTGTCAAACAAAATTAAGTCAAAATTTCAAGCACAAACCACAATTTAAGATAGATGTTCATCCCTGAAGGAAAATTAGTGTTACAGTTTGCATCGGTTTACATAGATAAAATAAACACACAGTTAGAAAACATGTAGTTACACAAAACGCACACGAGGTTTGTGACAAACATGCATGAACTAGGTTAAGAGATAAAAAAATAAAATATGATTAACAAATGTACAATATATATTCATTCCACTATTCTATTATATATCAATAAGAGTTAACGTCTGTAAATTTGTGCAAATGAATCCCCATTTGGATTCGATACCTCTCAAAAAAAATTGTTGTCACGGGGTTAGATATGGTAAAGGCTAAATGCCTTTCCACTGCTTGACAGCAGGTGTGTGCAGTTTACTCACTTCTGTGGAGAGAAACTCCATGACTGGATAATAGCAACCGCACAAACCATACGCTGAAACGTTCTTGTGTAGCCTTTATTGTAGGGCAACGTGACATTGTGTGATTGTCCACCATTAAACCACACATGAAAAATTCCAAGTTTTTGAAGTGTGTCTTGTCTACGTTTACAGAGCAGTATTTCAGAGATGGTGGCCTCACCCTGAACGAGCGTTTCTCAGCCCCCCAAAAAGGCGGCAGCTCTGAAGACGAGACGGAGGAGCTGACGCTGGATGAGAGGTTCAGTTCAAACCGGTATGTCTCATGTTGATACAAAGGCATAGTAGTGTTAGTAGTTTATGGTGATCAAAGTGAGTGCAATAGTAGTGCATGATGTATTTAAATGTTTAAGGAGAGTTGAGCAAACTGGAGATCCTTAGGGAAATTTCTCCTGGTTGTTCCTAATCTCCCCCACTCTGGTTAAGTCCTTTTTCATCAGTGTCTATGAGTAATGCTAGATTGTAATATGTATTACCTGCTGTATTCATGTTATTTTGTTTCATCATACTGCGTTTTTTTAAAATACTTTTTTTGCATTTTGTAAAGATGGTGATTATTGTTTTTCCAAAGCAGTAGTGTGAAGCTGTGAGAACAAAAATATGAATTTGGCTAAATAAACAGGCTTCTTTCATCTTTCTCCTCTGCAGAGGCTTTAGCTTAAACATGAGCTCGCTGCTTGACGACGAGGAGCCTCTGTTCTCCAGACTGGGACCCTTGCAGGTGAACGGCTCTTTCTCTAATACCATCTTAACATCCTGTAGTAAGGACAGTTTGATAGCAGTTGTCACGATGGAGTGCAGATACATCTCCATGTGATTAGAATTTAAATAATTTTTGATTAATCTTGTTGATGTGATGGCAGCCGGTGCGAGGCCCGGGGGACCTGAGGCATGACCTGGAGAGGAGGAGACAGGAGAGGCTGGAGGGGGTTAAAGTCACAATATCGGGGAACAGTATGTCACAGCGCCCCCTGGGCACAGCCAGGTGAGATTAAACTCCTTTTTCTGCTTCTTTCTGTTCATTTATCAGAGCAGATACTGACTTTATAGACATCTTGTGTACTGTGGGGTGAAATAGCACTCAGTGGACAGACTACGAGACTTGAACGTGTTGTTATGAAGTAAAGAACACGGGTTATTCTCTTAGCATTTACTATCTCAAATTTTCTACTCATCGTTTCTGTCAGTGAGCTGGACGTAGAATACTTTGACAAGGACGAACTGGCTCAGATGGAGGACGACGAATTATCCTTCTGGACAGAGGAGCAAAGCAGGAGGCGAGAAGGCAACATGGTGAGAGAGAAGAGTTTGACCTGTGACCTTTCATGTGATGCATGTGATGGAGACTACATGTAGAGGTCAAAGTGAATCTTTCCGTCCTCCTTTAGGGACCAAGGCGAGGAGGAGCTTCCTTCAGACAAAACTCCGGCGCCCAACGCAGGAACAATCGTTTTGGCAACCGGCTTGGACCAATGAGGCGACAGCACAACCACAACAACCCCGCAGGTAACTGAACGCTCCTGAATTTCCCTGCGGCTTTACAGAGCTTTATAGTGCATTTCAGCTCATTGTTTCTCTGTACAGCCGCAACCTAATTATTCAGGTTCACTCTCAGCGCGCTCATTGCGGCGTTTTCAGAGGAAAAGCTGTAAAAACTCACCGCAAATCAGAATTGTCAAGTCCGGCCTATAGTCGAATCATATGTGCATCTGTGGTAGCGGTTGCGGGGAAGAGGGGTGTTACACGGTAGCTCTGCTTTAATCTTGAGAAGCTGCAGAGCTGCAGTCTCCGTTTATTAGGCACTGTAACTTAGACTGTACATTTCCAGCTAACGTCAGACTTATTGTTGAACCTTTTCTCTCTGCTCGCCTGCCATTCACTGGTCTCTGCCACATGGATCTAATCCAAGTACTGTTTAAAAACGATAATATTCTTTTTGTGGTTCATCAAGGGTGATAAATGATCAGAAAGTCCTGCAAGGTGCGGACAACTCGGCACAACACCGGCGAATAGCCTAAACACACACACATTACGCCCACTCATGCGCACTGATGTCTCCTTTCGATTTATTCACGCACTTTAAAAACATTTATTAAAAGCTTTTTTCTTTTTACATGTTTATTTACAGCGTTATACATTGAAATGTATCATGATAGGCTGTAAATGAACTTATTGGGAGTTAATTGGGAGTCAGGCTCCACGAATCAAAGCATCGAATCTTCGACTATTCGGGGTCAGCCCTACTAATTGATTTGAAGTGTCACCACTTTAAATGCATCTGTGAAACTGTAGATTGTAGAAAATGTAGAGCAAGAGTGTGAGGACTAGAATGGGGTCAACTATTAACACAGACATATACGTAGGTACTGTTAATTTCTCAGGAATTGACGTGTTTGCCCAATAATATATAGAATAACATTGATAAACGATACTTTAAGTTATCGCCCAGTCCTAGCCATACCCAGTCTGTTTATAACTTAAATCTACTACTAATCTGTCAGAAATCTTCCCCTACCTGTCCCTGCCATGTTTGCAGCCACGGCCCAACCTATTAATCGTCTGGAGGCTCATTCCGGCCCCTGCATGCAGCTTCTGTCTCAAACTCAGCGTGACACATTTAGTCAGATTTATTCCGTGTTTAACTCGTTGTGTAACGTCCCTGCAGGGCTGCTGCTGTTTCCCCTGGCAGCTTCATGTTGGTGGAATATTCCCTTTTGACTTTTGACCCGCTGAAACTTTGATTAGCTGATTAGCTGATTAGCTTCTAATCATACCTGAGCTGGTGCAGCTCCATCACCACCTCTTTTCACACCAGTCAAATCCTCTTTTATTGATTGCACGCTGACCCACCTGTTGGCAGTGACCCAGATGTCTCTGACCTCCGCTCTTTATCTCTGTCTTTACCAATTATAGGTCCTAACTGGTGATCGGACTAAAAGGTATTCCATTTGGATGCTGCTGATTTGTTGAAGACTTATAATACTGCCTGTAAAAAAAAAAAAATTTTTAAAGGAAATATTTTGTCCTTGTCTGGGGTCGAATTGTGCCCGTGTTGATTTTGATCAGCAGCACAATGTTGGCGTTGTATGAAACTGTGAAGAAGTCTCTGCTCTGTTGGTGTTTGCCAGCGGGTGCAGCAGACTGAGTGATGAATTTGACTACAATGAAGGTGAAACGTTAATACCAGCAGGTGGTTCACACTCTAACGTCTGTTCACACCTGTTCTGTCCTTCTATCTTTGTTTGTGTGTGTATTTCTGTGTAATGAATATAATTTCACGTTTCACACTTTCTTTCATGTACGTGTGTGTGTGTGGTCTTGATTTAAACAATATCTTGGAAGATTTTTTAATCCAACAGTCGGCGTTTATTGGGATAATGTTGGTTTGAACGTCTCCAGCGGAGATCTTCGACGATCTCACTGAAAGTTGTTAAAGTTCACTACACTTTTTTTATGGGACTATAAATGACCACACTTGAACGTTCTGTATTTAAAAAAACATAGACGTTAATTTTAACCTGATTCCTGTTGTTTTCTTCCGTCACACTTTTATCAAATCTATATAGTTCATTAACATTACACCAGCCTTCTTACTGTTAACACATGACAGTGTTTCTGAACAAATAAAAGATTTGTCTTTTTCATTTTGTCATTTGTGTGTCATTGATCGTCAACCTCTTTGCTTACTGGGAGTGAATCTGGTTTGTCAGTGACATGAATCCATGAAGCTTACTGACCTGGGTCTAAAATCCTATCTTATGTCAGTTTAGGAGGATTAAAGAAACATGTTTCTGTCTGAAGAAAAGTCCTATCTTATTAGCGTAGGCCTAACTTGGCAATTACAGTGAAGATGGGGAAGAACAGGAACACCAAAACACAGAAATAAAAGACTACTTGGCATCGACTGCCAAGACAATTCATTTTGAATTTGCTTGACATGCTGCGTAAGTTCAAATCTTTAACCTGGACCGATAATTTGGGGGAAAAAATGCCGTCTTGTCCATTACAGCAAGCAAGCGAGCTGGTGACTAATAAGTGAGACAGCCTTTGTCAAGGAAACAATCAGTCTTGTGTACGTTTTTTAAACGGATATTATTTCCCCCTTGTTCTTTCCAGACTGTGATGTGTCAAAATATGTCAAATGAAAAAGTACCATTGTGCCAAGAAAACACCTAATTCTTATTCACAAACACTTGATTGTACAACAGAGACGTTTTATCGCTGTAGACGCAAATATTCTGATGGTTCAGTTTAAATTTAACACATTTTTGCCTTTACATGGAAAAAAAGTTTGATACCTTCTAATTTGTGCTGTTTTATCATCGGTAAATGTTTGGGGAACAGTCTCCGTTCACAGAACTTAATTTTGTTAACTGAAACCTAAAAGAAAAGAATATTTGCTGCCTTTATTTTTATATTAAGAAAAAATTTGTTGTTTAAATTTCAGTGTGAACAACAGAGATCTGTATGGAGTCGGTTTGACAAGGTTGACCAAAGCTACATGACTAAAGTATGGAATTTCAATCACATGGTATCAGGTGGTCGTTTAAAATCATAATATAACCACTTTTCAAAACAAAGAAGTGCTTAACATGCTTGCACCAGATTATAACTTTTCAGACTTTAAAAAAACTCAGAATATTTAAATAATATCGTAATCTCTGCTCAAAGACGATCTTTGGCATTGGACGTTTACATCAGGCCACATAGTAACAACCAAAGCGTCTCTGTGAGAACCGTACATGCTGGTGAAGGCCACAAGATGTCGCCAAAAGCTCCAGATAAACCTTGTTAGATGGCTCCCTGATGACTGTTATACTGTGGGTATTTCTAAAAAATTACATTTCAACAACAATATTAAATTGTTAGGAGTAAGTTTTTATAGAGCCACAAAATTACAACAAATATCACGAAATGATACATTTAATTTGATTAATCTGTGTGAGTATTTGTCAGCAATGGCATGACATGTAAATATTTTGGAGAAGACTCAGACTTTTAGGACCTCTGTGTGAAAATATGAACCTTACGTCACCTTACAAACGCCTTAAAACCTGTTTCGCCCTCATGACCCGTAGTGGACTCCTGTTTTTCCAGCTGCAGAAGCCTGAAAGCGGCCACATTTACACAACTTGTCTCAAAAAATAAATCTGCTTTTGTCAAATTAATATTTATTTCAAACGCTGGGTGAAAATACATAATAAAAAAGACAACACATTACAGTTTAGGTTTTTTAACACATGATACATTATTCAGGAGTTACACTTCAGAGGAAATCTTTGAATTGGCTGCTCAGTTATGTCACAACATGATACATCTACTGACACTCAAGTCCCTAAAAGATGAATTAAACTAAACCATTGGTTCTTTTTTTTAAGCTACTAAATTCACAAGTTACTTTCAGAATAAAATTACTGTAGTATAACAGCTTATGACTGGTTAAATATGTGTACAAACGTCATAGCAGCATCACTGTTGAGTTAGCAGCTTTAAGCCTGGAGTCACAACCCCACTAAGTGATTACTTCTTACTTGAGTACAAAGAGTAAAACTACTTTTTAAAGTACTTGAGGGACTTTAGGACTGCTGTAACAAGGCACAGAGAGAAAAGAAGCTGCATTTCTTGTCATCTTTGTAACTGCACTGAAACTGATCAAAGGAAGGAAGTTAAAAGATTTCACATCTCTTTTGTAGGACAAACAATAAACTTCAAAAAGGTTTTCCAGTCTTGCAAACTGAAGCATGAGAGCTTATTTAAATACATTTTCACATTGAGTAATTGGTGTTCAGGTAAACACACACAGGAGAGTACATGACCCAATTTTTCACACAAGCTTAAAAAAAATCTAAATCTAGAGAGCCTTAATACAAAAAACATGCTCACAGAAAAGAAAATGCTCTTTGAGCACTGTTAGGCAGAGCAGGAGGAGAAAATGTCAAAGCCTCGTAAAGTCTTAATCCAGCATGTAATAGTTTAAAAGTTTCAGCCTCACAGGGTCTTAATTTAGAAGTACGTGGTTCTCGCAGGACAGCGTCAAACACGTGATGATCTTATAGACCATGATGCATTGCTGCAGATTGATGAGCTCAACCTTTAACATCTACAGTAGTAAATTGCATCATACACATTAATGCAGCAAGAATATTAATTCAGAAACATCAGATATAATGGAGAAACACCGACAGGAAGATTTTACTGCATTATGAGTACTTTTACTTGTGATGAAGTAAATTTAACTGATAATACTTACATACTACATAAGGTTTTCAACGCAGGCCTTTTACTTGTAATGGAGTATTTTAACAGTCTGGTATTAGTACTTTTACTTAAGTAAAGTGTCTGAATACTTCTTGTGGGACAACCAGAGAGTCACTTGTGTATCGTGTGACATTTAGTTTGCTGCAGTCAGCATAAACTGAACATGAGATATGTATTTGTAGTACTGATAGTTTCACTGCAGTTACAGGTAGAGTCAGAGATGCATGAAGAGAACCGATCTCACCGCGACTCAAGTCTCTTCTGACTGAGGCAGCTGTTTCCAGAATCTCGTTGCATATCTTGTTGCTGTGTTTCCAGACCTCACAGCATAACAGGAGTCACTCGTATCAGCTTTCCCCAAATCCCATCAGTACCAGCAGAGACGCGGCTCCAATCACGCGTAACATGTTGACTTTCAAATAACCCAGCGTTATCCACAGCACCAGGCCTGCAGCTTCTCCCGTGGGGCCCCTTGAGGTCCACTCTGGTCCTGGAGACCCTGTAGCACCTACACCTCTGGACTCGGGTGAGTTAGATGTGTTTCCATAGAAGAAGAAGCCTGACTGGTCCGGGAGTCAGAGGTGAGAGTTGCAGGGTAAAGGCCGAAACGTCACCTCTGTGTTCTCGTCCATGATGATGTCAAAACGGCACATTATAGGCCTGACAGGGAAGGAAATAGACCACGATTAGTAAATTAATTAAATGGCAGGGAATTAATCAGCAATTATTTTGATAACATTACTTGTTTTAAATTATTTATCAAGCAAAAATACCAAACATATCCTCTGTCTAGTCGAGGATTGGCTGCTTTTCTTTCCCTTGCAAGAAAACAAAATGAATATCTTTGACTGTTGATCAAATTTTTTATATTTTTAAAGACCAAACATTCAATCCATAAAATATACTGAACAACTGTGCAATACCCGTGCTGTCTGATCAGCATCTTGATCTGCCACACCTGTGAGGTGGATGGATTATCTCAGCAAAGGAGAAGTGCTCACTAACACAGATTTTGACAGATTTGTGAACAATATTGAGAGAGATAGGCTTTTGTGTACATAAAGTCTTAAATCTTTAAGTTTAACTTATGATGAATGGGGGCATTAACAAAAGTGTTGCATTTATAATTTTGTTCAGTATATATATATATTTGTCAGACTGCTATTTCTAAGGTTAAGAATGAACTTTCATGCTCAATAGTGTCTTACAAATACATACAAATATGATATGTGATATGGGTTCAAAGAAGTGGAACATGCAGATCCAGATTAGTTTGTTTCAAGAAACTTAACTAGAAATTTAGAGGCAAATATTGTATTTTTTACTCCACTAACATTACATTGGAGATTCACATTATTAATATCAACTTAATAAACTTACAACATGACCTTAAAGTGATGAACACATAATAATTCAATAATTATAAAACAGTAATATAATATGTATTATTCTAAAATGGGCCATTCTGCATTATGAGTATGCATATATTTATTTATTTATTTATTATTAAATTTGATTCTAATTTTGTACTTTTACTACAAACTTCTTCCACCTGTGGTTGTACTGTGTTGACACTGGAAAAGTGACAAAACTACAAAATTTAAATGCTTAATTTCTCACGTTGTGCTTTTGATGGCAACTATTTTCCCACAATGCATTGCAAGGGCATACATTTTGGAGGGTAAAACTGCTTAGTCAACTACCTTTGAAATCACATCTTTAGGGAAAACATTTAGCTGCATTTGTTTGAGCATCAAAGTCAGCAAAGGGTCTAAAAAAGTAATGTGACTCCAGTAGTGAACGTCACTATGGTCACAGGCCTGACCTCTCAGGGCGGTCCAGTGGCGTGAAGCGAATTTGCAGGAGTCTGATTTTATAACGAGGGCCGATCACGTTGCCGGTGTTGATGCGTATAGAGATCTTCTGGACTTGCTGCAGATCCTCATCAAACTGGGCCAGCAGCCGCGTGGAGGTGTACTGCTCGAACCGGATCAGTTTACTGGGAACAGAGAGGAGGAGGGTGAAGGGTTTCAACCGCAGAGCGTTCATGGGATTTGTTGACAATATGAAAAATCTAATCAAAGTCTATAATAGGAGTGTGTTTTGTGTAAAAGCCGGATATGTTGAATTATTTCTTTCTGTTGTGACGCAAGCTTCTTGTTCTGACTGATGACCGAGAGGGGAAACAGGTGTTTTTCCACGTGTTGTACTGACAGACCTACTTGTCTATTCGCGCCTCTGTGAAGTTTCTGCCACTGTGCAGCCGGATGTAGACGAACGCCCAGCGGAGGTACTGGTTCCAGGTCACCATGTCCACTCTGTAGCTCAGCTCTGCCGCACACAAGTGTTACAATCATGTTATACTCTATGTTGCAAAGTGATCAATATATCATCAAAAAGCATCACCAGAATTTAAACCTTCTTTCATGTTACACATTTTGTCCATAACGGCATCAGTAATGTCACAGCAAATGTTTCAGCTGAGACAACTGATGGGAAACACAAAATACACAACTTGTCTTGTATGACGCATGGAGGTTAAAGGTAAATCTGCTGTGTGAATGATGGTTTGTGAGATTCTGGTGGGATCTTATGTGAGAGTGCGTTTGACTCACTCCGGTAGGGCAGCGTGGCCGTGGTGCTGAAGAAGACTTTGGTCTGTCCGAGCTTCAGCAGAGTCTCCCTCCACTGGCTGACATCATAACCTGCAGGTGAGACCACACAGCTGATCAGACACAAAAGGTCAAACTCCTCTACACAATACTTGGGTTCAGGAAATCACCACCCGCTACTGAAGAACTACAAAATAGTCCAGAATTTCCAGTTAAGTGCTGTATTTGTGGGTATAAACAGTTGTTTTTTTAATGTCACATTTTAAATACTTATCAGTAATTATGTTTACATTTTTATAGGCTGCTGTGTTATTTTTCTTGTATTCTGGGTTCCTGGAAGCGTTATGCTTTGTGTTATGACTTTAAAGTTTCTTAGTGTTTTGGCTGTTTTTGGGCACTGCTCATCTCTGTAGACAATAAAAACTGCTAATTTGTATTTCCTTTGTTCTGGCCTTGCTTCGGATTTGGAAGAGTGGGCAGCCGCACCCTTATGTTGCATCCAGAATACCCCTAGACCTTAGGACATAACATTTGTTAAATTGGCAAAATGCTAAATCAGACGTTTGTTAAATGGACGCACATAAAGTTGGCAGAAGCCAACTAAAATGATCCTAGAAAAGTAAACAGCCCTATTTCCTAAAAACCAAAAGAAGAAGTCACACTACATTAGAGTGGTGCCAGACTCTAATATAGTACGACTTCCTCTTCTGTTTTCAAGGGCCAAAACTTTAATTTTAAGGTGGCTCAAGAACACTGATGAACATTACCTTGGTGATAACGGGCTTTTACCTGTCCTGCACAAGTTACAAGTGTACCACTTATTTGGCCTGATTAGACCTCCTCTCGTGTTTGTTGGTTTAACATACTCACTTCTTTTTGCACCTGTTAGGGCCAAGTCAAATACATGTTTAGTTTGTCCAGGGGTTTTGGGGGGGATATAAGCGGGAAGTATAATATCTCCACAGAGCCACTGAGTTGAGCCTTGGTTTTAAGCTTATATTTGTTTACATTTTGGCAAATTGGCACCATTGAAACATGCCAAATTAGCTATTAGCAGTTCTATCTATCTATCTATCTATGACTATCACTAGATTACTGTGATACAGAAGAAAAAATGTGATGATTGTCAGGCAAGTTCTGTAGTTAAAAGGAGCATCTTTGATGAGGGGATTAATTCATGAGAGCTGAAAGTGTAATTCACACCGAATCTACAAATATGTTTCATTTCTGTGTGTTCAGATTTTCATTACTTATGACTCAAGGAAAGAGTGCAATTTTTGACTCATGTTCACCTCTCAGTATCTCGCCTGTAGTCCTTCCCTCCGCGCCTCACAGTTTGACACCTTCTGCATCAGTCTATAAGTCTTGTTAACAATGGTACTCACGGTGTTTTGTCTTGCTACACAGATCTGTCGATTTAAAGCTCATGTAAACCCATACAGGTGTTTTCAGTTATTTTTGCTGATTAGCTCTGCACTAATAATAACTATCTAGTTAATATGATAAATTAGAGAGATTTGATGAGAAATATAAGATGTAGAAGGGTAAATATTCTTTTATTCTTCTCGTAGTTCTAACTGGTCACCACTACAGGTTGTTCAAAGCCCTGTAAACATTTCTTCACTTACCAAGCACAGGACAGGGTGCAGGTTTAAAGGCCTCACACTGCATACACCGCCCATCCAGGAAGTCGCTGTAAGACGAGCAGGGGTAACCTGTGAGGCTGCAGGTTCGGTTCAGAGTGCACAAGAACAGAAACACCGAGCGCTGGTGGTCACACACAAAATAAGATTTACCTGTGGGAGGAGAAAGAAAGACAGACAATAATACAGCGAGTGTGTGATAATGAGTGTTTGTGAAAGCATGTTTTCAGCTTGAGTGTGTGTTTTCACCTGCAAAGATGGTTTTGGGACACCCTGGTTGGTCTGCTCCACCGTTTGCGTAGAAGTCAATATGACCATGGGCTCCTCTCAGTCCAAACGCTGCAAAAAGGAACATACAGATTCAGTATTGAGCGTAATTTTAAGACTAAAGAGCTCAAACATGTCACATTACGTTACACCATATGTTTATATATTGTATACTAATTGTGTTTCTTTCAAACACAAGAAGTAGTCATCAGCAAATCAAACACAGTCCACACTGGACAGTTGAACTTCAAATATCTTGGACTCATAATAGACAATAAACTCATTTTTGATCGACACCTCACTTCCATCCATATACGATCACAATGTTGACCACCTCCAACAAAAACATACTTAGCAGCATCTCACACACTGCCTCCAAAAACACATGCTGTCCCACACCCAAACATGAACCACAGAGGCGTCACACGCCGAATTGTACAGCGGGGTCCTGACTCGAATCAGTGACCTCGGGTACGGGAGGAGTTGCACATGTGCTGTTCCCAAATAAGGACTACTAGCCAATCAGAAGCAGAGTAGGGTGGGTCTTGACAAGCAAGGTAGTGTGATCCAAAACAAAGCCGCTTCAGCCGGTAACCACAGCTCCGGTTTAGCCGTACATGATCCTGATACACAGGCAGAACAACCTGAACCAGCTTTGCAAGCTAGACTGGAGCAGGATGTTTCTGAGTGCTGTTTTCAGTCTTTTTCACTGCCACACTAGCCGCTAGACAAGAATTATGACGCGTGTTACAAAGTGATGCAGATAAGTTACGGAAGTAAAGGCTGGACTACAATCGAGCTGCGGCGGTTCAGGTGCCGTGTTTTCTGCAGGAGGTGGTAACATAACACAATAAAGTGATGGGGAAAAGAAAAAGCATAATATGACCTCTTCAAAATAAAAGAGAGCTTCCTTCAGCAAGAGAATACTGAGAGATTATTTATTTAGGATGGCATTGTCACTAAACCTTGACAAGCTACTGTATATATAGTATACTATTGTTTAAAATTGAACCCTTAGAAAATAATACCTCAGGTGAAAGAAAGAGATGACTGTGGCTTCTCACAATACTTGGGTTCAGGAAATCACCACCCGCTACTGAAGGACTACAAAATAGTCCAGAATTTCCAGTTAAGACCTCTTTATTGCTAAATTGTGGTAGGTGTGTGTGTGGTTCTGAAATGAGGAATAATATACAGAGTAATGAAACATATTACAACCCATTAAACCAGTCATCATAAAGAACTAAATGAGAAAAATAACACCGCTATACTTAGAAAGGCCACAAAGTGACACCACCAGACCACTGTGGTGCCAGCTAAGTACTTTTACACACTAATTTAGCCACCTTAAAGAAAACAGTTGACAGCTAGGCAGCTATTAATAATAAAGAGCCCCATTGAATGTAATTACATTAAGCACAGGCTCTACGCATATAGAGCTATCACTGTAGATACTCACTTGCTCTGAAATGGGCCTAATTGACATGACTAACAGTAGCTAAAGTGAGCTAGAGCAAGATTTAGCTAAGAAGGGGAAGACTATACCCAAACTATATTAGCATGAGACTTAAAGTACTTACAGTCCAATGGACGCACATAACAGTCAGAAACAAAAGACATTAACACTCTTTCTAACTTAATTAGACTAAAAACTGTAACTCTCAGAACCCTCTATGATCTTGTGAACTGCACTGGGCAGAGGGAACATACCATTCTAAAAAGGGGGGCGGGAAGTACCACTTGAAGATAGGGGTTGGTAGGTTCCATGTGTTGCTGGCCTTTTTAACATCAGGAATATAAAAATTAGGAATATGCTTCTGTTATGAAGAACTCTTGTAGGAACTATGCAGTTGTTGTGCAGGACAATGAATTGTAAATCTCCCACAAAATACACAATAGTTAAAGAAAATCATTAAACCTAAGATTATACGTGTTTACATACTTAAAGTGTTTATGTACAAAATTTAAAGCAAATTAAAATAAGATAAGAAGATCCTTTAATTGTGTCCCATATAGCCTACAAGTCCTGTTCTGTCTCTACATTGGCTACCACTGATTTTTCCGTCATGTTTAATCAGCTGACCCCAGGTTTGTTTTTTCACTACCTCTGAGTTTAGTTGTTATCAGTAAATGTAGTTTAGATGCTCACAGTCCATGTCAGTGTGAAGTACGTCCACAAACATGGCGTCTGAGGGGTCCAGCCTATCCTCTGGTGTGGCGCTGGTGAACATCGGCCCCGCTGGGTCCAGACCTGGTACGGTAATCAGAGAAAAGAGATTCAGAGTCTAGATTTTAAATATTTATATTAATACATTACTGAGATGTACAGATGGTCCATGTTGGACTTTCCTCAGTGCAAAATGTTTGTACATTATGTTTTATTTATTACTTTGTAATTTAAGGTAGTAAGTTTTAACTTCTTAAACTCAGTTTGAAGTGCTGTTTTTCTGTCTGCAAGAAATGCTTTCATGACACTTTTATTTATCCTTTAATTTAAATGTCCTTACTTCTTTAATGTCACTTTAAACATGTCAACTTAAACATTTAAATAAAAATAATTTCCCATCATACTCAATACGCTGAACTTTTCCCTTTCCTTTTGCTCTACCACTTTTTCCCTGTATGTTTTTTTAGTATTATATTTTTATTTTTATTTTACCAGTGATGCGTCCAATCTTCCCCTTCAGATTTGCTCCTACATATCCAGCCAGGTGAGCTCCTAGACTGACACCGATGAGGTGAACCGAGCTCAGAGACGCTCCTTCCTCCTGCAGACACACAACATTCAAAACTCAGCGTTACATTCGAGGTACACATTTTGTTCTCTTTTTATTCACCTTTTAGCTCTCATCTTACTGTTCATGCATGGTCATAATCTGTACGGCGTTAAACACTAAATGCGTTAACAGCTGGAGGACAATAGAAGACTAGAGAAGCGCAGAGTTCAGCACCGTAACTACCATAGTGCTCTGTATATTGTGGGTATTTTACATATGCCGTCATTTTTAAGAAGCCATATATTTGAATTTAAGTACGTTTCGGCCGACTTTTGTTTCCTCTACTTACTAAATTGATCACGAGATGAAATGAGTGAATATCTTGGCATCTTGATGACCTTGACCTAGTTGATTAAACTATTTTCTGGGATTATAATTCAGAAATTCCTGCTCCCTGATAGGAAAAATAAAATGAAACGCCCCTTTAGGCTCTTAGTCAAGATGCCAAGTCTACACTGTTAAACTCAGACAAAAAGTAAACGTTAAGTTTGTTTGAAACTGTTCTTCAAAGCTGCATTACTTGATTTGTTTTGGCCTCTTGGGAGGAGAAGAACTCCACACCAAGCAGACACAGAGCAACCTGATCGTCCCATTTGCATCTTGTTTGTGTCACTTGATGAATGTGAATCCAATAGTCACTCTCATTTTAGCTCTGTTTCTCCTAAGAAAAATATCTGGCTCTGTAGTTGTTGGGGTTTTATTGGCTGAAAAAAAAGCTTTCTGCTGCTGCTGGAAACACTGAGACTGAACCAGACAGTTAATGTGCCAAGAAAAAGCAAAACAAGGACCTAAAAGAAGCAAATATTTCTTGGAGTTCTCTTTCTCAGATAAATAAACTCATACTTCGACACAAGAGCGTCTCACCTGCATAGTCATGATGAAGCCGGTGAGGTTGTGAGCTGCCTCGCTCGTGTAGGCCACAGCGGTGAAGTAGTTGAGGTTGGCCGCCCCTCTGTTCCAGTCCACCACGATAATATTCATGTCCTCCTGCTCGGCCAGCAGGTGAACCAAGTGGTTTATCCAGATGGGGGGCGCTCCGGTGGGCCGGTAGCCGTGGATGACGAAGGCGGTGGGGTGGGAGAGGTTGAAGAGAGGCTGGGAGGACAGGTTGTGGTGGTTGAGCTCACGGCCGCAGTCGAGGTTGGAGCGGGTGTAGAGCAGCAGCCGGACGTACAGGCTGGTTCCCATGAAGCAGTGAGACAGGTTGAGGTCTGTGAAGTCATCGCAGGACTCGTCCGTCCCACTGTCCTCCTGGCCTGGGCAAACAACACAGAAGACATTTTGAGTCAGAACGAGCGCTGAGAACATTAAAGCTGCACAACATGTTGGTAATTTCAACAAGACATCAGGAGACTTCGGGTCTGGTTTTGTTCATGAACATCAACCTAACACACAAATATTCACAAAGAAGAGGAAAACCAAAAACAAAGGACAGAATAGCTGTCTTTCTCTAAACACCTTTGACATGGTCTTTATCCAAATGTTTGCTCACTTGTTTGCCAGATTAAAAGTCCAAAGTCTGAGTTAACAGTTCACGCTGTCTGACAGGAAACGCTGGGATCAATTCTTACTCAAGTGACGCTGAGTGTTAGTCGGACCTCTTTAGATCTATGATGTGAGGATTAAGCTGCCACTCAGGCTAACATACAGTCTCTTTATCCTATTTAAAGTGTCTTCAGCCTGCATGCTGGAGTGCACAGGCTGGTGGTGGTTTTCTGAGGTGAGGATTCAGTTTTTCCTTTTCCATTTAATCAATATTGACAGGTGTACAAGAGTCTCAGTCAGTTTACTGTATCAGCACACCTCACAGGGTGTTATCGCTATCTTAACATGGACACTTAGCTACCTTAGAATCAAAGAGGATTCTCTGTAGGTAAATAAAGAGACGCAATTTAATTTTTTGTGATCTCACAGATGTCCACAGTTTGACACAGTGTTTAAATCCAATGTTTCCACAGTCTGCTCTTCTACTTTGCTGAACAGTCTGTGGAAATATTAGATTTAAACATTGGTTTAAAGAAATTTTTATCATTCCTGGACCTAGAAAACAAAAGATTAGAGGCAAGTCTGGTTTCTCATTTCATTTTCCAATGCAGTCCTTAAACTTTTGTGCTGTCACCGGAAAGTTTTGTGCAGATCCGAGCCGTAGAAGAGCTCCAACTATCACTCACAAACACTGTCTGGAACACAGCATAACCACTAATTTTACACTTTAGTTTTTGTATGGATAATAATGGATTTTTTATTCTTTCATTCATGAATGAGTTTAAGAGGTTCTGGTAGGCGGATTATTCTAACTTTGAACAAAGCCAAGCCCTTGCTTCCAGTCTTTATGCTAAGCTAAGCTAACTGTCTCAAGCTCCATACTTAACACATAAGAGTGGTATCAACTCTCACGCTCTGCAATTAACACACATGAGTGCGACACTGCCCTCAATAGGATCAGGCTGCTATAAAAAAACACCTCATCCCTTCACCACCTGCCCCACTCTGAAAACAAGAGGGTGGAAATGGCCACAATCCAGCCCCCAAACACACACATTAGTAACCTATGAACCTAAGAGTGCGTCTTTGTGTGACCCGGTGTATAATTACTTTTATTGCACCAAACAGAAACAGACCTTTTCATTTTAAACTGAAGTAGACCAGATGATGGGGGTGACTTTAAATAATCTGCACTTCACTAAGCTGTTTCTGTCTGCACTCAAACACTTATATTGTCTGGTTGTTGTATCTGAAGTGCAGCACAGTTACTTTAATCTTTAATTCTTTCAGGATCAATGTTTCTTCAAAGATAAGAACTGAACTGTAAGCAGAATAAAGATTTGACAATGAGCATAAGTTCTAAGTTCTTTGATATATTGTGTTGATAAATTGTGTTTTTCTTACCGTTGCAGAGCACGATGACTCCCAGCAGACTCAGGAGTCTGTGGGGCTGCATCCTTCCTCCAAACACAGGGACGTGCAGGGAAAGATGTAGGTAAAGTCTGACAGAGAGAGAAGGGTTTCTGAAATGTGAGTGAAGGAGGGACCGACTGCATGAGGGAGGGATTGTTGTGGGAGGGAGGAGAGGCGGTGTCTCCACTTAACTTACAGCAAGGATCAGTTTCTAGAAGGATGGAGGCAGAGAGGGAGGGAGGGCAGGAAAGCCTGAGAAAGAGAAAGAAAAGTGAGGACATTTAACAATAGCAGGTAGATGTTGAAGTGGTGGAGCAAAGAGACGGGAGTTTGTAAGGGAGATACATTTGAGAAGCTTTTAGAAAGCGAAGAAATAATTTGACTTATTCATATGAAAAGTTGAATGAAGATGCCGGGCAGTAAAGCTTTCTTTCAACTAAATTAAATCCCCTCTCAAATAACCTCAAAGCAGCTGTAATGGATATGTTTATAATAACAATGCAAATGTGATTGATGAACCTACAGAACATTTTCAGCTGAATCTGCAGCTCCACTTGGCTGTACGGAGCTCTCTATAGTGAGGTTCAGCTCATTGTTTATATATCCTATCCACAACTTTACTGTTTTTCTTCACTCTCACTTCTGTTTTTAGCAGTTGTTTCTCTTATAAATGTATAAGGTGTTAAAGGCGGAGGTGGAGGCACATTAATCACTTGGATTTGCATGTGGGAGTTTTTTCACTTTCTTTCTAGGAAAGTCACTTGGTATTTTGGCTTTCTTGGTTATCTTGTTCCTGTGTTTGTGTTGCTGTGATTTTGCCGATTTACAATGTTGACATTGCAGATCAGAAAATTTGATCTTTCAGATTATCATTTATTGTGACAACTAGTGTAGGCACCTCACTCCTGGAGGTTTATGAAAAGACTGTCCAAATTACACTTTACATTACAGCAAAAAATAGAATGTAGTGGAAAATGTATATCAAAGATAAAAATATAAAAGCCTGGTAGGTGGCCGTCAACTCAACAATGATGTTGAAATATGATTGTGGGTAATCTGTGCCACATGGAGCCACACCAGCGGTGGTTATTAATAGCGCCACATGTTCTGGCCACACTGTACCCAGCCCATCCTGCCCTGTACTCACTCAATTCAACATGTAATTTAACATCCAGAGACTCTGAAAACACTTCAAAAGCAGTGAAACTTAGCGGCGGGTCACAGTAATGTAAGACTGACTGTGCGGTTTCAGCACAATCACCGGTTGGAAGATGGATCAGGAGCTCAGTTTGACTACTTAAAGTCCCAGAAAAAGACAGGCATGTAGACTCTGCAGAATCTGTTGATCAGAAGGAAAACTGCTGTGCAAAATGAGCCCTTCAAGATTGGTTAAAACAACAACCGGTCTGTGTCGTCCATCTCTGATCCCCCCGCAGCTACGGATGAAAAAGAAACAGAAAACTCCACATTATTTAATATATTCCTTCCACTGAATACTTAAATGAATAGTTCAGTTAATGCATTTATTCGCTGAGGAGATCAATACAACACTCATATCTGTCTGTTAAATGTGAAGCAGTCAGTTAGTGTAGCTTAGCATAGAGTCTGGCATTAGGAGGGAAAACAGCTGGCCTGGCTCTGTCTGGAAGTGATAAACTCTGCCTACCTCAACCTTAAAATCTCAGTAATTAACACCTTGTATCATGTTTGTTCAATCTGTTCTAAAACCGAAGCGTGAAAACAGCAAGCTCTTTTTTCAGAGGACTAAGTACTGGATTAATTAGAGATTAAACCTTCACCACTGTTACGAACCTCCAGTGGAAAATCCAGGGGAGGAGGAGCTTAGTGACAATAGTAGAATCATTCCAGGTTGAAGGAAGCCAGGAGACAGATTTTGTAGTACATATGGCGCTTTATTTACAATAAAGAAAAATGCTAAGGTACCCTTGGGGAGGGTCTACAAAAACAACTTCCCAAAAACAAGGAAGCACCCACAAATGCCACGAATGAGAAAATAACATAAGATACAATAATGAATACCACCCTCCCCCCACTGAAGGAGTGAACCCCACCACGAGGTTCAGACTTGTCACTCACTGCAGTTTCACCCAGCTCTCCATGCCCAGTCTGCCTGCTCTCTGCTCCGTATACCTGCTCCTGCGCTCCCGCTTATTGCAAACTGGGGACAGGTGTGCACCCTAGCCTCCTGGCTGCAACATCAGAGGGGGGGAAGGGCAGGACCCAGGGACGTGCACAGGGGGGTTGCTCTGGTTGCCCGGGCAACTGCCCGTTTGCCTTTCCTGACTCAAGTTGCCCTTCCGACTCGCCCTTCCGAGAAAATAAAATAAAATAAAAAAATAATCGCGATCGCAAAGCCTCATTCACTTCCATTCGGGCACCGAAAGTGAAAGTCAGTAGGGGAAGGGCAAACTCTGTTTAAGTGGCTGCACTGCTGCAGCGCTGCCTGCACGTCAGTCGATTCTGTTCCCTACCGGAATTCCTGTTTACTTCCTTTATGCAATCATACTACAACAAATCATGCGTAGTTTTGCCCAGTTACCATACGTGATACGTACCAACAGAAGTGAATACGAGCTAGAAGCGCAACTGAATGTACGGGAAGCCAAAAGGTTAAAAAAGGATTGTATTTTTTTCCGAAATCTAAGCGTTTTTTTATTTAATATTTTATTAGAAGCGAGTTTTCCCCATCTGTCAATTCAATCTAGATTATTTATTTTCAAATAAAATAAAAAAAGGAAAAAAAAAATAATGATTAAAAAAAACAATAAACAATAATATAAGGAACTCTTTTTCTCATATGTATTTTGGTGACATTTATATTGTTAATACATTTTGGATACTGTGTTTAGTGCCTTTTTTCAGGTCAGAGCAACTGCCCTTCAAAATTCCTGTGCACGTCCCTGGCAGGACCTGCAGAGGACAGACGAGCAGCAGTACCCCTGGGCAGACACACACGGCTTAAGGGCCGTAACAACCGCCCTGCCATTTTTGAAAGACAAAATCTAAATGCAGTTTAAGTTTTTATACTTGCGTCTGAATGCATTTTTTCTTCCTTCAAAGCATCCCTTTGCTTAATTTTCTTCTTATTGCACCATCAAAATGGACCTGAAACTTGCTTACTTAGTCGTCTGTTATCATAGACATCATGCTCTTACATGCAAATGCAGTTGATGGGCACTGCATCACCAAGCAGTATTGCCTTATACAATAACAAAGGAGGACATATCATGTGATGGATTCAAATCTGTATGTACAGTTAGAAAAATACATCCTATAATCTGCCGACCAGGACTGGACAGTGATTGGCAGGTAAGCAGTCAAATGTCGGTGTAAGGTCACAATGTCCTGGCCAGTTAATGAGCTTACCTGTGAAGCGGTCATCAGTCACCTGATTTGGCAAACAGCAGAGGCCGGTGTGGATCGAGTCAAGGAGATTATAAAACCAGCTGTGAGGTCAGTCCACTGCTACATGAGGTCAACATTTGTGGTTTTAAGTGAAATGTGGCCAAAACAAGTGGCTGGATTCACATTCATGTCCCTCTCATGATGTCCCTCTCAGATGGAAGGGGAAATGTGGGCCCATCCACTGTGTTTTCATAGATGTTTAAAACTATCGAAATAAAAATCGTTCTTGC